GACACTGCGGTACGTTGGTTAAATTTTATACCTACTAGTTACATGTTATGAAGAAATATTTACCATAAAGGGTCATTTCACTAACAAAATATTTCTCCATGATGTAATTTTATGTTATTTTTATGTTATATGTAAATAATTTTAATTGGCAATTTCTTTGGTGTTTTGTAACGATTCATCTGGTGTTACCAGGGTCAATATAAAACAAAGAAATTACTACGACTATAGTTGATATTTCTGTTGTTCTAAGATTGATTTAAAATAAAGTTTAACTGTGATAATAAAGAATAAATATTTAGTAATTATATTTAATGGCAACATCCTCTACCAGGTATGATAAATTCGTATTTTTAAGCTTTACCTATTTATATCTACAGGCGATTGATCTCAGAACAACATCACCTATTATCACTTTATTGTGCATGGTGTTATGTGGTACTAAATTATTTTGATCATTTTTCAGAGAAACGTATCATGTTTAGCATCGTTCACGTCCTCTCCACAGCGCATATTCACTAGAGTTACGAGTATTTATAGATTGTTTTCGTAACCATCATTCGATCGTGCATGCCACATAAGACTATGAATAATCAGCGCAATACTGATTTCTCAATATCATAACAAAGTCAGGACCAAAACATTGTGGAGGCATATTCTATAGTCATATTGGGTATAGTACAGACACCTTTGGCATATAAAAACGATAGTAACTTGCGAGTAAATATAGAAATCACTGAGAAGAAATAGTTTGGCACAATGAGTATTGATTGGTATTCACAGATGCCTCTGCAAGTGTATTGGGCTGGCTTTGAGCGCATGTTGCTAATAAATGACTTGTTTTTCAACAGTTCAGTTGTTGCTCCACGAGTGAGTAAACTCGGGGCGCTGCGTGCGCAACACTTAGGTTTGAATTGTATTTGTAAAATATATGAGGGAGTACATCACGGCGAAGGTAATACATTACCTCAGAAAATTCAGTTCAACAATGGAGATACTTTCGAAATACATTACAAATGTGACACTTGCCAACTACTCGACTATGTACTACCTACATTACGTGGCTTTGTAACAAATTCATTGAGATGGTTAAAATATCTCCATTGTGTTTTAAACCTTAATATATGCTATTCTGAGATACACACTGTAGCCACCTACTAAACTACCATTAACATCAGTTTATTGAACGTAAACTCAACATAGCATATCCTTAGTTTGTAAGTTTTTATTTCCTGTGGAATTTATATAATTCATATGAATTGCACTTGAAGTATTATGGTAATTTTCATAATGTGTGTTTACATAAATTGTCTTGCACAAACTGCACTGGTTCACTAATTTATTTGACATAAAAATATCTGAAGCTGTTCATTAGATTTTACTCGTGAATCCACACGCCGTAAATTTGTACAAGTCGTAACAATATTTTTAGTGTCGTTTACTTTGGAACCATTGCGGTGGTGATGTGCAAGACTATTTGGCTTTGTTGTATCATGTGCTGAGTTTCAGCATGAGAAGCAGCTAGAAATAACAAAAGGCTGGTCAATAAATGTGGACAGGGAGGATTATCTTCTCGGTCTGATCACGAACGGGCCGTCTCGAGCCCAGTGGCAGAAGATTGAACGCCTGGGACTCCGCAAGTACTTCGACTGCTTGCTGGTCTCCGGAGACCTGCCGTGGGAGAAGCCTGATCAGCACATCTTCCTAGAAGCTTGCAAGATGCTCAACGTCGAGCCACGCATGTGCATCATGGTTGGAGACAAATTGGAAACTGACATCAAGGTCAGTAGAACTTGTTCAATCGATATTTGAAAATAATACTCATAGGTTAGCAAGGCACGAATGATGATTACGTGTAATCCAGAGACTGTCACATACATAATACTATATGCAATTCAAAACAAATACTGTTATGTATGAGCAATATAAGTATTCCGCTACTTTGAGTTGACTCAGTTCTGACTGAGTGATCAATCAAGCTGCCCATCTATAGGCGTGCTTACATTGATAACTAAGTCGTATCAATCTACCAAATAAGTACCATATAATTTTATATATCCCAGCAGAGATAAATATGAATACAAAAATAATATTACTGGCAGTCATGAAGAGATTGATTATTGATTAATGTAGCGAAAGAGGTATGCATTAATTTGCCATTTGGCGTTCTGTTCTTTCTGCCCTTCTCAAAGGAAGACTGGCGTGACGATTGTATGTAATTTTGCAAACATAATGACCTTGAGCGCTGCATGTGTTTCCAGCATTGACTGACTGCCAAGTGTCATAAAAGTTCTGAAACCTTCAATTTGACAAAGTATTGATGTATTGAAATACTGATTAACAGTCAACTGCAGTATAATCTTTCTGCAGATTTTGTCTTCCAAAACTTTTTGCTATTTTAACCTTTTCGCCGCCCAGCTATACTAAACACGATGTGTCGCCGTACGCCAACGTATAAATGTATAATAAATGTATAGTACGAAAGTAGGGATGGCGGTAACATCATGTCGATAATGAAAAAAAAAATATGTGTAAATTTAAATTGGTACTCAAATTTATAATTAAAAATACAAACTGTTAAGTTATAATGGTAATTTGTTTTATTTTATGAACATTTATACTAAGAAAAATGGGTATCCGTTATCAGAGATGAAGATACATGCATAGAGTTGCTAGAGATAATAATAATAATTCGTAACATTAGCCACTTCACTATTCATTTCATAACGTAGTCTGTTTACTTCATATCAAGTCATTGGCGTTCAAAGCACGATACATTTCGTAAGGAATAGTTGTCTATGCTTTTCTTTCTTTCTATCGAGTTTGGTTTGCTTTTGGTTTTAGTTTACATTTAAAATCTAACGTCAGGTCACGATGTGCTTTCCCATTCAACATCAAAGTCGGAATCAGGTTCCACACCTTGTAACAGCCGCAACAACTCATCCGAATCATATTCGGTCATTTTGCACTGCACTGGGAAAGAAAAATGTGCGTGCACGCGTCGCCCGGAACTATGACACAATGACCTTGACGCCTAAGCGCTTACGACGTCACAGGTTTACTTCTATTGAAGTTGACGGCGCTAGTGTCACTCGACATCTTGCCATTACGTAGAGATGGGTCTAGCAATATCGAAAACCCTCAGTACATAATAATTAATTTTAATGAAATGATTTGATAGGTAGATGTACATTAATTTTGAAACGCATTGTAATACGTTATTTACTGACCGGAATTTCTTTTTATTCATAGAATTCAAAAAACTATTGGATGGAAAAGAAAACAAATATTATAGTAAATAAAGATTCTAATGAATGCTCCTTACGCGTCACATCACTGGCCTACTTGATATGAAGTCGTTGGCGTGCGGGATATAAAATTATTTGAAACCTTTTATGTTTTACCTTTTTAAAACAGAAAATAGTCTGTTTTGCATGAGAAAAAATAGTTCGTCGTGTCCATATTACAAAATTACAAAGAAACAAATGTTTTATGTATCGTAAATGTATTTTTTATAGTAGGTAGATACAATGAACTTCTATAGAAGTAGTGGCGTGGACGGCACGAAAATCCTGAACTTCTATAGAAGTTGTTGGCGGCGAAAAGGTTAATGACGTTGTTTGTACTTTATTATTGTTGTTATAAGGTTTATAATTGGTTACTCGATTTTCGTACCAGTAAAATGTAAAATATCTTTTAAGACCTTACTACAATTTAACTTATTTGTGTTCCAGGGAGGTAAAGAAGCTGAGTTGGGCGGCACAGTTTGGATTCCACTGCAAAAGGACATGGAAGCATCAGACTTGCCAGATTTCACCATAGACAAAGTGACAGAGTTACCTGAAGTGTTACCTAACTCACCTAAACTGAAACGATCTGAGCACACATCTAATATCACATGTGCATAACTCTATTTTTTCGATGGCTGTAATATTCTACCTTTGGCAATGACTTTTTGGACAGTATTAAAACAAAAGTACAAAATTTGGTTTACAGTACAAATGTATAGGTTTTAGTTACTACACTCGATATTTATTAAAATAAGGTTTCTACCACGAATTTATCTTATGCAAAAGTTACCATGCAAAAGTTGCATAATCCGTCTTATACTTATCCAAGTATTATGTTACAATTTTAAAAATATTTATTTTTCTGTCTTCTAGGTAAGAATATAAACGCCTGATTACTTTTAAGCAAAAGAGGCATATTTTAAATGCATATTTTTATAAAGAGATTTCAAACTTTATTTTTTAAGTTTTGGTTGTACTCTAAGGAAACTTCTTAAGAGACTGTCTTATATGTGATACTGATAGTTGTAAATGTTCCTTGTAAGATGTCTTGCTTGGTTTGTGGTTGCTGATTACAATTATCGAAAATTTAAATTATAATGGAGTTATGTCACATGGGTGCTCACAAGGTGATATGGTTGTAGGAATTGTGGGTATTTCTGTTACTGTACATTGTCACTTAGAATTAGCTCATTATATCTGTAGACTGATATGTATTTGTACACGATCTTTAGTATGTAGTTCCTTGACAAATCTCAAACTTTAGTCAATATTAGTCTTATGACACACCTACCGTTGGTAGCCAGATTTTATCTATGCTTAATCATTTTTTAATGTGTATCTGTGCCATGTTTTGACTATGAAGTTTTTGACTAATAAATGATCTTTAACTTGACAATATTCTCGATAGTTTACTTCGATAAAATCATCCCTATAATAATATGGTCCTCATTGTTAGATGAACTACACTAATATTCATTACCTTAGATGGTCAATAAAAATTGGGTTAAAATAATAATATCTTGTTTTATTTCACTTTTACTTGTTGTTGTTTTCCTTATTAACAACACTAACATTTTAGATTAAAAGATATTGTATTATTGGTAAAATTTGTTTGATCGGTGGCAGTGTCTTGAATGCTGTTTTCCTATTCAGATTTTAATTTAAGCAACATATTAGAGAGGATGTCTTGTAACTAAAAATAAAACATTTTTTTAAACACATTTCTTATAATATCTCGTACTATTCCCTAATAACATTCACTACCTATGTACATACAAATTAACAATTAGGCTGTTCTCAACATCTTGGCTTCTCGTTTCTCTTGCAACATCTTCTTTTGTTCTTCAACAATCTTTTTCCTTTCTTGTAGAAACTCACCATATTCCTGAAAATAATACAAGTAAGTTTATGAATAAAAAAAACAGCAATAGTAGAGGTAGTTTAAAAGAAAACCAAATACTATAAGTGTTACAGAGATAGAAAATAGTAGTAAAATGTTCATGATATTTTTGACAAATCATGTTTATTACTAGACTAACTTCAGCCAGCATGGTATGTTGATAAAAAGTACATAGGAACATTGTAACTTTTGTATTTATAATATAAGTAAGAAATTTATAGTACAATTAATATGCCTTAAAGATTTATTCCATGAAGTGCATCAAATCATCAATGCCCAATTGATGATCGATGCAGAACATACCTACTATGATACACTTTTTACGTTGCGTTATGAGTCCCATGTAAAATGGAATTGAACTGATAGTAAATAATTTCACCTCCAAAATTACTACAGTAAATTTAAGCAATATTGTAATAATTTAATATTATTTTTATAATTTATCAAACATTTGGCATATTGGATTCTTCTAAGTTTAGATACCTTTGGGTCCAATTCCTTGACAATTTCTATTCCACAGGTTCTTGCAGTTGCTATCAACATTACACAGATTTCTTTTAATGACTTCCACTCCAGTGGTGGGTCCTGTGACTTTATTTTGGCTATTTCATATAAATGCTTGTATGTTATCTTTCCACTTATTTCCTTCACTGAAAAAATATAAACAAAAGCATTAGCATAACATAATTCTTATGATGATGGTGTCTTCTGCACTAAGATTTTTAATAGTTCTAATAAAGGCCAAATTTAACCTTATACTAAATGGAACTTAAAGAATTCTCATATTACATGTCTACATTCCTAAAAAACAATACATTTTAATGCCTCTAATAAAAATTTTTTGTGTCTACGCTCTTATTATATTATATTTAAGCTTACCGGGTTCCATAGCGCCTCTACTGATACCAGCAGCTTGCTTAAGGAAGTATGATGCAGGAGGTTGATGAATTACCAGCTGATAGGAGCGATCAGGATTCACCTTTACCCTCGTTGGCAGAGGAATTCCCTGCTTTATATTAGCCGTACGCTCGTTGAAGTCCTTGCAAAACGCTGCTATATTGATATTTCTCTAGAGTAAATAAAATTATAGGTTATGATTACAACATTCGATAATTTTAAACTTTTAACAGAAAACTCCACAACACTAACCTGACCGAGCATTGGACCTAATGGTGGTCCTGCTGCAGCCATACCTGCAGGAATATTTGTGCGTAATTTCGAAGTATGGTCAATTTTATCCGCAACTTTCTTCATAGATTTCAATCGGGCTACTGATTTAGACATGGTGATGAATTAAAATCACTTCAATTCAGCCAAAAATTATTCGTTTTCAATAAGTTTAGTCATAGAATATAATAGAAGCAATAATGAAATCAAAAACAGTGTTTCTCCATACACAGAAAGGAAATCTTCTTTTTTGATAATTTGAAGTAGTTGTATTCGATTTTGACAAGTCGGTTGACATTGACAATCACAAGAATATCTTATGCTTAAAATACCTAAGTTTTAAAATGTTATCCTGTAACGCTACTCCTTTGCTACGCATTTGATAAACTCTCAAATGGTTTGTAAAATAGGTAGGTACCTAGTAAATAGAACACCTTACTTGTGTATACTTATTGAATAACAAAAAAAATATAATTAGTCTTTCGTTTCACCTTCTTCTTTCGAAATCATCCAATTTACGATTTACAACAGATTGTGATCAAAAATAAATTATCTGTATATCGTGTGTTGTCAATTGTCAGATTTGCATTTGTCAGCAGTGTGAAGAGTGAATAGAAAATAATTTATATTTTTATTTTACAAATTAACACGTAATTGTAGTATCCACATTAGTTGATAGATATTTCTTAAGATTATGGTAGTTTGCATTCCACGTATAGTGGATTGTATGGCAAAATATGTTTATATGTCGTGAAAAATAATTAAATAGTTCAAAATGTGGTCGTTTTTCTCTCGGGATCCTACGAAAGACTTTCCTTACGAAGTAGGAGATCCTGTGCCTGGATTAGAAGATAGAAGTGTGTGGACGTTACACAAAGGCAAGAAGAGAGGCACGCAGGATGAAGTATCAATATTTTTATTCGATGTTCAGAAGCATTCTGAGACACTATTCGACATAGCCAAGGCCTCCCTAAAGAAACTAAAGACTATGAGACACCCTAGCCTTTTACATTATTTAGATAGCTGTGAAACTGAAAAATTTTTATATGTAGCTACTGAGTATGTAGAGCCTCTAGCCACGCACATAGAAGATTTAAAACTTGAGGGTCCCCAAAAGGAATTATTTCTTTCGTGGGGTATTTTTCAAATCACTGTAAGTATGTTCAGTTATTATATTGCGAAACATTTAAATGGTAATTGCTCTAAATGTTAATAAGTTTGATTGCATCATAAATACAAAGCTAATATAAAAAGTACTGGCAGCAAATTGATGCTTGTTTATGATTGGCTAGTTGAAATGTATGAGTCATTTTGGAATTGGAATTTTAGATGTGATTTAAATCTAGCAATCTTGTTTCAGAGAGCTTTATCATTTTTAAATAATGATGGTAACATGAGGCACAATAATGTGTGCCTCTACTCAGTCTTTGTCACCTTGGCGGGGGAGTGGAAGCTTGGGGGTTTTGAGTTTCTCTCTGCCCAAGGAGGTGCAGACACTAGCAACCCTATACCTATAAAAATATTGCCAGCTCTTGAAATTTATGATCCTCCAGAGAAGAAAGATCCTGTTAAATTAAAAACAGTTACCAAATGGTTAGTATTGGAATATTTTCTGATAAGAATTTAACATTGACCTAATTGAAATGGTAGTTGAACTATGACCTGAATTTGGGAACAAGTTTCACTTCATATTTCTGATAAAAAAAAATGTATTTAATGTTCCAATTGAGGTAATTGGGCACAATAAAAGAACTATAGGTGTGCTAATGACAGCATTCGCTTGGGGTTTGGTGTATTAAATGAAGAAAAAAATAAACCTGTTTTAATTTTGAGGGTAGATTTGAACTTCAATAAACCCAAATGCATAGTATGAATTTAATACTAAACAAACATGTTCAGTTACCTTAATGAAATACTATACTAGCTAGAACAAGATCAATGGATATTTTATTGAATTCAACAATTTAGTAGAAGTTGAAATTGTTAACTAATTTACACCGTTCCTTCCCATACAATTTAAAGTGACCCCCTTCTGCATACCATACCTCAACCTTATATTCTTTTCTAAAAAGCTCTTCAGACATGTGGGGCCTAGGATGCCTAATGTGGGAGGCATATAATGGTCCGCTAAAGAACCAGCCCGCCCTGAAGACTACTGACAACATTCCTAAGCAACTGTGCACTTTGTACTGTGAGCTGGTCAGTGCCAACCCTGCATCTAGGCCAAACCCTGCTGATATTATAACACGGTAAGTTCATTAGCGATAAGATACACATATACAAAGTTTTATAAAAAAATTTGTGTCAAAAAAGTATTTATTTTTTATTTAAAGACAATAAATACAACCAAACCATTTGTATTATACATTTTTACAAATAATTTCAGATGTAGGAAAATAGGAGGCTACTTCAAAAATGATTTGATAGACTCTATGCTGTTTCTGGAAGAGATTCAGATCAAGGATAAGGCAGAGAAGGGAAAGTTTTTCGCCACCCTCAGCTCCCATCTGGATGGTTTCCCTGAAGCTGTGTGTGTTCACAAGATCTTGCCGCAGTTGTTGACAGCATTCCACTATGGAGATGCTGGGTCTTTCGTGTTAGCGCCCATGTTTAAGGTAACTAGAAAACTTCATTTTCTAGTCAGTAGCAAGTAACAGTAAATGAAAGTGTTCATTTTGTAAAGAGGTTAGATATGCACTTTAACTTATCGATATTACATATTATTCTATATCTTGATTTTCCGTTTGGTAAAATATTTGAAAATTAATATTGACAACATTTGGCAGGTGTCACCACTTTTATGCCCCATGTAAAAAAGTCCCATACCAGGATATTCTCCTATGTTGTTTACAAACACACAAACACAGAACCGGAACAACAAATATGGAACATTAGGAATGGATCCATCCGACAATCCAGCCCGCGACACTTGGATAGTGTACCAGTTATGATTCCCTTTGCCAAACTTTAACTATTTTTATCAAACCTTCACCACTTTGTAATTTTTTTTCAGAATTCAACTTTGTATTATTATCTAAAACACATTCTTAAACAGCTGTACAAATGTACGATATAGGTATGCAATCATCAAAATACTCGAAATATCGAAGATAAAATCGTAAAATCATTCCAAGGATTACTCACACACTACACTGAATGCATGGCCTAGTTTTATACACCCAGTATTTTTGTGGTTTTATCTTGTTTTATAGTTCTTATTACTGGTTCTTCAGCCGAGTGTCAAGGGATAAATTACTTGTGACAGACAATCTTTCAAAATTTGTAACTATGCCTAGCGTTATAAATGACTCCGACGTGCTCTTTTTAAAAGGCAGGCAACAAGTCCGTTCCTTTAGGTGTCTATGGGCGGCGCCGATCACTTATCATCAGCTGATCATTCAGCTCGTTTGCCTCATGTATACAAATATTATAAAGATGTAACAATTGTAAGTTCGTATTTATTTTTTCACTGATACATAGCTAAAATGTTCCTGAGTGCTAAAGGCTATAAAACATCACGCTACGATTAAATGGAGCCGAGCAGCGGGTAAAACCGCGCGAGTCTAGCTAGTATTCCATAAAAAAATGATGATAGCGGAACCACTAACTAACTTAACTGGTTAAAAAAAGATTCCTTTGCCTTTGATATTAAAGGTGTAAAATTATGATTTCTTGTTACAGCTGGGTAAACTGCTAGATGATGCTGAGTACCAGAAGCAGATAGTGCCATGTGTCATCAAACTGTTTGCCTCCAACGACAGGACGACGCGGTCTCGACTGCTGCAGCAGCTGGATCAGTTCATCATGCATCTGCAGAACTCCACGGTATGATTTTTTTTCTATCCTTCGTCAGTGATCGTTTGTTTGTCAATTGTTATGATGTTTTACATGAATTAGCGTTCCGGTTTTTTCCAAAAAAATAGCTTTTTTAGACAAGCTTTCTAGGCAGAACAATAAATTACGAGACTAAACAGTTTACATATATGTTTATGGATTTTCAGTTAAGTCATACAGCTAATTATCCATGGTTATGCAAACTATCATCATGTTATGTATAATTATTTAAATTTAGTAAACAAATGTTTGCGTGCCATATCTCACGCCGGATGCGAACGCAATACCGGCACTATTGTTTTGCAACATACGTACATAAGTACTTACTTACTTAGTGTGGGAGAGCCATGATTCGGCACGAATAGAGTTATACCACGGCCTTACAGACAACCGACTTTTGACTGCACGGTTGGCGTGGTGGCTGGGCAACTGGCTGCCGTGAGACGTGTCGCGGGTTCGATTCCCGTACGGAATAACACTTTGTGTGATCCTCAAATTGTTGTTTCGGGTCTGGGTGTCATGTCTATGTGAAATTGTATGTTTGTAAACGCACCCACGATACAGGAGAAAATCCTAGGGTAGGGCAACGTTTTTTTTTAAAAAGAAAAAAAAAAAAAACCGGCGTGAAGCAATACTTACGGTGTATTTAGACGTGTGAATTGGGTTACCGGAGGCCCAATCCTCTCTCCCCCATCACCTATCCTCAAATCTCCCATCCGTAACGCATTTGTAGTAAGTCCTTTTGGTATTACAAGTGGCAATAGGTGGCGCCGATTGCTTACCACCCGGGTTTGCTTGTTTGCCGTACGTATAAAACATACTAATTTCCGGTTTCTGAAAGGCTTGTCAACTCTAAAATTAACTAATCTACTGTTAAATCTCTTGTCAAGTCATCTGATTGGTTGTTGATAATTCAGTCAACCAATCAAATGACTTGACAAGAGATTAAATTGATTTTAACATTGATCGGCCTTTCGGAAACCGGGTGTTAGTGTGGGAGAGCCCTGCTTCGGCACGAATGGGTCGGCCCGACCGGAGTGATACCACCGCCTCACAGAAAACCGGCGTGAAACAACCACAGCGTTATGTTTCGCCGTGTGAGTGAGGTTACCGGAGGCCCAATCCTTCCGCTCGCCCGATCCCTCCCCAATCCCTTAATCTCCAAAACCCCAATCCCTAAGAAGTCGGCAACGCATTCGTAACTTCTCCGTTGCGGGTGTCCATGGGCGGCGCTGATTGCTTACCATCAGGTAATCCATCTGCTCGTTTGCCAATCCATTACATAAAAAAAAAAATTACTAACCGCCTTACTCAGACAAATTAAATGGTTAACCTAGTCCTGTATTTTTTGTGTTAGGAAAATCGTCATAAGTTCAGAGAGTGTCACACTCTTATCCACTAAATCCCACCTCTTTCCATCTCCTGCTCCGGGCTGGGGACCCTGAAATGATAACACGCTACTTATTAATTTCTAATGTTCGCCATTAAATTGCAGGTGAACGACCAGATATTCCCGCAAGTGGTGCATGGGTTCCTAGACACGAACCCTATAATCAGGGAGCAGACAGTCAAGTCCATAGTCCACCTGTCTTCTAAGCTTAACTACAATAACCTGAACGTGGAAGTTCTTCGCCATTTCGCAAGGTTACAGGCTAAGGATGACCAGGGCGGTATACGGTGAGTACATATCTGATTTGTATTGAAATTAAAATCGAGTGAAACCGCGCGACAGAAGCTAGTCTTATATATAAAATTCTCGAGTCATAATGTTAGTTACCATACTCCTCCGAAACAGATGACGAAACAATTGATTTTTACATAATTTTAGTCGCATATTTGGTAGGTCTGAGAATCGGCTATTGGTTATTTTTATACCCGTAAGTAACTGATTAATAATTTATAGGACAAAACAACGTTTGCCAGGTCAGCTAGTTTAATATAAAATAAATTTGATATATCGCTCCATACCAGCGGTTCTCAAGCTTTATCAATGAAAGAAACCATAGGAAAACGAAGTTTTGATCTGGAACCGAAAATAAAATGTTGAGTTTAAAGGTAATAAATTATAATTGAGAAATTGAAATTAATAATATAATAATTACACTGCACAAAAGAAAATTAAGTTATAGGATTTAAGAAACTAACTCTTATTGTTCATCAATCGGTTGACCCCTTATGAAGACTTTGGGGTGCCCCAGGGCTCTGCACAAAATATTTTGAGTATCGCTGCCCTTTACTATACTACCTATATCTTTCTTTTCAGAACCAATACAACAGTCTGCCTAGGCAAGATAGCTCAGCACTTACATCCACAGATTCGACAAAAGGTCCTAGTTTCAGCGTTTGTCCGCGCCACCCGCGACAACTTCCCGCCGGCCCGCCAAGCGGGGGTACTGGCATTGGCGGCGACGCAACAATACTTTTTACTGGCTGAGGTCGCTAACAGAGTACTGCCTGCTTTATGCCCGCTCACTAACGATCCGGAGAAACAAGTGAGTAATTATATTTATTTATTTTTAGTTTTTATTTTTACACGCCTTTGGCGTTCTCTGCCAGTCTACCATCAATTATTATAACCTGTATTGTAAGATCATAAACAATATTTTTTACCTCAAAAAGAATCATGTTGTGTGCCCCGTTTAAAGGTTATTGGTCTTTTAAAATGCAACCTGCAATCGACAGGCCCCGAACTCTTTTTTCATAATTTTATTTTTAAATGATTTCCTAGATTATTTTAATTAATTATGTGGCATGTTTAGAAATGTATGGTTTTAAGAGAAATAATTTATAATTTTTTTATTGTCAGGTTCGTGATGCAGCTTTCAGAACTATAAAAGGATTTCTGGGCAAATTAGAAAAAGTCTCTGAGGACCCCAGTTTGAAGGAGGGAATGGGTAAGCTAACTTCATTCACTGAGTATTTATAGCGAATCTGCCGACAATATGTATGTGAAAAGTTCTTAAACAATGGGGCTACCTCTTGTGCTCTGAAGTAGAACCTGTAAGGACTTTCATTTACACTTATTGGACACTAACGGCTCGCCCCCGCTTCGCACGGGCCCAGCTATCAAAAGGTCACTTTATCCCAATTTTCCCCTCTACTTTTCTAATATTTTCTTTAAACAGAACCTTCTCCTGACAATAACAAACACAACAAAAAAAAGAATTAGCAAAATTGGTCCAGGCGTTGTTGAGTTATGCGCGCGACATTTTGCGATTCATTTTTATATATAAAGATATATAGATTTGACGACCCCATGTGCCGAATCCAAAAGTCGTCTGTAAGAAATCGCATTAAGCGATAAGGCCAACCTTGTTCACATAATATTTTAAGTTTATCCTGTATCGATTGATGGTGTAAAATAAATACACAAAGAATCTCTGTAACGACATAGAGTATCCTTCTCGATTTACGCGGCCATGGGCTAGCCGCGATTCTTTATATCCTCTCGCCGTCAAGCGGCATCGAACTCGGCAAATCTGTCTGGGCAGAAGCTTCAGAGTGGGGTGGATTTAGTGTAGCTCCACCCTGGGTACTGCTTCACTGCATAGAAACGGATCCCAATGCGTACAAACAACTATAGCTAAATCTCCTAATCGCTATTGACTTGTATGATACAGAAGCGGACGTGCACACGGCGACCCCCTCGCTGAGTAACGCTGCGGCGACATGGGCCGGCTGGGCAGTCACCGCCGTCACCGCCAAGTTCTACCGCTCGCACTCCGACACGGCACGAGTGTCTCACCCCAAGTCCGTTCTGTCCAAGCCTGGGTCACTCGGTAAGATTAAAACCGTCTTTTCTATACTAATATTATAAAGAGGTAAAATTTGTAAGTTTTTATGTTTGTAAGTTTGTATGTAGGGGGTAAGCTTTGGATCCGCTGGTCAGATTGCCAAAATCTTTCATGATAGATAGCTACAATGTTCCTGAGTGCTATAGACTAAAAAACATCACGCTACGATTAAATGAAGCCGAGCAGCGGGTGAAACCGCGCGAGAGTGGCTAGTATGTTATACGATGACAAACAAGCAGACGGATTACCTGATGGTAAGCAATCAGCGCCACCTATGGACACCTCCAACACCAAAGGAGTTACGAGTGCGTAGCCGATCTTATTAGGATTAGGGATTTTGGGATTGGGGAGGGGAAGGATTGGGCCTCCAGTAATCTCACTCACATGGCTAAACACAACGCTGTGATTTTCTGTGAGGCCTTAGTATCATTCCGGTCGATCCGACCCATTCGTGCCGAAAGTCTCCCACACTTTTTGTGTTAGATAGGTAATTTATTAGAAAGACCTATTAGCCATTAAACTTCAATCGATAGAGCTGTTCAGCGACTGGTAAATAGTTACTAACGGCTTAATTAGCAGCAAAATAACGTCACACCGAACTAGTTTCTTTCTTAAACTCCATGTTCCTTCTAGTATTGTCTAAACCTAAATTTCCATCTTGACTCCTTTCTTTTAACCTCTAGAGCTGACACAGTTTGTGTAGAAACATGTAGTATGTGGATTTTGACCTTTGGTATAGTTTTTTTTTTCAATAATTAACCATTCCATGAAAAATTACTTGTATATTATTCTAATAGTAATTTAATCAAATCCAAGACATAATATTTATTACATGACATATTTTTTATCTAATCCAAATTTAATTACGTAAATTTTGAACTTTCAATAAATTACAATAAAGTAATCATTTGCAGAGCAACCGTCATCGAGCAGTATGTCAACAACCACATCGTCCGTAACCTCGATGACGTCACTGGAACACAGTGAGTCGGCTTCCGACTATGATCCAGATCATTGGGACATGGCGGCTTGGGGCGAGATTGACTCTAGTGCAGGTATGTGGAATTAAATAAATTAAAATACTTTATTAAAAATCCAATGAATAACAGTAATGTTTTGCACAATAAGAGTAACCATGAAGTTTCCTGCTTGTTGTTCTCTATTGGAATCTACACTTTGGTTCTAACTTCTCTAAGAAAACTCTTTTTTCTCTTTGTGTTGATGCATTTACAAACATACAATTTCACATACACACCACACCTTAGTACACCTTGAAGCAACAATTTGTAGGTCACACAAAGACGTGTTCCGTTCCGCGAATCAGTTGGCAGGCAGTTGCCTAGCCACCGCGCCAACCATGCAGTCAGGACTCACAGAGACTTTATATCTTTTAAATCTTTGATTGATTCAAAGAAGTGAGAAATTTCAAAAGTGCCTATAGTGGTGTAAAAAAATATCACCTGAACGCCGATAACTTAATTTAAACACAATCAATTAAACATTCACTTATAATAAGATTAAGTTATAGTAACAAAATAATAATGTTTTTTAGAAGTTTACAGCAATAAAGGCTAATTTTATATTAAGGTGTAACTGAAAAACATAAATTATTTGACTTTGTGTTTGACATAATTATATCTTGGGGATCGATGTCAAGATACTTCTTAGATGATCTGTAAAACTGTATCCAATATACTGACATATAAAATAAACTTATGCGGCACATTATCCATACAAACTATTTTCTTTATTGTATTTTTTTTTACATAGCGTATATCCAAACTTTTTGAAACCAGCCATTGATAAATTAACTCAAAATAATACTTCGCTTTTTTACTTCTTCGTTTTTTTAGGGTAATATTGATTTAAAAGTAAAGTGTATATTTGGTTAACATTTATTTTGTAAATCACAGACAAAAAGGAGTCGTATAAAAGGATGTCATTTGTAGTCTAAGTATAGATAATTTAGACTTTCAGCTTTCTAAATGAAGACGATTTTTACATCTATGAAATACTACATATTTTATTATTTATGATTTATAACAGTTGTCACATGCGAAGAAGGAATATGTACGGAAGTAACACTTTTGTTGTTGTATTGTTGACGTTGAAATTTTGGTAAATTATTGGCTTTATATTTATCCTTTTTACAAAATTATAATTACCTAAAATCAAATGAAGTTCCACCCAACACTTCTTACGTAAAATGAGCTTTATTATAACATTGAGTAAGTACTTTTTTCACTATTTCACAATACGAAAAATGTAAAGAATATATGCTAAATTAATCTTAAATTGACTATTAGTGAGTTTCTTGATTATTCACAGCTTCCAGATGGCAATCTGAAACCAATAAAATTCATTGTAAGTTACGTCCGTTAAAGAAAGTTCAAAAAAGGTTTTGTATTTAATTTTGGAGAGGCCTAAAAATATGTTGACCAACCTCATCCTTATTATTGTCTGGCAGTTTAACTTTATTTTTAATAAGTTATTGCTAAGCCTCGTTTACGGTTACGTGGGGCGTCGTGCGTCGGTTTTTGTTGTTAATTGCGTGCGACTTATATTATATTTCAATACGGTAATTTCCAACTAGTCAAATTCAACACTTTTATCCAAATGTAAAAATCTTCACCAGTTTTCATCTTCACCAGATTAAATGTCTGTCCTCAGTCCTTACTGCTCCATCCACGCAGTACGAACTCTTTTTATATGATAGTGTGGCAAACGAACATTCGCAATACCTGATGGTAACCAATCAGCGCATCCCATAGACACCGGTAACAACGGAGGAGTAACGAAAGAAAAGGTAGCCAAATCCTTATTTCAAGATTTGCGATTAAGGAGGAAACCTATGTATTGTCTAACCTATGTTTTCGATTCTGTTGCTTATGATGTTAGCACTAATACCCAACAAGGGTACACTAATACACACTTCGACACAAAACACGCCTAAACTTACCATCATCCCGATTACAAATTCACTCATCAAGCCCACTAGTCCTATCTATAAAAATTTACAATAAACTACCCGAAACACTGAGAAACGAAAAAAGACAAATATGTCAATGAATATCTGGACTATAAAAATAGTAGATAAGAGATAATCTGATATAGATAGTCTGATTATTAATTAATATATAAATAATAAGATATGAATTCCTATTATTGTACCTAATTATATGTAATGTTACTAAACGTATGTATGCCTTCTTTGCTATGCCCTATCAGGGTCCATAATATGTACCTAGATTTAAGCCCTTTACATCTTTGTAACATTATGGTATGCAAATAAATAAACATGAAATAAGGTTGCTTCTGCATTAAAACAATACACTTAAAATTATGTCACTGTGACTGATAACTAAATTGTTGTTTATTTTAACACTAGGTACCGGCGCAAGCGCAAAGTCCCCGCCGAGCAGTGGCAGTGCGCAAGCGACGCCTGCGCTTGCCGCTCTCTGTGAGGACGACTGGGACAACGAGGAATGGGGCGAGCTACAGGAACAACCTGTAAGTACTCATTTACTATTGATTTGTTATTAAAAGCAGGGGTGGTAGGTATGCTCCGTAACCTTAACCGAAACTATTATAAACATATCCGTAACCGTAAGCGAACCCGAAATAATAGTTTCGGATAACATCAGATAGGGGCGGAGCCTAATTGAGACATGTTATGTTTGTATTTTACTTTTGTAATTCCTCACAATTTTAATATCCGCAACCGAAATTATCCGAAACTGACGGATAATCCGAAATAATTTCATATCCGTATCAGTATCTATCCAGATCATTCCTATATCCGTTTCCGAAATCTCATATTATACAAACCATCCCTAAATTTAAAAGGTAATATTGTCTGTCTACTTTCATGCAAGAAATATTCATGCAGCATTTTGAGCTCTAATTTTGAAATTCGAAAGTGTCTGTAATAGTCTAATTGAAATAAATGATTTTGACTTTTTTATTGTTCAGGACCCACTGTGACACTCTAATTTTGACGTTCGAAAGTGTCTGTAATAGTATAATTGGAATACTTAAATGATTTGTTTTTTTTACTATTTAGGGGAATTTTATCGAATTTATTTATTCGAAGAGTTTTCTGTGATTTAAATTTAAATAAGGAAAAGAAATAAAGGGTGACATTTAATTTAATAATTTTATCACCAAATTAATTGAATTAATATTTTAATTAAAATATATGCATATACTTGTAAATGTGCTAAGGTACCTACACCTTACCAGAAACTTATCGATTTTGGTATAGTGTTGTAGTACTATATGATAAGAAGCTTACCATGATTAGCGCGGGTCTAGGGACGGCGAGTAAGGGTAGCTCACCGCCCGACGAGAACCAGACCCGAGCGTACGGTGCCTGGCGTTCTGCGCGCGCCCCAAAGAGCCACAAGACCACTACAGACGGGGCTCTATAGGGCTGATGTTCAGCCGGGGTTGCGGGGCAAGCGCACCATAAGTAATAACTTATACTGGCTGGTCCAGCAGGAAAAGGAACGGTGGGAGGGGTGCTTTAAGTCAGTAAGAGTCTGACACTCTCTCTCGCCTTACCCTAGGCGGGAGAAGTCACTTGATGATTTTCCATAAAAAAACATTATTACTATTATACTACATATACACTACCAGGCCACCTTGAATCACTTTTACTAATATAAATTTCCCAAAACAGTGCGCAGAAGCAGAATTAGCGAGCCCTTCGGAAACTTGGAACAACACTCAATGGACGGATCCTATATTCAACAACGCTAATGCGACATACGTTCGCGGTGGACGCTTGGAGCACAAACCCACTGCGCATCAGAACAGTAACGATTCCCTCGGAGGCTGGGAGGACAGCGAGTTCGAACCCATCGAGGAAAATGCTGACGGTAATGTTATAATGAGTTTATTGACATGAAGCTATGTTTTATTCGCTTTAACGCGTTTGTATTTAGAGAATAGATAGTACAAGTTCAGTATTAGATAATTCAATGGCTTGCAAAACATCTGTGTGGTCATATGTCAAGTAATAATCATAGAAAAAAAATCACGGCTTAATTCATTTCCATATTATAGTGTTCACCTCCTATCCACAAAAGACTGGCAAAGCACTTGTAACTCTAGACTTGATGAGTATCCATAATATGTCCTATGAAAGTAGCACCGACTGCCTACCATTAGTTTCATCGTGTGATTCTTTGCCATCCTATGCCATACAATGAAACAATGAATTTATCTTTGCAAATAGCCACATTAAAGCTCTTTCACGTCAAAATTATATACACAAAAACTAGATAAAGTCGGTATTAAAAAATATACTATAAAACTTCCTGAAAACTTGAATTCTATATATTACACAAACTTAAGCCGATGTTTCATTTGTGAAAACAATTCATAGCAATCACATTTCCAATCAGAGTTTCGTAAATCGCTAGAATTTATTCAAACCGCTGCATACCTATTTGAGAATCTTCTTCATTGATTTGCCTTAACTCCTTGTCCTAGGAAGGACCTGGTCAAGTATCAAGTAGTCATGGGTGCAGCCTACAAGGCAAAGATGTCGCTGTACATTGGTATTTACGAGTAAATTGATCGCATTTGAGCTTCGTTTATATTAGTCGTGCATCGAAGCTGTCTTTTCTATTTTTATACTTAGTTTACACAAGGCTTTTACAGCTTCAGGAGTTACAAATTTAGCCTAGGCCTTGCATTCCATTTTTATCACTTTTACATCAACTAAAGCTTGTAAAGAAATTGTTACCTCTTATATTTTACAGAAAATAACGCCTCAAAAATGGACGAGATGCGAAGAAAGAGAGAGGAGAGGAAACTTCAAAGGCAGAGAGAGATGGAAGCTCGTCGCTCGGCTCGGGGTCAAGGACCGATGAAACTTGGCACTAAGATCACCACCGCGCCTCCGCCATTTTAACGGACAAACACGGTGAATTCCAAATCTAAATTTTAAATCAATTTTGAAATCATTTTTGAACGTCGTCTTGTGTGTGAGACTGGATAGCTGGAAGCCCTAGCTTAAATAGAAACCAGTGAATTTGAAGGCAATTAATTAGCCTTTTTACTTACGTGTCTTGACAAGGGGACGGTAACGCAAGAAATGTCGGTACTTTAGCCAGGCAAAGCAAGCTGTGAAAGCATACATCTTTGCATCAAATTATAGTACTAGTTCTTACAAGTTGCCTCTCCTATTTTTAGACATTTACTGAAAAATGTTGGTATATTATGAATTAAAACTCGATCGAATTCTGATATAAAATGTCCATTCAAACGATGTATCGAGTAACTCGATTATGTTATTGGAAAAGTATTTTCGAATTTTAATATTTGATTAAACTGGCACAAACTCTAAAAAAATGCTTGCAGATCTTTATTATTATTTCTATTTAATAATGCATTTAGTTAGATTTAGTTTTGCGTTATTTATTGGAAACTTCATATAACATTATAGTAAAATGTTACTATATTCATAATTATTTTATCTCCGAAAGTTTACAAAACTGAGACAGAATAGATAGGTTTTGACAAAAATATTTTTGTCATTGAATGACTTGTTATGACCGATACACATTCTAGTGTTCAATTATCAAACATGAGTTTGGTGACTGTTTTTACAAGTTAAAAGGACTGCGACGGAGATTGAGATGTTGTGTACATTCTATCCTGGGCATTAAAATATAAAAATAATAATGTATATCCATATTTATCATGTCCAAGTCCAATGCCGGCGACATACCCTGCTTATGACTCATCTACAATTAACTAACGCATTACATCTATATTAACTTCATAACAATACAAATCTGATATAAAATTCAAATCAAATGCCCGTAGATCGCTAGGTTTGGGCACAGCCTTAAAACAAATAATTCCATTCGTACGATTGTGAGTCAATGACGTCATCATAGTGTTCTGATTGGTCGATATTAGGGAACAAGTATTGTAAATTGATATGCACCAAATATAGAACGCTCAAGTGAGACTAGACGCCATTAAGGCATTAAATGATATTTTCAAATTGTTCATAGGCGAGACTCGTAACGTGAAGTTTTTGACCTGGAGTGGTGATTTTTTTTTATTATATCGAGATATGATATTGAATTTTTACGACCTCATACAGTCACGTGATTCAATCGATAGCCGATAATTTTAATCGATATTTTGTGTGCACCTCTAGTTGTTCTATTGTAACCACGTGGCTGTAAGAAGGTCGTTGATACATAATCGATTGCCATGTTTTCCTCTAGCTTGTAATTGCGTATGATATTCAAATAAATGTACAGATGTATGAAAAATAAAATGCTTTTTTCCTGTGGTTTTTATGGGACTTGTGCAATCGGCAAATGAGGGTGTCAATTTGATGTAAGTTCTTGTGTGGATGGGTCCGCTTAGATATTGGTTTAGACGATACTTGAAATTGTAGCCAAACATATTTATTATTATTTCACTTCCGTTGGAGACAATATAATGCCTAAGGGGATATTTTGGGAACATTCGTTCATACATATTAATTATTGTCAACTTCGCTATAGTGCAACCAAACTATTCCATTGAGCATTATGCTTCCCACTTCTTATTGTCAAGTCGAGGAATTTGTCCAAACAATTTCAAGTATACGAAACTCCTGAAACCGCTCGTATGGATAGTACACGCTATTTACATAGTATTAAGGCTACATTTTCAGTGTCCAGATAATTTTATGAGGAATAGATACAGCTTCAACGTCATGTATTGTTTGAGGTAAAAATTGATAAAGCAATGTAATATTGAATTGTGCATGCACCACATAAACTCACGCCTTGGTTAATTTTGGTTAACAGAACTATATGCTGGGATCGGCGTTAATTGCTTACTATCAAGCGAAAAAGTTGTTCGTCTACACCTAAGCCATGAAAAATATACATGCATTTTACTATGACAAGTAAACAAAAGTGGCAGAGATTTGCAATGTACGGTATTGACACTTAACATTTGACATAATGTCAGAATGTGTGTCAAGCAATACATTGATTTTTATTTTCGACCACCGTCTTTGCCATTTTTTTAAAGGGAAGTGCAATACGAATAAAATCGACAAATGTATGTATGGCTATGGTACAGGGGTGTAGTAAAATGTATATGCGGAATAGATATAATATATCCGACACACACACACAGTGGGCTGGGATACAAATTTACAAACCAATATAACATTGAATCAGCTATTTGTAACATAAATTCACACCTTTGTTCCGTATTTGGATACATGCATTTTACTATGACAAGAGACATGGGAATGGCATAGGTACTAGACATAAAAAAATATTGTATGAGTTTCATACTGACATTCGACAAATAATGTCAAAATGTATATCAAGTAATACATTGACTTTTTGTCTAGCGTTTATACTATTTTGTCTAGTGGGAAGTGCAATAAAACTAAACGACAAGTGTATACAGGTGTGATATTAATTTAAAATGTTGGGCCTTGCAGACATAAATTACATTAAAATTGAATACATGCATTTTACTATAACCAGGGACAAGGGAATGGCATTGACACTAGATATAAAAAACAATGTAAGGGTTTCATACTGACATTCGACAGATAATGTCAAAACTCATATGTCAAGTAATACTTACATTGAATTTTCGACTAGTGTTTATGCGATTTTGTCTAGAGGGAAGTGCAATAAAACTAAAAATGACAAGTGTATACAGGTGTGATATTAATTTAAAATGTAAAATGTTCAACATTACAGACACTTGATAAAAAAAACAATGTTACATTGAACTATGGATACTAATTCTATCTCTGTACCATAGGTGTAGGCGGTAACTCCGTTTTATGTTCAAATACATGCATTTTACTATGACAACAGACATGGGAATGGCATAGACACTAGACATAAAAAATCATTGTATGAGTTTCATACTGACATTCGACAAATAATGTCAAAATGTATGTCAAGTAATACTTACATTGATTTTGTCTAGCGATTATGCTATTTTGTCTAGTGGGAAGTGCAATAAAACTAAAAATGACAAGTGTATACAGGTGTGGTCCATGTTACAGCATATGTCAAATTTTACCTCCAGCGACTGTAAAAAAAACTGGATTTATTCCTTCTATACATTATCTGAGATGAAAAAATCAATGGAAATTATATAAAAATAATTATAACTATAGAGTATGAAATGTCAGACTGAACTGGTCTATGAATTTTATGTAATGTATATGGCGTTATAAATTGTACTTATTCGTGTATTTTTGTCGAGTGTAATACGGTCTTTCAACGATTTGTATGCATCTTTTGAAATACCCCCAAAATGATTATAATATACTTGATAAGATTCATAACAATAGTTAAAATCATTCCATTTTAAATAATCTCTTGCACAGTTGCCTTTTAAAAAGACATGCACCAAAATATATTGTGTAAATTCATATAAATTCATATATATTTTCAAATAATACTTCTCCGCAGCTAAACGTCTCTGAACCTTTATCTCAATTCATAATTTAAATTGAAATTTTGCTCGAGAATTATAACGGATCATTTGAAGTAAATCATAGGTACATAGCTTCTACATAAATTAGTATAAAATGATGAATTATTGTAATGAAATGGATTATTACGAAGAATGTTGATCTTAGGGACGTGTTACACCAGTATTTTTACTGGTGACGTTATAGAGATTTGAAATATATTGAGAATCAGTTATTTAGTGAAGTATTTGCTACTGAGGCTGCAATAGACGAACGGACATACAAATCGATATTCTATTTGAATGTGTGTTAAACGAAAATCTTATCTATCCGCTAAATTTACACTTCTGTAAATAAAACATGTAAAAATGACAACTATGTGTTTTCTTTAATAAACCCAATAAAGGCGCGAGCAGACTGGATGCGTAGCCGTAGACGTAACCTTATAATAATATGTGAAGTACCACTATGGGGCCTTCCATAAAGTACGTCACACGTAAAGGGGGGTTGGAGGGGCGACAAAATGTGACAAGGGCTGGGTATGGTCCTAAGTTTCGTGACATCACATTTCAAAATCTAATAATCTAGATGTACTAATCGCGTAATTTGAAATATTAATCAAATTAAAAAATATGTTTGACTCTAAGTCGACATGGTTTAAATTGTTTTGTTGACGCGTTCATACCCGCTCTAGTGACACGCGCCGAACTCCGACGAGCCCTTTGACGAATACCACCAAACACACCGTAGGTACCTCGCGTGATTTTATTGTTTCTATTTTATGATTTTTCGATGTGAAATTGCATAAGCCACAAACGGTTTGCGTAACTTAACACACGTGGTACGAGCACATCTGTGCACGCATTCAGTCTACTCGATACTTAAACAGAATCCACCAAAACGAAATAAAACAAAAAGATTAAGCAAAAAAATGGTTTAATGATGCAATTTGAACACATGTTAGTTACAAAAATAATCTCTTATATACTTACTTTATATTTTAAGTACATATTTCTAAAGCTATATATGATGTACATATAATGAAATTGTACATACTAGTATGATGGAATAACTTAGCCAGTAACTCCTTACTTGGCGGAACTGGCTAAGGTTTTAAGCATAATCTAGCGTTACAAACTAAAATTGGCAACAAAATAACAAACATTAGTATATTAGCATTTGTTTTACTACATACATAAGAAGCAAATTCTAAGCTGCAAAAAAATAACAATTTATGCTCGCCTTGATAATTACTACGTAATAATTATGTGCTAGGATATCCATAATCAATTGGTCACCCCATCAAATATCGATGTCACTTGTCACTTTGACATTTAAAGTGACCTCGACCTTTGGTGGATAGAAGAATTGACCCTGCAACTGTAAAATACGCGATCGGCCAAGCAGAAACCACAAATTTCAAGACAAGAAGCTAATAGCAAGAAAACTGTGCTTTTGTAGACAACAAATAGGTAATAACAATAGGTAAAATACGAATGAAAACTACCCCATGTTTCTGATTGGTTGATGAACTGTCATTAATGTCATATTGGCCACTGTGATTGGTTTAAATTTTACCTATACTTTTAACAATAAATTCGCAAGGCCTTGAAATTGTTTTACTCACATGACAATTGAATTGATTCAAGGCTATTCAATGAAGTACTCAAATATAAATTTCCTGCTTTACGATAACAACTACGCAACGAACGTGATAACGAGTGCGTTATGTGATTAGGTAATGAGAGTTAATAATTTACATGTATATATCTGAAATTATATCAATAATTCATTGAATATTTTACACAAGTATAAAAAATTTATAATTACCAAATACAAAACTTGTAAAAAGCAATAAATGACAACCAATTCACAACCTTGGCACAACAAACTTTAATAATGAAAGAAAAACAACACAAGAATTCGTCTTCAGAATATTATTGACGTCATTTCTTTGTAAATAGATGTAATAAGGGTGCTGTATGGATGTGCCGTGATGTCTGCTCGGCCCCTTGACGTACTTACAGTTTAGAGCGCAGGTCGGATGTCCCAGCGGCTAATTGTCAAGATGGATCCTCGAACCTGAAACCGAAGAAAATAAGTATTTGTTAAAAAAGAGCTCAATGTCAAGCCGAAAGCAACAAAAAAAAATATTAAAAGGCAAATTAAACCTGTAAAAATTAAAGAAAATAAACTTTCGCTAGGTACGTAGATGTCTATTTTTAATGATTTTAATTGATTGATTTCTCAGTTAGACCTGTATGCATGTTTTCCATCAATAAAATTCATTGTTTTTTATAAATGCAAACAAAAATAAATCTTTTAAATATATCCCCAAATTAATTAAAAAACACATGTTATGTATATATCAACAAAAATCATGCTAAATATCTCATCTTAATTGAATAAATTATATATTATTGAATGAATAACATACCGCATGTTCATAGCGTTAGAGTTTCCGGGTTCCAGCTTGTATCCGAGTGTCTCGTAGAACTTGATGAGTTTGTCTTTGCAGTCCAAAGACATTTTGTAGCAACCAAGCTCCTGGGCTAGCAGTGATACTGTTACTACGATCCTGGAATCGAAATATAGGGTGCTCAATTACAATATTAATTAAAAATATTGGCAATATGCCATAAGCATATCATAGGCTGATACTAAAGTCCTCCAATATTTATAATAGGTCTTTACCTATGAAATTGCCGTTCTGCAGTACTGGCCATTTCAAATCAAAATAGTTTTTGTTAGGCTAAGGCTAATTAATTCTGTTTTAAAAACATGGGATTCTTTTTCCAAAAGTAGTCATTTGTTTATTCATTATTGTTACATTTTCATCGCATTTCAAATAAAAAAAACCGTTTAATTTTTTTCAGCAAAACGGCAATTTCATAGGTAAGGACCTATTATGATTATCTATTAAAAAACCGCATCAAAATCCATTGCTTAGTAAGAATTAAGCATACATAGGGATATAGGGTCAGACAAGGCGACTTTGTTTTATACTATGTAGTAATATTGAATCCTGTCTCTAGCAAAAGGAACTAAAATTTAACTAATAAGGCGCTTCGGCACCTTATGACAGGAACACATCATCGATGGTATTTTTACTAGGTAAATCTATACTAATATTATAAAGAGGTAAAATTTGTAAGTTTGTATTTAGGGAGTAATCTTTGGAACCGCTGGTCGGATTGCCAAAATTCTTTAACTGATAGATACAATGTTCCTGAGTGCTACAGGCTATAAAACATCACGCTACGATTAAATGGAGTGGGTGAAACCGCGCGAGAGTAGTAAAATATAAATTCCTTTCACTATCGCATTCTAAATGTAATATACTTACAATTTTCCTAGCTGCTTGCCTCTGTATGTATCATTAACAACCACATCTTCTAAACGTCCCCTCTGAAACAAATATACATATTTGAAAATATACGACACATTATTAAATAATATTAGGTACCTAAAAAGTAGTATTCTAAGAATAACTTCAAAACTTGTTTAAGAATTGTGTCACGTGCATCTTAGATGTCCAAAACCAGTAATATTGTGTATTGAATCCCAAAACATCGTAATATGTTAAATAGCCTTCTCATTAGAAACGTGGTCGTAGCCGGTTCACGTAAAATCACATTATTTAAGAAGATGAGAATTTCATAGAGCCATTATTTATTTTATTTATTTTTTAAAAAACTTTGCCCCACATTATGCTTTTATCGTATGTCGTGGGTGCTTTCACACACATATACAGTGCGGCCGACGTATCTTGGCGAGTCTGAAGTTAGCCGTTTGTCTGCGCAATAGATCTTTTAGGAACAAAATTGTCTACTGCGCAGCTAAACAGCTTACTTCAGACTCTCCAAGATACGTCGGCCGCACTGTATCACACCCAGACCCGGAATAATAATTTGTGGATTAAATACACAAAAAGTTGTTCCATGCGAGGTTGGCAGCAATACTTTTTTGTGTTTATCTATATATTACTTAGTAAATAGACGATAAGTACAATTATTTGTACGTTTCAATCATTATCACAGGACGTCCACTGCTGAACATAGGCCTCCCCATTGACTTCCAGATAGGCCGGTTGGAAGCGACCTGCAACCAGCGGCTTCCTGCGACCTTAGTCAGGTCGTCTGTCCACCTTGGGTGGACGTCCTAAGCTGCGCTTGCCGGTACGTGGCCTCAACTTGAGAACCTTTCTGCCCCAGCGGCCGTCGGTTCTACGCGCTGTGTGCCCTGCCCATACGTTTCAATACTTAGGTGCTATTTTTATAAATATGAAAGCGAAAGTTCTAAATTTATTCAGGTTATAATAGCGCGTTTTTTGCACTATGTTACAATTAACTAACTATGTTTTTTTATTATTTTTGTTTAGTGGATGGTTAAAGGCTCCTTTTTAATGTTGATCGGCCGAATATTATAATTCGTAAAAAGCATCTTATATATTTCAGCAGCAACTCAGGACGAGCAGCAACCGTTATTCATAGAACTTTAATACTTATTGTAAAGGTAACAAAGCTTATTATAACGTACCACTGAGCAGTTATGTATGAACTTTTGTTCGATGGTGAGTGTGGCTGCTCCAATCAGCTTAGATATACGTGTGTCCTCGATCACTGTGACGTAGTATCCACCAGACTGTTTCATCTTGGTGAAACGATCTGAAAATAATTTGCAGGATTAGAAAACTTTTAAAAACGTATTTGTTAATGGAACGCCGGTGGTATATGTCGCGTTAGAAAAACAAGAGCATGAAAGGATGGTAAACTCATAACAGTAGTGATAAAAGGTCGTGTGGAATGCACTCACTCAACTGTCCTTTTTTTGTATCGGGTTGGAAAATCCTTATGGAGACCCACCGCCTTCGGAAAATGGCGAAAGGTACTGTCAGACTCTTACTGACTATGTGTCGGAAAGGCGGGTATCGCAGAAGCATTCGTCGCATCCCCGCGACGGGTAATCGCCCGCTAGTTAGTCAGGCGGGCCCCTTCACCCACTGCGGCCGTCACCCCGACCGCAGGACTCCACCATAAGGGGCACGCGGAACACGGCGCCGCCGCCTCGAAGCCGAGGATGAGAGAGGAGGCAGTCTCTCTCCTTTTCCGCCACCGCCTTTGCGAGCATCACGGCCTTACAAAAGGTGGCGATGGCACTCCACCCTGACTCGCTCCCGACCACAATAGACACTACAGCCGGAAGCGAGTCACTGAACTGTCCATGCACGACCATGTATAAATATAGATACTAGAGCCTTAAGAAATATTAAGCATTATAAAAAGGGAAAGGAATAAAAGATTCCTTTGTCAGCTTTAGCAATTCCGTGTAGGTAAGCTTTTTATTGAGGATTTGAGGGCATAACGATCTTCAAATAACTTTCCCGCCCTAGGTTGGGCGAGAGGGAATGTCAGACTCTTACTGACTAAAACCCACCCCATTTATTCTCTTGCTCTAGGCCAGGGCCACTGCAAACCAGACTGACCTCTGTGTTCGGTAAGCACATGCGTCAGATGAAAGGGGAGTTGAAGACACCGAGGCGTCTCTATGCTATAAGAGCGAGTCCAACCCACGGGAGAGACACTCTCGTGTAAGCTTCAAATAGTACATTTGAGATCGAAAAATAAATGCATATTAAGACTTAGGAAACAATCGTTTGTGTCAATCAGGTTATATGGTTTGCAAAACAATATGTGTATGTATGCTCGCTTTTATTTAAACGTGCACGTGAGTGTGGTCTCTGTACGTCCTAATTAAATCAACAATGACCTCCAGTCAATCTTACAGCAGTTACTTTCAAAATGAAGAACATAATTACACCTATGCCAAAGAAGTGCAAAATAAAGCTGTAGGTACTCCAGTAAAAAGGCAAGTATACGCAAATATCAACCAGTTGTAGAAAAATAAGCCTAATTATCTCTACACAATAAATGCTCAAATCGCTCACAACAGTCAATGATCAGGAACTTAAAACAGAAAGGTCATTATCACTGCGCCGGTTTCACCAAGGTCGCATACTTAAATGTCAATAAGTTTCGCATACCATTGTAACCAGTCTATGTGGACATCTTAATAATGAACTGATTGTCGTTTTATTATTCCTTTTTTATTTTTTTATTTTTTGCGTTCTCTTAGGTCTATTCCCATGTTTTGGTACAACACAGGGAATAAGTCGGCTCTAATGGGGCGACAACATGGCCACACAGAAAATGGGAATAATACTATACAATACAACGCGTATGAGAGTGTGGCGGCAACCTAAGGCACATAACACCTCTATGCTACTGATGTCCATGGGACACCTAATGCTCTAATAATACTAATAGATTACTAGATTTAAAACACATTTTGGAGATTTTATGATTTACAGAGATACACCCAAATGCTATCTACATTTTATAATTGAAATCTTTCTTTTGGGCACAAACCCTAGAGCAATTACCTGCCTACCCTTAGTCTTCAAATAAAATGAAGGTACTCAAAATACCGAATATTCGCCATAACTCATAAATAAGTGTACAAGACTTATAACGCATACATTAAAACATAAAGACAGTCTGCTATTTACTGACAATACAATCGCAACACAAATGCTTGACTCGCCCACATTTTGCACATGTGTGACGTAAAATAAATAATACCCGTCCATTTGTGGCATTTCTGTCCTCACAGAAAACCGGCGTGAAACATCCACAGCGTTGTGTTTCGCCGTGTAAGTGAGGTTACCGGAGGCGCAATCCTTCCTCAATCCCTAAATCTCCAAATCCCTAATCCCTAAAAAGTCGGCAACGCACTCGTAACCCCTCTGTTGCGGGTGTCCATGGGCGGCGCTGATTGCTTGCCATCAGGTAATCCGTATGTTCGTTTTCGGACCCATTACATAAAAAAAAAATTGTATAAGCTGCAAGCCTATCGAAACTTCCCATTTAGAAGTTTACCGGTTTAATTTTGGTCATGCTCGTTAATTCTGTGCAATTATATTCTGATACAGATAACACTAATTGGTGCAATGTTTGGAATTTATTGGCAATGCTGTAATGTTGCAACTCTATGTGCTTTCTTGGAGCTAGTTGTCATGTTAGAAATGTATATTTCACCTTGAGGCTACCTTCCCTTCATGTTATGAGACAAGTAGTGATTGGTTTTTGTAATTGGTACCACTAATCTGTTGTAACCACAACCGATTTTTTTCAATTCAATACAAATATCATTTAGAATCAAAAATAAAATATTTATCCTAGAATCAAAGAAATTACCTTCAAACTGCTTCCTTGTGACATTGCCAACACTGGTCAGTTGTCCAAGTAGTTGCAGGAATCCTTTGTCGTAATCAGACCTCTGCAGTGGCCTTACGACCATCCAGTCTTCCTCAGGGTTTGCCGCACTGATCTTGGGCTTAAATTTCGCTGGACTTTTGTCAAAGTCCAAACGCTTGAGTATCTCAGGAGGATACAGGTATTCTGACGGCTTGCCATCCTAGTTAAAGAAAGATAACAGATTATAAAAGGAGAGACTTCAATGTACAATTTATAAAGTCTGAAATAATGGAATCAAAAAAAATATACAATTATACAATCAGGAGCTCCATGTGGACATTGTTGTGTTTCCGGTTATATAAGCACTATATTAGAATTTTAAAACTTAAAAATACTAATGCTGCCAAGTTTCAACATTCTGATAAAATAAATATTGTATCCATAGAGTGATAAAATATAGTCAGCTACTTAGTCCACAGGATTTTTTTTTAAGTATATATTTTTTTAAATAGATATTTAGGTATAGGTGTAATGTTTTGTAGGTCCAATCATTATAGCATCATCTTCTGGTTTTATTATATTGAACCTATTTCTATTACCAGCTTATCTTATATAAAGGTATTCTAGTACCTAATCATGGGAGATATATAAACATTATTTAATTGAATAAAAAAATCTTGGAAATAAATCAGTTCCAACTTAGTTTATTACATCCTAATCTATTTAATAAATACAAACTTTATCAGATAAAATCTATGACACTTGATATTACTTATTGCTTCATTTTAAAGATATTATTATTAATGTATTTATTTAGATTACAGAGAAAATTAATTGAATGTTGTGTATATCTTATCTCTAAATGTTTGTTTAGATGAGTGATGATAAAATAATATTTTAAGCATGATTTCACAAGCAAGAAATTGGATAAAATAAAGTAAAAAAAAAATATATTCTATAGATTTAAGATGTATTCTGGTTCCAATTTAACTGATAATACATAATTGTATGGATTACTCTCATGAAAATAAAGTGTAATTTAAATTACACATGTTTTATCCACTTAGTGTAAATATTGACAAATTTTTAATTCATATGCCTACAAATTATATTTCAATATTATTAGATTTATCGCATGTATTAGTTATTTAAAGAATTAAGAAATTCGTAGACTTACCATATTGTTATATTTCTCCATACCCATTTTCAATCGGTTACTTGTTTTTAATTTGAATAAAATTACGTACGCATGCTTTACAAGCGACAAGAGACTCGCTGTTTACGTAAAACAATTCTAATTGTATACGTGGCTCTAATGGAACGCACTTGTTTCGTCAGATATTAAATAAATACCACGCCAAGACAGGCGCACCACGTTACGAGAACTGCGGCCCTGAAAATTCTTAATAGAATAGTAAAGTGAAAGTATTCTAGGAACCTGTCTCAGAACCACAGAACATATATACCCTAAAGAGGGTTGCTGGTGCTCAGAACAGCTTAGCCGGCCGTCCATCAACTTATCAGATATTTGACATTTCTGACATTGAAAAAAATGTCAACAAAGCATGTGTCGTTAAGTGACATCAGACAATTTTTTTTTCGTGTTTATGACCTGGATACGAGTTTTTTAAACCAAGTCTTTGAATTTTCTCGGTTTTAAGTTATTATATTCAGACAATTAACAATGTCAATTGTTTAAAGTGCGGTGCCGCAGTAGATTTTATAACATTTTAGTATAATTAATTGTATATGCTGGTAAAAACGGGGTGAGTTTCACATTTGTATAACATCTTGGTGTATGTTGTTTGCGCAGATATAATGTATTACTATTTGTTTATCCCAAATAAATAAATAACATGTTAGTTACCATTTTTAAAATTATTTGTATGTCTTTACCAATCACGGGACCACAGGGTCCCGGTCATTTGGAAGGCGTACGAGGCGCCGGAGCCAACTGCGCAGAGGCCCTTTAGACAACTTTAATCAAAATGAAATGGGACACAAACCAGAGACTATCTAGGGAAATGCACCCAAGGACAGTCCCCGGTTAGTGTAGGACTATTGTGGATAATGGAAACGAAGTACAAGGTTATAGGTGTGGGTTGCTATGGGCTGGTATGATGGGAACTATGGAAGGACTATGGCACCTGCCGAAACAATGTAATAAATACACGTAAAAATGGCAGGTGGAGACTCGCCAACTCACCGACCGGGCCCCGGGAATGATTGCTTGTAATAGCAACAGAGGGACAACAGAAATGTGAGTGGCTGAAGGGTGAAGGTGAAGAAACTGCCACCAGCTTTCTACTCAGATCATCGGCATCTGCCTAAGCATTCTGCATCACTGGCCCACTCGCCGCTTACGAACAGCTTCCACCCTCCGAGCAGGATCACTACTCTCACGACTCCACTCTGGACGGCCAATGAAGGCAAGCCGGAGATAAGGAACGGTGACTCCTCCCTGGAGCAATCGGGATGATGGTAGCCCGCGGGGATCGCTATTTCCTGTCACCTCGCCTCAAGGTGCCCTGCGGGCTTATTTGTATGATTATTTAAGTGAAACATTCCAAATTATGATGAAATTAGCCGAGTTCATATTTAACACTTCAATATTTTCCAAAATTCAATTATTTCACTCACAAATCGACTGACGCACAGGACTGACGGCTACTATTTTTTGGGCCCATAATTTCCTATAACCCCTCGAACATTCGCCCAAAGTGCCTCACGCGTCGAGGATTTTTAGATTCTTTTTTTTTTTTGTTTGACCTTGAGAAAAACGCATATATCGTGGTTATATTAATAATAAAATTATATGCCATAATTATACTTTCCGGAAAGCCCATTAGTTTTCCTATGTATGAACTGTGTAAGATTATAAACAAATGAAACTGGCCTGACTTCGTAGCGAAGAGATAAATTGGCCTTTAACTTTCACACATTTCACATTACCTACACCAAAACATATTCTCGAAAAAAACACTTGAATACGATACATTTGCGCATAAATAGTTCATTCGCTTTCTATTGAAATATTTTCAATTGGCATTGGCTTTCCATGGTGTTAAACGTTGAACCATCCATTTACAACCATTTTTTTTGTTAGGGAAAATCATCGAATGTCTTCCGCCTAGGGTAAGGCGAGAGAGAGTGTGTCAGACTCTTACTGACTAAAACCCCCTCGTTCCTTTTCCTTCTCTGGCCCGAGGTCGCGGTGCCTCATTGCGCTTACCCCGCAACACCGGCTGAACATCAGCCCTATAGGGCCCCGTCTGTGGTAGTCTATTGACTCATTGAGGCGCGCGCGGAACGCTACGCGCCGTACGGTACCTACGCTCGTGTCTGGCTGGTCGGGCGGCGAGCTCGGAGCTACCCTTACACGCCGTCTACATACCCGCCCTTACGGTGGCGGAGATCGTCTCTCGATCCATTTACATCCATGGGGCCAAATATAAGTATAGGGAAAGTAGAAGAAAAACATGAAACAATGAAATAGTACAACGTAGTATTTTATATACCTACTTCTTGATCGAAAAATGCTCAGTAAAATATATTTCGGGTTTCAGGCAGTAGCTTTTTTTTATTTTCTTTTATTTAATTTTGTAGTGCCGAACCGACTTAGCCGAACCGAAATTTTGTTTTGAGTATTTAATATTTGATCAAACATAATCATGTTTAGAAACTAAAAAATTTATAAACACAAATCCTAAATACTAAAGTTTATACAAGTAGCCAACAATATATTTAGTCGAGTTAACACAGATTCACTTCTATTCACTGTACATACCTAAACTCAACTGTCAAAAACAGATGTGAAATTGTGAACAATATACAATATTTTGAAAGAATAGGTTATATTGTACAATTTTGCAAAAAAAAAGCTTATAATTAATGTGATATGTGAAGTACCGTGATTATTATAAAATAAATGTGTAAGAGTTCAACAAAATGGCTTTGTGTAAGATAAACACTTTCATAAATCTGATAAGATACACAACTCCAAGCCCAATTCTGTGCAAATCATTAACAAAAACAAATAGTTTTAGTTATTCTAAACCTTTGTTAATTAGTTCACAACGTTGGTTATTTCATGAAAGCAGTAGAAAGGGTGGATACGAAACAGAACACAAAATATCAAATATTCAGCATCTGAAAAATGGACTCAGAGAACTAAAAGAAGAGTTTAAACTTTTTGGTGAAGAAGTGAAAGAATTAATTATAACAGATCCGTTATTGGTTGCTAGACCAGGTATGTTGAATATATAAATATATATTTAAGAAATTCAATGAAGTATTGAGTGTGAAATAAAGCAAAATACTTTTTTTGGTATTGCTAAGTAGATTTTGATCATCATCATCATCCCATAAGTGCCCGAAGAGGCCTTTGCTCAGCAGGAGCAAAGGCCTCTTCTCACACGTAGAAGGTTTGAGCATTAATCACCACACTTGCTCATTGCGGGTTGGTGATTTCAAACTTATAATTAGAAGAAATTATAAGTTGAGGTTTCCTCATGATGTTTACCTTCACCATATTATTATGTCAGTGGTGTCTAAATAATCATAGAAAGTACATATAACTCGGAAAAAGTCACATTGGTGCTTGCCAGATTTCAAACCTACACCCTCATGCATGAGAAGTGGGCTCCTTAACCTCCGGGCCACCACAACCTCTTTTTTTTAGATTTTGAATCGGAAATTGAAAAAAAAATCTTCACATCAATAACAAACCATTATTTAATTAGTGTGTTTTTTAATTTTAAGTAAGTTAATATCAGATGAAATTGCTTTCTTTTTAAATATGGTTTTTCATTTTTGACGCGCGTCGCCCGTGGCGAGGATCCTCTGCCGCGCCAAATTAGTGCGTGGCGGAGTGACCTCCTGCGAGATCTCATGGCTGAGTGGAAGCAACAACTGTCGCAACCGAGGGCCTGGCATGCTGTTATAGCAGCGGTAAGACCCCTCTTTCGGGCATGCTACCATAGCAGCGGTAAGACCCCTCTTTGAGGAGTGGCTTGAGAGACGCCACGGCGTCCTCACCTTCCGTCTGACGCAGGTGCTTACCGGGCACGGCAGCTTCGGTAGGTTCCTGTTTCGGATTCAGCGGGAGGAAACGCCCGAGTGTCGTCATTGTGAGGACCACCTAGAGGATACGGTGGAGCATACGGTAGCGGTATGCCCTGCCTGGGCACACCACCGCCGTATGCTCCACCGTTTCCTCTAGGTGGTCCTCACAATGACGACACTCAGGCGTTTCCTCCCGCTGCTGAACCTACCGAAGCTGCCGTGCCCGGTAAGCAGCGTCAGGCGGAAGGTGAGGACGCCGTGGCGTCTCGCCGTGTTCTTGGGGACGTGATCTGCGGCGGCAATCTCTCCCGCCCGGCCTTAGTCGAGGTCATAGTTCGTAGCGAGAGGAACCGGGAAGCCGTTCCCTCTTTCTGCGAAGTAGTGATGCTTGCAAAGGAGGGAACTATCCTACATGCCGCCCCAGCCGCCGCAGTAGGCGACATTCCGGGCGTCGTGTCGGGGATCGAGAGATGATCTCCGGCCACCGCGCAAGTCTGCGGACGGCGAGTAAGGGTAGCTTGCCGCCCGACCAGAAACAGACCCAAGCGTACGGCGCGTAGCGTTCCATATAATAGAGCATCACAGACGGGGCCTTATAGGCCTGATGTTCAGCCGGCGTTGCGAGTATAGCGCAATGAGTTACCGAGGCTTCGACCCAGACCAGGAGAAGGAACGGGGGTTTTCAGTCAGAAAGAGTCTGACACTCTCTCGCCTTACTCTGGGCGGGAGAAGTCATTTGTTGATTTTCCCCTGACAAAAAAAGAATACGTTAACAGTATAGTTCTAATAGTTTAGTTTATGATGATTAAGATGTAGTGAACGGACAGACAGACATATGTCTTAATCAATCAACAAATCGACTTAATCGAATTCCGTGAATAATTCCAATAAAGTTAGTAAAATGGTTAAAAAAAATATTTACTAACCTTTATCATCTTTGTATAAATATGTAGGTATTTTGCCGCTCTCGTCGATCAAAATGTCAGAGCTACAAGAGTGAACTGCCTAATAAAATAATCTAAAACATCTTAAATTTTGCCACGAGACAAGTTTTGTATTATCATAAAACAGAATATTAGCAATTGATGAAATTACAAATTTTAGTCGATTTTATCCTTAGTCGATTGTACCTTATGGTCAGATGTGACATGACAGCTGAGAAAAATAATAATAGTAGTCTGTGACAGGTACATTCAAAACTTAAAACCGTTGCAAGTCGTTGAGCCAAGAATAATTATTTCTGCTTCTTTCTATTTTGTTTTTGTTGATCCAAAACTTATCCAAGTTTTATAAATAGCACCGACACTAGAACCGACTTGTAACTGTCGGACAGTGTGTTTCATAGATATAAACGGTCTGAGAACAATAAAAGCGAATGTTTTCAAACTTAATTCTAAACGATTCTTCTGTTGCATCTAATGATAAGGGAATAACAACCTTTTACAAGAAATTCCAAAACTTTTTGGGTCGTGGATCAGATAGTAGCGTGAACATTAATGACGACATGTTGTCTGTTGGAGCAAGTACAACTGCATCTGAAGACAGTTTCATAACACCAGTGTCATCGGTGGGTGATCTAATGACGATGTCTCCTAAGCGGTGTAATGATGTGTCCGAACAAAGGAACGAGACCAGCGATCTTCTAACAGGATCAGACTTCGATAGCATTTGTGATGTAACTATGAAAGAGGTACCAATGTCTGACGATATGTTTATTGATGCTACAAGTTTGGATTACCTTGTCAAATGTGCAGAGTCAAATCGCAACCATAACCACATAGATCGGGGCAAGGAAAGTTTATTCGTAAAGTTCGATCCACTATACGCACGTCAAAAGCTAGAAGATTCTAGCTCTGTAAACACTGAATCTGCAGTAGACTCCTCCGAGTGTGACATTGGTTATGAAACAGGCACTACTGTGTCAAATACTGATAATGATGTTATTTTACCTAAACACTCACAGTCTACAGGGTCTATGCCTTCACTAAGAAAACCCATGCAAGTTGTGCCACCTGTACTTAACAGTGGAAACTCTAAGACAAGTAGTAGTTGCACTAAATCTACTCCAGCCCTCATGCGCAGTGTCTCTGCTATTCTCACACCCTCTAGGGGGGTGGCCACTGAGCGGCTCATTAGCATATCAGGCAGCACTCCTCCCACAGCAGCACCCAGAAGTCCTCGCTATCACAATTTTACTTCCCAAGATGTGGATCACCTTCATACACTGAGAAGTATTCTTCAAAAACAAGAACAGGAGGTATTGCAGCTTAGACAACAGAACAGAGAGCTGAAGTGTACAATACAGGATATGCAACATGATCACAACAGGGAAAAGGAAGATCTCACAGCTAAAGTTAAGAAATTGACTGATGAAAAGGAAAATTATTTACAAAAAGAAAATAAATTGCTTCAACAAATCAATGACAAGATTATAAGTAACAAACAAATGAGTATTGTCATGGAGGAGTATGAAAAGACGATATCTTCGCTGATTGAAGAACAACAGCGTGAAAAGGTACTGAACTATGACACCCTGGAAAAAGTCACATCGGAGAGAGATCAAGCTTTAAATCATTTAAGTAATATGGAGAGTTCTTTTAATGATCTCCTTACAAAATATGAAAAGTGTAAGAGTGTAATATTAGAAACTAAAGAGAGGGAAAAGGTTTATGAACAGAAAATGTCTGAGTATCAGGCTGCTGTCAAGAAATATGAAGAACTCTATGGAAACTTAAAACAGGTAACTTCAGAGGCGCTGACTAAAGCTAATGAAACACTGGACAACCTCAAAAAGAACTACAACATTGAAGTAACAAAGTTGAATGCTACTGTTAAAAAGCATGAAATTACTATAGCTTCTTTACAAGAATCTTTGGTGCAGAAGACTAGAGATAATGAGGAGTTAATGAGGTTGTATGATCAGCTCATTAGTGAAGTGCATTAATATATTTACTAAATTTCATAATACTTTATCTTCACTTGGTGCTTTCACATTTCCAAGCATGTGATGTTATAGATCTGCTTGTCTTAGCTAACTTCTCTCTGTGATGAATCTCAACTTTTTAATGTTAAATTGTTAGTTTTAATAATAATATTTATTAGCATTTAGTGTTTTTTATGACATTTGTTTGTTTGAAAATTTGTGATTATGTTTCTATTTAATGACAACAGTATTAGTTTCTGACCTTTAAACTTAGATGCACTGCATACTTTAATGTATATTTGACATATTAGAGTAGTAAAACTACGACATTTTAAACTAATGACCTAATAAGATTTTCAGAACAATAAACTAACTAGTTTGACACATTGAAAATATAAAAATGTGTGTGAGACGGAAAATTAAACATTGTTCTTGTAAAAGAATTATAGTAATTAATAATTATAAAATTAATCCAATGTGTAGCAGCTATTAGTAGCTAGACAATAGTCAAGGCATTTTAGTTACTTGAAGTACCTAATTTAAAAGACATCTAAATAAAAATGAGCCAAGGAGCAAATAAAATCATGTTAAAATACTACTACTGGTATTTTCCAAGACTCAATAGGAACAGATGTGCCATTAAAAAATAGTTGGTAGTAAATAAATAAAATTTTGATAACATGACTATACTTTTTTCTGGATATTGAATAAAATTAATTATTTGAAAATGGAATACTAATAGAATATAAACTATTATTTTATAACAATAATCTGTATTTTTCAAAATAGTCTATGTAAGACTTTTCTACTACTGTTGCCTTTGTATTTTTATCGTAAAATTTAGAGATAAACATTCTATTGTCTACTACCAATTTTATATTAGATTTGTAATGCTAATTTTAGGGGTGTTGGTTAAACCCAAGACATTTCATTACATTAAATACTTGTGTAGTAATGATTGAGAATAAGTCTTAATTTTTCTCTATAATTTTGCGTTCTTCATTAGTCCAAACGTGCATTTTGTACTTAGATATTTAATAAAGGATTTTTATAATAATATTGTTGTTTAAATGTTTACAAAATCTATGTTTATCTCTTGGTTTGATCATGTTACGTCAGTTCACCTCAGAAATAAAAAAACACAATGTTCAATTTTATTTCGGGTCACTGAGAGACATGGGACAACTATTTGTGTATTGCAAAAAGAGTATAGAAATCGAATTCGTGACACGTCGCCTAGATACTGCGTTAACCGAGCAGTCAACATCAATAACTTTTTTTAAAATAAAATCGTTGCCCCGCTCTGATTTTCTCCTGTGTCGTGATTGTTTACAAATATACAATTTTTGTATTTTACACACACATCACACCCAGATCCGGAACAACAATTTGCGGATCACACAAAGAGTTGTTCCGTGTGGAAATCGAACCCGCGACACGTTGCGCTGCAGCCAGTTGCCTAGCCACCGCGCGTGCCGTGCAGTCAATTGTAACATAAACTTTTTTTTTTTCAGGTGAAACAGACATCATCTGGTGTTTCAATGAGCCTAGTAAGTTGGACAGTTTTACAACAACCTGCGACAGTGATCACAATGAAGGTTTTAGTAAATGCAGCTTTGAAATGAGCAGTGCCGGCAGAGGCTTATTTCATGGCTATCTCGATACCCGGGTACCGAAAGATGGTCGTATAAAAAAGGCGGGATATTGTGCCATGAGATCGAAGAGAGTCCGAGTAAGTTCTTAATTTGAAAACATATATAGGTACCTACATCTTTTAAAACATACCGCGGGAATCGACTGACCAATCGAATAACGAAGAAACTTAATGTAGGTCATATAAATACTCCAGGTTTTTCTTCCACGAGTTCAACATCTACCAAGTTGCCTAGCAGCGGTACACCTAATGCGCCAGTATTGCAGTAAAACTACGCTGTATAAGTAGGTACCTAGGCACAACCGCACAACTGCAATGTAATTGGTAGGTTTCTGTAGTCGATAAACATTTTAAAGCATACACCGCATCACAGTCAATCACAGGTGCACTGCGGTATTATTCATTATTATTACGTAGTAGGTGAGCTGTAGAGTGACACAAATTGCAATCTGTATTTTTAAGAATAGAGTTGCAAGTTGAAACTATAATTCAAAAATGTGATTCCAAAAAGTTATTATTTGTTCTACTCCTGGCTCTGTAAAAACGTTGCGGGTTTTTTTAAACAGGTTATAAATACCTACATAAAATTGTAAACGACTAATCGTTACTCAGTCTGAACCATAGACTAATAATGAGTTCTTTTTTATAGAAATCGTTCAAACGAGCAGGAACCTTTGACTGGCATCTGTACAATACCTTAGTGTTGAAGGTAAGAGGGGATGGCAGGTCTTACCTACTGAACATATCCTGCGAAGGATTCTATGACATCACATGGAACGATATTTATCATTACGTACTCTACACCAGAGGTGGACCATACTGGCAGATTGCGAAGGTATGTATAGATAATTTAAGAGCAGATTTTGTACACAATAACAAATTGTTAAATGATAACATAACTTTAACATAAGTGTTACTTGTTTTTAAGTAATGTTACCTACACTAAAATTTTCACTTGTTATAAGTATTGTGAGAACCATGTAACAAGGGCTGTGATATATTTAAGGGCCGTTATGACAAATTTTCGAAAAACCTCAATACCTAATACTTTGGCAACGAAGTCGTGTTTAAAAATGACTTTCTCAATTTTAAGCCTTTACCTTTTTATAATAATCGAAACTACTAAGTAAACCTTAATAGTCTACTGCGCCGATCAATTTATAAAAAATATGGCTTCCTTAAAAAGCATATAATTTAGTATTAAATAACTAACTAAGTATTACTGTATCTGTACTGAGTCAATCTTTATTTAGTTATCAGCTACCAAACAACTATGGAGACAACTTATAGGTACTTAGTACTTACTATAATTATAGTAAGTTGGTAGGTGGATACATACCTACATTTACATAGCAATATGTCGCGCACCCAAGGCCTAAGCTGCATACCTACTCGTAATATATGCAAAACGTGTTTGTTCCCTTGAAAGCTTGGATGGTACTTGTAACAACTTCTACAGACGTAATTAGCCATATTTGGAAGTTATCGTATCTACTCTGTTTATCTTGTCGAGTAGTTTTCTTGGCGTTTTCTTGATGTGCATTATTATTATTAGCAACTAGCGGACTGCCCCTGCTTCGCACGGGTGTCCGACTACCCCGGTGTCAGTCATTTCTTTTGCAAGTGTACGGCCTCAGCACCGAAAGGGTTGTTAATTCCCGCTACTCCCCTCAACTTTTATAAAGTATTCTAATCGTAAGAACCTTCTCCTAACAATAACAAACACAACAAAAAAAGAATAAGCAAAATTGGTCCAGGCGTTGTTGAGTTATGCGCTTACCAACACATTTTGCGATCCATTTTTATACATATAAATAAGATAAGAATAAAATCACGGCTGTGATGTTAGGAAAGGTAGGGCGAAGTGATGTTCACCTTAGTGACCGGCCTATTGATATACAGTTCGGCCGCCGTATCTTGGCGAGTCTGAAGTTAGCCGTTTGTCTGCGCAATGGATCTTTTAGGAACAAAATTGTGTACTGCGCAGCTTATTGGCTAACTTCAGACTCGCCAAGATACGTCGGCGGTTATTGTACACTGGGGACTAATCCATAATCAAACCTCTTTGATGACTATGACAATTTACAAAATTTTGATCTCTCCTAACTAAGACCACTTAGTCTTTCCTTTTCTTTGAGAGGGAAATTATCCCATTTTTTCTGGGTGGGACGCGAGAGGGAGTGTTATGCCTCGTTTAAATTCAGCCCAGAAGTGGGCAGGACGAGTATGTAAACTTATACTTCTCATGCCACTGCTAATGCCAGTCGCGCTGTCCAGCGTTCCCCAAAAGAGCGGTTGTTAGTGGGGACTTCAAAGCAGCACAAAGTAAGACATTCTTCTCAATAGCTCAGAAAGAAACAGCGCGGATGCCGAAAACATTAAACGTCTGCCATTTCCGGAACTTGAAAGCGCCATTTCCGGAACTTGAAAGCGAAGTGAGAGGAAGGACAGTATGTAAAACACAATACACCTTCCTCGATCTTGCCGCAGCAGTACCTATTAAGGGAATTATTGACGGCAGCGCGAGGAACAACGATAGCGGCTGAATGTAAATGAGGCATTAGACTCTAACTCACTATCAAGCAGGGCCCCGGTACGTAATTGTGTTTGCTCCCAGAACCCCGACTGGACAGCGCCTCTCAAGTAGTGGGCCCCATCTGTAGTGGGTTGAGGTTCTTTGTGTTGTTTTGATCGAGGCGGAGCATACACACGGGTACCTATTGTCTGTCTATCTAGACAGTCTAGTAGGTACTACTCAATATTTAGATTAAGATTGAAAAGTAAAATTAATTTCAAATTTTTTATTTACAGATACCATTCTCGAAATTCGTGTTAGGTTCAAAAGGTCGCATACAGGACAAACAAACTAGGTTCCGATTTGACAGAGTTACACACTTTGGTATTTCTTGCGGTGATAAAATCAACGGCAGATTCGATCTGGAAATCGAATATATTGGTAAGAAATAATTTTAATCTGTACTAATATCATAAAGAGGTATAATTTGTAAGTTTGTGTGTAAGGGGTAATCTTTGGAACCGCTGGTCGGATTGCCAACATTCTTTCACTGATAGATAGCTACAATATTCCTGAGTGATATAGGCTGTAAAACATCGCGTTACGATTAAATATATCCGAGCAGCGGGTAAAACCGCGAGAGAGTAGCTAGTATGTAATAATACAATTTTGACCAATTAAGTTTGTTATGTATCATGCAATTGGGGGTCGAAACGACCTAAGCCTATTAATTACTACTGTAATAGTAACCCATGTTGCTTAGTCCGACCCATAAAAGGGTAAACTAATAATTAAAAGTACCTAAATGTAATATGAAAGTACATTAGTGTGTTTGTATTTGAGATATGATAAAATTCTATCATTACCAACCATTTCCTAAGGGAAGCGCGATATGGTTTGTGGGGCATGTCATGATAATAATAAATAGGTATTTATTATCATAGCTTTGTTGATCTAGTGCTCAAATAGCTATGAGATGAGTAAAAAGACTACACAATTAAACTTTTCCACACCATAAATCGAAAACGAGATTCAGCGGGCTTGACCACCAAGTTAACGACAATTACGATTTTTTGAAGATATTAGACAGAAGATTCTTAAAAAACAATTGACTGGGCATTCGATGGAAAGGCTTATTTTCAGCAATCTTTGGATAACGATTTCGAAATTAACAGCTTTTGTATTTCATTACAGGTCTGGAGTTTGACCCCACCCACAATGAAGAATTTGCCTACGAAATGTACAAAACAGATAAATATATTGTTGGAGTTTAAATATGTTTGTTAAGACTAGTCGAATAATAAAAAATTGTTAGTAATAATTTTTATTTATTTAAATCATACTTATTATTTCATTCCAATACAGTTCCAATTAATTTCATTATAATAGACCAGATTTCGCGTGGCTTCGCCCGCGTGGTATGTTGATTAAAAGCAGCCTGTGTCTATCCAGAGTATCGCCTATCTACATACCAAATCGGTCCAGCCCTTTTGCGTGAATGAATGACAAGCATACACGCATAGATTCTCACAAACTTAAGTGTCTTCTCGCCCTGGGCGAGAGAGTGTCAGACACTTACTGACAAAAACCACCCCATTCCTTCACCTAGACCATGGCCGCAGCAATAACACCAGTCCTAGTGGCCGCATCAGTTGACTGTGGGCTCATTGAGGGACGCACCCAATACTACGAGCCGAACGCTCGGGTATGTTTGTGGTCGGGCGGCGAGCAACCCTTTTCGTCATCAGCAGACCCGCGCCCAAATGCCCCCTAATGCGGCGGAGTCTGCAACCAGGATATTGTTGGTAACTACAACTACAAAATGGATATATAAAATAAGTACGATTCAAGCCTAAAATAATAATAAGCCAATAATAAACGCTGAATATTTCGCAGATTATTATTATAACTATTCACGAATATATTCTATCGATATACTCCTACATCGTCTAAAGGTAAAATCAGTTAGTAGTTCATATGATATACGAGTACATTGGTCAATAGAATAAACATTTGACTAAGTTGGAATAACCGTAAAATAACTGAATATTTTATTAGGTACGCTCAGAATACATAGGTACGTCTCTAATCAAATGTCAAAAAAAACTTTTATAACACAGGGTTTGATAATGAGTCCAAACGCAGGGTTAAGAAATAAAAGTTCGTATAATCAAAGAAAACAGATAGACACAACAATAACTTAATCCTAACAAGAAAAAAATACAATCACTCAACGCGGAGCACCGCGGAGGAAAATAATAATATTATGCGTCCGAATCACGCGGCGGTCGGGACTCTCTTGCGCGAGCGAGTTGCGCGTCACGGGTTGCCGCGGCGCGATGCTGGCGGGGTGAGGGGCGCGAGAGTCGCGGGCGCGGGGATGCGGCCGCGTTTCGTTAGCTGCGCGGCACGATCGTAGAAATTTTAAATACCCCGCGCTACAGTCTCCCCCTCTAGTCCAGCTAACGTGCCCTCACAGCTGGACTAGTCTAGATACCTGCGCGGCCTACCACGCTTACGTTTTTCGCGGACCGGTGGTTCTACTTGACCATTATAAGGCGTCAGGTTCGAGACGTGGAACCTCCCAACGTCCCCTCCAGTCTGGATGTTTTCTAGACTATAGGTAGTGGGGCTTACGATCCTCCCAATCCTGTAAGGGCCGTCACGACGCGGAATGAACTTTGCGGACTGTCCGCGGCCCGCATCGTTTGGTCCCTGTGTCTTGAGCAAGACGAGGTCATCTACCTTGTAGTCTGGTGGTGGCCTCCGCTTCTTGTCGGCATACTCCTTCTGAGCGGCCTGAGCCTCCTCGTGAGTATCTCTGGCCTGATCCAGGGTCGCTGCCATCTGTTTTAGGTAAGGAGTAATGCTGGGTATGAAATTATCATTCTCCACGACAGCCCTCATGTCTGCCGCAGAGTCGGAGGGAGCTCGCAGTTCCCTCCCGAAAGTGAGATATGCCGGCGAAAATCCGGTGCTGCTGGTGACGGCGGAGTTCATTGCGAACCTGACAGCTGCCAGATGCAGATCCCAGGCCGCATGGTCCGCGCCTACAAGTATTGCCAGCTGGGATTTGAGGTCCCGGTTCTTTCGCTCTATCGGATTAGCCTCCGGGTGATAGTAGGGTGTGAGTGCCTGGCTAATTCCTAGGACATGACACACTTGTTGCATCACCTCGCTCACGAACTGAACACCGTTGTCGCTAATGAGGCGGCGTGGGACTCCATACCTTAAAAATACCTCGTTAGCCAACGTCTGTGCACACTCGACGCTGGTGGCGCTCTCTAGCGGGAATAGCTCGACCCATCGTGAGCAAACGTCTTCCACGATTAATACCCACCTGTTCCTGCGCGGCGTCTCGACTAAGGGACCAAACAGGTCCACCGAAACTACCTCGAATCTCCGTGCCATGGCAGGGGTTTGGAGCAACCCTGCTGGTTTACGATTGTCGACCCTGTACCGTTGGCATGGTACACACTCCTTGATGTAGCTGGTCACGAATGCCCTCATGCCAGGCCAATAGTACCTGGCCCGGACACGGCTCAAGGTGCGCTCTACTCCGAAGTGACCGGCCGTAGGCGCGTCGTGAAGGTCAACTAACACTTGCTTGCGCTCCTGCTCCGGAACAACCAAACAGCAGTTTTCTTCGTCGTCTGACTCCAAACTGTACCTATAAAGGATTCCATCAGACATGACGTAACCCCGATCTGACCACGGTCTCCCCCTAGAGGGTTCGTCGGACTCCATGTCCTCGATGATTTTACGAACCTCTGGATCCAGGAGCTGATTGCTGCGGACATCAGCGCCGCTTCTTCTCGGCATGTCAATAATAGTAGTGCGTAGTTCGCATTCATCCGAGTCGTCCGCACAAACGGGTCGCGACAGCGTGTCCGCCACCACATTCGAACGACCGGGAGTATACTCGATAACAAGGTCGAACTCTTGTAACGTTAGGGCCCACCTTGCTAGTCGACCGCTGGGCGACCTTTGACTCATCAGCCACCGTAGGGGTTGGTGGTCCGTCCTAACTACAATCCTCGCGGCCTCGACGTAACCGCGGAACTTACCAAGTGCCCATACGACAGCGAGGGCCTCGCGCTCGGTCGTGGAGTAATTTCTCTCGGCGCTGGTGAGAAGTCGGCTCGCATATTCAATCGGCCTCTCGTCTTGGCCCTCCCCCTGCATAAGAACTGCTCCAAGGCAATACGCACTACTGTCAGTGCAGAGTACGTAAGGCTTTGATTCATCAGCCTGACGCAGTATGGGAGCGGTCACAAGAAGAGACTTGATGCGCTCGAAGGCCTCCTGTTGCTCGGCGTCCCATCGCCAGACACTGGACTTCTTCAGCAGGTTCGTGAGAGGTCTCGCGACTTCTGCATAATTATTAATAAATCGTCGGTACCAACTCGACGTCTGCAAAAAACATTTCAACTGCTTAACGTTCCTGGGGGCAGCCATGTTATCGATAGCTGCCGTTTTATCCGGATTTACCTGGATACCGCCTGGCACAATAATGTGCCCCAGGAACGGAACAGACTCCTTGGCAAAGAAACTCTTGTCTCTATTTACCCTTAACTTAAACATGGCTAGCCGATCGAAGACGACCTCCAGATCTGCCAGGTGCCTCTCGAAGGGTCTAGGCGACAACAGGATCAGATCGTCTAGATAACAGAATAGCTCAACCCCCTTTAGGTTGGAGCGGAAACGGTCCATTAACCTTTGAAAAGTTGCCCCGGAATTCCGTAGGCCCATTGGCATTCGTTTGAATCTGAATGTCCCAAGCGGCGTCGTGAAGGCCGTTTTGTCCTGGTCTTCTGCGCAGACACTCACTTGGTGATACCCGGAACGAAGATCTAACGTGGTCATATACTCACTGGTCTTGGCAGCATGCAAGACATCCTCAATGCGTGGTAGTGGGTATCGGTCTGGCTCTGTCACTGCATTGAGCTTACGATAATCAATGCACAACCTCAGACTCCCGTCCTTCTTACCTACCAGTACAACGTTGGATGCCCAGGGTGACTCGCACTCTTCGATGACGTCATCTTGCAGTAGTTTATCCAGTTCCTTCTGCAAGGCATCTCTCTTCGTCTGGGACATCCTATACGGTGGACACGCAATGGGTTCTTGGTGTGGACTCACCTTTATTCGGTGCATAGCAAACTCCGTGGGTGGTCCGTGGCGCGCGAACTGCGGCGCACGACTATCACAGAACGAGTCGAGTGAACGTCGCTGCTCGGGGGTTAACTTACAACCTTCATCCGGGCGCAGCGTCAACTCCGACGGTGCGGCGTACATCAGCCCCGTGTCAGATAAAGCGGGCCGCTGTGTATCCACGTCGCTCGCACTAAGTACATAAGAATACACAAAATCGTAAACGACACCGGGATCATCCGCGAATGTCCAGACCCGGCGGGCGACGTCGATTATTATTCCTGCCCGGGTCAAAAAATCGACTCCTAGCAATGTCTTGGTGTTCGCCCCTGGCAACACTAACATTGGGCACACGATTTCACGACCTTCAATGAAAATACTCACCTCGGCCGATAACAGGTTCCTCCACCCTTGCGTTCCGTCAGCAAGGTGAACGTACCTTTTCGTGTCGCTAAAACTTACTCCAGAGTCAACTAAAACTTGGTGTAATAAAGGGCTCGCAAGACTATGTGTTGCTCCCGTATCCACCACAGCCACGCCGCGACGGCCCATAACATTAACATTTACCATCGGATATAACTCCCGCGATGTTACGTTATTGATGCGTACGTAACTCGAATCGTTATCACTAAAATTATTAAACGACGCTTCGACCGGTTTTGGATTTTTATTATTACACACGTCGCATCGGGACTTCACGACGTCCGGCTTACCACAGCCGTAACACCGCAACCTATTCGCGAAGGGCGGCCCGCTACTCGGCCCCGTACCTGACGCCTTATCACCAGTCGACTTATCACGGTAACGACAATCATCACTAAGATGCCCGAAAGAACGACAATGCCTACAACGCGATCTCGTCTTATTATGGTTGCGCGTCGCGGTCTCGGTCTCGGTCCCCGTGTTGTCGTTATGTATCTTAGGTAACGAATGTTTGTTTTGATTTTTCTTTAATTTAAAATAATTTTCCTCCGCGATTCTGGCGCTACATAATAACTTATCTAAGCTTACTATGCTATCGCGGGGTACACGCTTAATCACACGTCTATGTAGTAAACCGTAACACATATCTATTTGCATTTGTTCGTCTAGCTTATATGGTAGCTTTGCAATTAATGCACGCACTTTGCAAATGAATGAATCAACACGTTCGTCGTCACGTTGCTCGGCGGCGTAGATATCGCGAAGTACCTGATGCGCGGGCTGCGCCACGCCGTAGGTTTCGCGCAGGCGCGCGAGCGCATCTGACCATGTGCTCACTGACGCCTTCACGCCGCGCCACCACACCGCTGCCTCGCCCTCCAACAACATAGGAAGACCTCGAAGGGCGTGAGCGTCGCTGATGGCCGTGCATTCTTTATATATCTGCACGGAATCCAGGAACGCCTCTAGGACCTCGGCGTCCTTGGAGGCTCCGGTGAACCTCGCCGTGCATTTGGCGAAGTTGATGCCGGCGGCGGCGGCTGCTCCGCTTGCGCCGGCCTCGACGCGGCTGGCGCTCGTGTCGGGGCGGCCCGCGCGCGCTGCGGCGTGGCCCGCATGCGCGTCGGCGCGGCCCGCATGCGCGTCGGCGCGGCCCGCATGCGCGTCGGCGCGGCTCGCCCCGGCGTCGCCGCTGCACGCGTTCGGTTGAAGAGAAGCCCCGATGGGAGTGGATGTCCTAAACTCGCCGGTGGACGTCAACGCTGCGATGAGGCTTTTGTTCGCCTCCATCTGCGCACGCGTAACCGCCTCGATTAGCGTGGATAAAAATTGATCTGTAGGCTGCATTGTGGGGTGCGGCGCTGTCGGTGCCGTGCTGCTGGATCTCGCGGCGTCCCCGCGACCAAGCTCCACGACGCTGTCCTCGTCCTCCGTAAGCGTGGCGTCGTCGTCACGGCCTCGCTGCCGGAGTGCTTCCTGCCTCGTTATCGGCATTTTGGATAGGATAACGCGTAGTTGCACACTTTAACGGTTCGCACAAATCACACAATGTTCACAGTTAGCACGTGTTACTCACTCAGTCAGTAGGTAAGTTCGTGCCACGAGTAGGGCGCCATTATAACACAGGGTTTGATAATGAGTCCAAACGCAGGGTTAAGAAATAAAAGTTCGTATAATCAAAGAAAACAGATAGACACAACAATAACTTAATCCTAACAAGAAAAAAATACAATCACTCAACGCGGAGCACCGCGGAGGAAAATAATAATATTATGCGTCCGAATCACGCGGCGGTCGGGACTCTCTTGCGCGAGCGAGTTGCGCGTCACGGGTTGCCGCGGCGCGATGCTGGCGGGGTGAGGGGCGCGAGAGTCGCGGGCGCGGGGATGCGGCCGCGTTTCGTTAGCTGCGCGGCACGATCGTAGAAATTTTAAATACCCCGCGCTACACTTTTCTTTTTTGGGCTGTCGCAAAGTGCATTTCCGTAAGATTTCCGTCATTCCATTTCCATTCTTAGCATTTCTGAAAATATTGTTGTCTCCCTCACTCTCGTGAAATTATCAATTTGCTATCTTGTTGTCAAAATGAGGAGTGGTGATTTCATAGACTAAAATGGATAACGCATCTGTGGCGTAAATTACTGATGTCATCGCCTTGATCATCATTCATCGTTATTTTCCTGTACAGTGAAGTGATGTTTATTTAATTGTGACACTTTGTTTCGTTACTCAATTTCAGTAAAATTGTTTATAAAGATTTCCAACCGTTGCTATTACTTCAGAGCTTCATGGCTCAAGGATATTGCGGTAGGTTATCTTAGCAAGCAACGCAAATTAAAAACTTTATTGTTCCTATTCATTGCACCTTGCGTGGGATGTTGACCATTTCACATATTTCAACACTCCCGATTATTTAACACTAGTGGAACGAACCTAATCTTATTTAATAAGATTTGGCCGAATTAATCTAATTAAGATAATGATTTTGCGCGAACCAGTTTGTCTCGAACACGACTTATATGGTGCTAAGTGATATTGCAGTCTGTCAATATAATATTTACGTGCTTTCAGGTGAGACCATGTGAACATAATTATATAAAGGAAAACTAGTTCGGGAATAGTGAAATCAGTGTGTAGTACCATGTCAGGTACAGAGCAGAATATAGTGAACTCAATGCAGCAATTATCTGTGCAACCCAATATAAGTGGCCCTACTGAGAAACCTACGCAAGTTGTTACACCTGCTGTGAACAGGAGTCAGCAGGCAGCAGCAGCCAAGGTAACCCCTGTGAAAGTAAACACTGTGTCCCCAGCAATAGCTACAATAGACCGGTTATTGAGTCTGGGAGCCAACGTCCCACCCCCACCCCCAGTCATCACACGGCCGTCAGACATGGACCCACATACTGTGGAACAGCTTCGTGCTGTCAAAGAGTTGCTCACGGCTCAAGAAGAAGAAGCTCAGAACCTTAGAGACATCAACCATGAACTACGAGAAAGATTAGAAGAATGTGAAACAAAAATTAAAAAGTTGTCTGAACAGAATGAAGAGTATGCAGAAAAGGAAAAAGCTCTCTCTCAGCGTGTAGCTGAAAAAGTAAGAAATAATAAACAAATGAGTGTGGTCATGGAGGAATATGAGCGCACCATATCTTCTCTTATTGGGGAACGTGAGGCAGAAGGGAAGAGATGGACGGATGAGAGATCCACTCTGGTTAGAGAACGTGATGAAGCTGCGGCCCATCTAGCTTCAATGGAACATGCCTTCAATGATGTGCACACCAAGTATGAAAGGTGTAAAGTCATCATTCAAGGATATAAGAGTAATGAGGAAATGTTAAAGAGAACAGTTGAGGAGAACAATGATGCTATACAGAAGCTAGAAGCGAGATATGAAACCCTCCGACAGCATGCCATGCAGCAGCTTAACAAGGCCAATGCAGAATTAGATTCAGTTAAGAAATCACACCAAGCAGAGATCCTGAAACTGAATGCTATGCTTAAGAAGAGTGAAGTGCATGCATCCTCCTTGCAGGAATCACTGGCACAGAAGATAAAAGACAATGAAGAACTCACAGCTATCTGTGATGAGTTGATCAATAAGGTTGGTTAACAGGATTCTTATCATGATACTTATGTACTCATTCAAACTTCATTTACATAAACTAACATGCATTTTGTATTTATATGCAGTTGACTATAATGATTACTTATCATTAGTGTAATAATAGTATTACACACAATAATAATGTGAAAACCTACTTAATGAAGCTAGTGCTGTTACCAATATCAGAAATTATTAATTATTATTTTTTATAAAACAGTATGTAGTGTAATAATGTTTAAATATACTGTGCAATCACTATCTATTTTATTTTGTACATTTTTTTTATAATTATTATAAGTGTAAGATTTTACTACCTTGTGACATTTGAACAGTGAATGTTTCTTTAATTATCTCGTTTTTATTTGGTGCCTGTCTGTATTACCATGCATGTTAAATGCTCATAAAATTGTAAAAGTTATGAACCTCACTTTGTACAGCCTATTAGTATTGGACCATGCTTTTATACCATTTGTAATAAAATTCTGAGAACATATTTTCATATACTAGAAACCGTCATGTATAATCTAAACTTATCCAAAGATCTGGTTACAGTCTGCTGTATCTCTGACTTCTGTCTCCAAGGGCTAAGGTCAGGATATAATTACTTATGGTTACTACCTTGTTAGTTTCTTCAACTAAACCTAGCTGCCATATTTAATTTGAAATTCCTTTATGTATAAACATAGGTATTTAAAGCTATAAGCGTGCTTAACTTAAAGTATAATTTAAATTAATAACTTGATATTATTGTTTATAATATAATTAGTGTTAGCTGTTAAACCTATCAGAATTTGCAGGACTAATAGTTAATGTTCTAGTCTTTGATCTTTTGAAATTGGTTACAGTTATGTTATGTTTATTTAAACCTTGTAAAATATATATAGTATTTCAGTACTATATTTCAATGCAATAATTTTATAATGGATCATAAATCAAAATTATGCTCATTTTCATTGAAAATATTAATATTGTACATTGCTTTTCAGCTTGTTATAACTTAGTCGATGAAAAGCAAATACCAAAAATATACAAGTCATTAATAAAATATAAAATTGTTGCAACAATTGGACTTACAATTAGATTTATTTATTTTGTGTAAGTACATGAGTGTATTGAAACTTAGACATTAGTATGTGCCTTTTTGAAATTAAATCTTCACCATCCATATCCATTCAGTCCATAATTTGATATTCATAAAGTACTAGACACCTAAAACTAGTATATTTTTCATCTCAGTATAGGTTAGCCTAATGCAGTGCTGCTAAATAGCTATCAAAGTTTTTGGCCTACAAGTATTATTTAGTGAATGAGGTAAAATAAATTTAACCCTACTAAAATGCTACTTTATTCAAACACTACATTCCACAACATTATTTTTGTAGATCTTTAATCCTAACAAACTATTACACTGCAAGAGTACCTACAGTCACGTGTTTCCAAGACATTGTGTGTCCATTAGCAATTCCATAAAAAACATCTCACGAGAATCCCATTTAGCCTGAATTCGATTATATTTCGTTTAGGATAAGCATAATTTAGTTAATATTTTACTATTAAATATTTTTTTATATCTTTGATTTTTCGCATAAAAATTAACTGCAATTTATTCATATGATAGAATGAAAAATAAATTGTTTCCTTTTGTAACTGATTGCTCTTTATTTCACAGAATTCCAATCCTCCTTAAAAAAATCCTAATAATATGATGCCAGAAAATTAAAAGGTGATTAACGGAAATAGGTGTTTGTTTGTATATCAATAGATTTATTTACATTTGTCAAGGTAATTATCATAAGTTAACACTTATCTACGAAACAAACATTTATGGAAGACTATACAATAACAAAAATGATTTTCAACAAACAAAAATTTACAAGTTTCAGGACTTGTTCTTCAAAAATTTATATGTGTCCTTACTAACTAGGTAGCTGATGGCTGACACTACAGTAGACGCTGCGGTCACTCCGCACAGAGCTTGCAGTGCGGGATGGTCCACAAAGCCGAATACAGGGGATGCTAATGTCGTGCCCACCTGGAAAATGCCATAAATATACATCTGTATACATTAAAATGTTCGTAATATATATAAAGTGCTACTTATTATGCTCTGTTGCACACAAATATTTAGGTTTAAATTACAGAAGTTGGGACTCACCAGTAAAAGCTGTATGGCAGTGTTGACTTTGCTTATAAATGTAGGAGCGAGCTGCGCCGTGGCGTGAGTCACGTCGAAGTAACGGCTTAGTGTTCTCTGTAAATTAATAAAAGGAAGGTCAAATACAAGGATAACATTACACTGTAGGAAGTAAAAAATTCTATGACCTGCTTTAAATGTTTATGTATTTTAAAAACAATAACAACAAAAGTATTTATAGCACTGAATTACCATAAAAGGTATTGTTTGTGATTAAGCTATGGCAAATTATTTGTAACATTGTTGCAGAAAAGGATTCAATGGTTTTTATTGAAGTCTTTGTAGTTTTGTACAGAAAATACTTACAGGTGGTGGTAGACTCATGTATCTGATAACAAAAGCAGCAATCACCAATGCAACATCTCTACTGACTATTAGCAGTGTCAGGGACAGAGGTATTAAGTTTTGGTAAGTTAGTGATATGAAGAGTGTCCCCACTAGAACTTTGTCTGCCATTGGATCTAAGAATGAGCCCATTTTAGTTGACTGACCCTTCCAATTTCTGGCTATCCATCCATCCAACTGGAATTACAGAAATTAATTATTGTTTTTTAATTATAAAGTAAATACAAGATAACATTATTTGTTTATTTTAACTTGGTTTAGTAATATAAACTCTGCAATATAAATCCTGTTCAATTGCATAATCTTCTGGCAGATAAATGATTGAAAATGGCTATTACAAGTGAAAAACCTGTTTTTATTATAAAATCAAATCAAATTTTTCATTTCAAATAGACCACAACAGGGACTTTTGAATGTCAGGCAAAAAAATCCACATGGTTTAACTTTATGTGGCAGTCTGTCCGTATGTCCTCTAGTGAAGCTATTTGATAAGAACAAGCAAGAAACTCCCTTGTTACTCTTTGTCAATCGATTCCATGATGCATTTCTTTGTTAGATAATTTAGATAGTTCTGTTATGTGAGAACAGTGTAATACTTATGTTTAGCCAAAGTTTGTTGTTTATTGCAAACCAAAGTTTAATGTGGGATATAATGAAGGATATCTTACCAAGTCAGTGACACCAGCAAAAACTAACAATCCAAGAGCAACATTGTAGTCTTCATGGATTATTGTATATCCTAAATAAGGTGAGAGGGCTATTCTTGTGAAGCAGAGGATATTTGGTACTGTGAAGACATTCTCTTTCTGAAACATGAATAATAAATAATTTAAATGTTTTTATTTATGTATTAACCTTTCAGTAATGGTAATTCAAGAGACAAGTTTGAAAAATTAAACTCATCATAAATAAAAAATAGAATAAATTATAAGTATGTGCTAATAAATTTGACTTCCCTGTAAGAGATATATTTTCACTAATAATACAAGCAGAGAATTCTATAAAATGTATATGAATTTGATGTCTATGAATATCTTAATATTTTTAAGTTTAACTTTGACAGTAGTATACTATACTTGATTTCTTTATTTTCCTGGTTTTTTATCAGTGAATTTTAGACATTATGAGCAGAATTAAGACTAAAGAAGGCTGATTTTGCTGTACACCCATTTTATTTGACTGTAAACCGTAAATAATTACCTCTACCACTTCTTCGAATCTTTCTTTAACTTTTGCTTTGGTTTCGAGTAAGTCTTTTATGATATATTCTTTCTTTACTCTTAATTTCTGGCCAGTAACTTCCTTCTGATGCTTTATGTCCCTCACTATTTCTTCACCTTTTTGTCTAATACGGTGCTCTGTGTCTTTGAACTGTACCTTTTTATGTTCAAATGCATCCTTTAGAGCATCCGTCTTCTTCTCAAAGGTTAGAAATGGTTTCTTATCATCAGAATAATGCAAATATGACACAGATGTGACTGGTAAGTGTTTTATCCTTTGTCTTGTATTAGAAAGGACAGTAACATATTCTCTAATGCACATAACGTGGTCTTGTTTAATATTGGGCCGGTATAAAAGTGAGACATGTTTAATTAAGTTGCATCTTGACAGTAGTTTCATAATAGCTGTATTGAAAGCCACAAATTAATAGTTAAACTGATATAAGTATCACTTTATCTTCATTTACCACAAACTTAAACCCAAAATTGTGCACTATTAGAATTTAAACAAACATAATTGGCGAATTTATTTCGCCAAAAACGTAGGTATGTAGGTATGTTCTCGATCTCAATCTGTCATTATTTTGACAGATACGACATCTGATACTGCTAATGCTGTCTAATGTACTCGACTATAAGACGTAACTATTAACTATTCACATAAGTACATCTCTATGACATAGGAAACGTCAACTAAATGTCATAAAATCTGATAACTTTGTGTTGGTTTTATTTTCAGAGATTGAGTTAACTGGACTGTTATGGAGTTTTATAATAATAAGCAAACAATATTCCAGTAACTTTCGTAGTGAAGAAGTCAAAATAATGGTATTACCTGGATAACACTGTGAGATTTTTTCCTTGAAGTAAGTTTACTTGTTATTGTTGTTTGATTATATCTGTTTATTTACACAATGTTACTAACCCAGAAGTTATTTCTACTTCATTGTTCGATAAAAATGTTTCTGTGTAATACTTTCCAGTGGTCATATTTATGAAAATCAAAATGTATCAGAGTCGCGCTCGTAGAATTACATTTATTTATTTAAATATACAATTACACTCATTGTCTGATAAATGATAATTTAATCTGAATTATAAATTTAGGGATCTGTATTAATCATCTTTAAGTCTGATTAAAATCACATCACCATTTTTTTCCTTTTTAGTCTAAGGCCACAAGTAGGTAACAAGGTAGAGATAATATTACTGTCACAAAACAATTAAGGAATTATTCACGACTTCTTACATTGCTTATAATTATCCCTGTTTTAAGAAGACAATTTTAAACTTTTAACTGACTTCCAGAAACTTTTTAAGAATATAACATGTTTTTAAATTAAAAAATTCAACATATTTTTAAATGTTGATATTTTACTTAAAAGTGTCACATCTTGCACCTTTTACCTCTACAATAAATACAAATTTAATTAAATAAACTCCCTGTCATATGAACACATATCCTACACATGCATACTTCCACAAAAAAAAATCAACAAATTCTCCAAAAAAGTATACAAACTCCTTACTTCCTCCTTTTTATCTCTCTATACTACTATCCCACCACTATCAGGCACAATGAAATGTCAAAATCACTCCCATCCTTATTAACTACCTTCATAATATTAAATGCATTGTGACGTCTACCCCATAGCAACAATTAAATTAATAGTGTCATTGACTTGTGACCCACAGTTCACAAGCATAGATAACAAGAATAATTATTTGTTTACTTTGACAAGGTAGTTTAGGCCTATATCAGACTGTTATGTAAGTTACAAATATTTACCTATGTCCTTTATTGGTTACAGCTAAAGTACATAAAGATTTTGTCTTTCTGTTTATAGTGTAATGTGTTGTTAAATTATTATGTAATAAATCTTTCTCTTAGGTCTACAATAAAATAGTGACTCCATTGTTAATGCCCTGTTCTAATTTTTTAAAAGTTTTTCTAGTTTGATAGTTATCTAAGTAGGTGATGTCTGGTTTGAAATATTCACCTTTGTTAAATTTGTTGCAGAAAAAATAAAAATCCAAAATGAGGGAAGAAGAACTGACCTACATATTGAAACTCCTTGATCAACTCACAGGAGAAATATATGATGTAAGTTGAAATAAGAATAAATTTTATGCTGTTAAAATTAAGATTCAAGATAATATTGTGATCTGTTTTTCTTTCTCAGGAAATCATACAGCTTTACTATGATATAGAAGAATCAAAACCATGCAAACAGTTTAGTAATGACGTAATAGAATTTTTGAAAGTTAATTTAAAGAATAACCCTGTTACTACCACAGCCATTTTGTCCTACATACAACAGAATGCGCTGACAGACGATGCAAACTTGAACAAAATACAAGCACTGTATTTAGATATCTTGAAATATGAGCTGACTGAGACCAACTCCATAGACAGACTCATCTCCTTAATCTCTCTAGTAAGATGGAATGAAGGTTACATGCCTCAGTTTGTGAACCACATACTACAGCCTATATCTGAAGAACATTTCAGACAGTTCAGAAAGCAAATCCTACTGAGTCTCATACCACATGAGAAACCAGAACTTTTGTCTGTAACCTCAGACCTTATGCAAAGAAACGAGCCTCAGAAGGAATTCAAACTGACACCAGAGTACATGCTGGAGCTTTGCTACCAGGACAGAACACATTGGTTGCTGAAGGCTGCCCAGGTGTACAAACAACAGGTGCATGACATGAAGAATGTGACTTTCAAAATCAATAACTTTACTAAGCAGATTTTAATAATGGTGCTCATTGATCTCACTAACAGTGCCGAAACTTTCGACCTCACCTCCTTAGTACATCAACTGACCAACATTTTCTCTATCCTAGACACTTACACAACTTGTGACGATCATCTACAATTCTACATTACCGAAGTAAAGAGAGAACTGACAATCATAAAGTTTTGTTTAGAGAACAATTGTAAAATAATGACCACTTCTATATTTAGTCAAGTGTTGGCACAGAGTGCTCTCGCCGTCATATCTCAAGTATGTAGGCTTTCTAAAGTAGATAGGTATAAAGTTTCGAGACTTTTAAATACAAACAATGATTTTATAGCAGAGTTGAAAACTTTGAAAAATAAGACAAGTAACAAGAGCCAAGTGAAATCTAGTTCTAATTGGGATGTAATGACGTATAACAGTTATTGCGCTATTACGAAAATAATTGACACAATAGTCAATTCTTCTGAAGGAATAGAGGACTCTCAAAATACTGTGTCTTCTTTGGATGAACTCAAACGGCTAGTGCTATCTATCCAGCCTCTACAGAGCTGTATAGAAGTGATAGAAAACATTTTCTCCTGTCTCTTCTTGAGGTATGAATATTTTTCTTGTCATGAGCATACTCAGGACTACCCTTGCGGTGCTCACTCGGATTGTTCGTACTTTTACGCAAAGAAACAGACATCGACCTCGAAGAACATAAACAGTAGTAATGCAGGGTTTATGTGCAACTCGTACACTACTCAGCTAGTGCTGAATACATTGAAATTATGTTTGGAAACGTTAGAAGAGAAGTTTGAAGTGGATAACGAGCAGGAGGTGTTTTCGAGGCTGAAAAAGTTGGTAAAGGTGGTGAACCATTCTATTTGGAAGCTGCAATTAGTGTCGACGTTGTCCCCGGACACGAGTCCCTTGCCTTTGAAGCTGTGTTTAGATTACGTGGAAGTTGACGAGAGCAGCGAGGACGAAGCTCGAGAGATGGACCTCAAAGTGTTCAGGAAGAAACCAAAGACGAGACGGAAGAATACTTCAAGCTCCAAACAAGATGTGGAACAAGTTATGTTTGCTTCTACTGTTTCGGATGAAAGTGAGTGTTGTTCTGAATTTGTTTCTTGCAATTATGCGCCATCTTTTATCTTTTTGCTAAGCGATTTGGAATCTTCTGACGATTGAGTCAGGGGTGCGGAAGTGTCCCCTGCCAAATCAAAGAATTTTGACAATTTTTGTTAATGCTAAGCGATTTGATGATTGCATAATTAACTTGATTTCCTTGTAATAAAGTGCAGCCTTCATTAACTCCTTAGTTCTTTATGAATAGCTTGGAACACTTGATAATTGTAATCAGCTTCTTATTCGTTTCAGCTTATCCATCTAAAAAAGGGAATGGCATCGACTTCATATCGATAATGCTGGCCAAACCGACCAGCCTTGTGGCGCTCGCTCTCTACCATAACGACTTCTCGAAAGCTAATCAAATATTGGAAGTAAGTTATGATATTTTCTACATTTACTTACCTTACTATAACATCTTTTTAGCTTAAACTAGCTACTCTCGCGCGGTTTCACCCGCTGCTCGGCTCCTACGGATCGTAGCGTGATGTTTTATAGCCTATAGCACACAGAAACATTATAGCTTTCTATCAGTGAAAGAATTTTAGAGATCCGACCAGCGGTTCCCATAGATAATATATTATTACCATAGATAATGAATGTCAGACTCTCACTTTAGTATGTCGCAAATCCTAATCACTGCATAGTATAAAACAAAGTCGCTGCTTCTGACCGTATATCCTTATAACTTTAAAACTACGCAATTTTGATTTGTTCTTTTAATAGATAGAGTGATTGAAAAGGAAGGTTTATATGTATGTATAATAATATCAGTCGTTAGTACTGACTACTGGCTAGGGCGCGGTATGCCATTACTGACACCTAGTAGCAAAGTTTACTTGAAAAAAAAAAACAAAAATAATTAAATTTCTACAATATTTTAATGAAATGTTGGAACTCTTCGTAACATTCCTTTTCTCTGTCAGTAGGCTCGTATAGTATTTCCCCACTCTTAGTTTTGAGTATGCCGGGCGGGTAACACACTACGTAACGCTTAGCTTCTTCTATTGTTTGTCGCGGCTTGAAGAACTTGCAACATAGGCAGCAACAGCACCAACCTTAGAAAATAGAGATGAAGGTGAAAAATGAGAAAGAAACCTGCTCCTTTTGGAAGTCGGTTAATAATGAATTTGTTATAACTTGAGACTGGTTTGGACAGTCGGCTGTAAACGCACACGACATGGGAGAAAATCCTATTGTTGTTTTAGAGGGGAGGGGATCAGGGGATTTCTCTCACCTAGGGATAGGAGTGTCAGACTTTACTGACTAAAAACTTTTACTTTCCTACTCCTCCTGCCGGCGGCTGCGGTATGTCCCTGCGTTTGACCCGCTGCTGTGTGTTTTGTTTTCCTGATGCTTTCTAAAACCTAACCTTTTATTAGGATTTTGTGTTAAAAATGATACAATGTTAGTATCCTTAAAATAATACATTTCCCTATAAAATAAATGTGCCTACGAGTTTTTTAAAAGTACAAACTCGTGGCTCTTCACCGTAAGTTCCGCCCCGATACGTCATAGAATGAAACATTACAATTCTGAATCATTATGTATTACATGAATCGATTTCATTTATTCACAAAACCCAAGCCCTTATCTTGCATCACGTGCAAATTTATGTATGAAGTGAGTACCTTCCGTCAACATTAAATCATAATATCCATTGCCAAACAAAACTAGCCCTTAACTACAACGAAATTAAGGCGTTGTCGCTAACAAATCACATGGCCCTTTTAACACAATTACCCATGAATTAAAGCAGTTAATTCTAAGCCTTGACTTTGTTTACTTTTTATTTAGTTTTGTACTGACCTTGTTACTACCTATAAATAGGTACAACGGGCAATGTTCACAGTTTATTCGTATTCAACCTTAACTTAAAGAAATAGAGATGAAAATTGCACTCACGTGATAATTGCCAGGAGATTCTGTATCCGAATTTACCTACAGTATTTATCGTGATAGTTGTTGATATAAATACTCTTTTGTTTGAATGAGAATGTTAACATTATCGCTATAGGTGAATGTACCTTTCGTTAAATAGGCCGAAAGATAAATCTGTCTGGCCAGTGCCATTGCCATTGCTATCAGCCGATTTTATTAAAAAAAATGTTTCGTTGATTGCGGAATTATGGATTTTTGCCTGTCTATTTCCCTACTTTACTTATTAACAAGGATACTAAGAACTAAGGACTGACACCCGGTTTCCGAAAGGCCGATCAATGTTAAAATCAATTTAATCTCTTGTCAAGACATCTGATTGGTTGACTGAATTATCAACAACCAATCAGATGACTCGAAAAGAGATTTAACAGGAGATTAGTTAATTTTAGCGTTGACAAGCCCTTCAGGCACCGGGTGTAAGTCACGAAGGGATCCGTAACAAAATCACTTTTATTCTTTGGTAAAATAAATACTTACTTATAGCCCAACAGGGCTGATGTTCAGCCGGGATTCCGGGAAAAAGCCAGTACCATGACCATGGCATTTAGAAGATGGAATGAGGTGATTTTAGTCAGTAAGAGAGACATTCCTCGCCCCACTAAGGCGAAAAAAGTTGGGGGGAGGGATTATTGTTTTATTTCGCGATTTTTTTTTGTTTTATTTATAGCAGCTACAGAAATACATCTTCTCTGTCCATTACTGAACTGTCTACCTATACGAGTTTATAAGATACTGCTTGCTGACATACGGTAAGGACAGGGGAGTTAAAGAAACAGGGTCTGCTAGATCCGACACATACGGAATCAGATAACAGAAATCTTCAATATATCATAAAGCTGTATAGTTTGTTTGTTTGAACGCGCTAATCTCCGGAACTTCTTGGTTCGAATTGAACAACTCTTTTTATGTTTGTTAGTCCATTTATCGAGGAAGGCTATAGGTTATAAAACACTACGCTACGATCTATAGGATCCGAGAAGCGGGTGAAACCGCGCGAGAGTAGCTAGTAACGTAGGTATTTACAAAACATTACAATAATAGTTATATCTTTAGTTTACGCAATTAATGTAAGCTGGTTTATTTAATTAATTAAGTAGTTATACGGTACAACGACATACGTGCGATGTAAACAAACAGGTTATCGTGTGTTTTCGCTACAATGTAATGTTCCATAATAATAATAATTCTGCTCCATTTATTATACAGACGTAAACAGACTGTTAACTGTGAATTTATTAGGTGTAGACCTTTATATCTATGAAAAACATTATTTAGATCGTCCTTCAAAAGCTGATAATGTACTTATTTAAAACCTTTTTGGGTTATTTGCTGCTTACCATCACGTAATCCATAATCCGTCTGCTCATAAAATACAGAAACAATGAACGTTCTCAATTTTCACACCTAATTATTTGTACCATGCTTTTGATCGGTACATTTTATTCATTAATTTTCAAAACTAAATCGTAATGATACTGATGGAGCCGTTTCCGAGATTCAGCTAGAAATACTGTGTTGCGGGGTAAGCGCAAGGAGGTACCGCGGCCTAATTTCATGATTTTCACCAGACAAAAAAAAGCTAGAAATACTGTATAAATACAGGAACTGCTCGTTTTAAGTATGGTTTAAACAAGTCTAGAGTGAATATCCTCCGAATAACCTCCAAAAATCGAAGCCTGCATAAAGCTCCTGGCCTTATTTGACTTGGTAACATTCTGTCAGGCCTATTAAATAGCAAAAATTGCCTACACCACAACACCTCTGATAACATTAGCAAGTTTTCCCGTTGTTAGCGTTCAAATATTTAAACGATCTTATCGCTAATGAGAAAACGTTCACTGAAAACGTGCGAATTAGTATCATTATAAAAACAAAATGATTTCTCTATTTCTCAGAAGTATCATGGAATCTGCAATTCTTATAAAAAAAATTTAAACACTGCGATGTTATGTTATAAGATGGCTGGCAGGAGCTGGATGCGAGTGGCCGAAGATCGATCCCAGTGGCGTGCAATAGGAGAGGCCTATGTCCAGCAGTGGACTGAAAAGGGCTGATGATGATGATGATGATGATGATGATGTTATGAAATAATTATTTTGGTAATATTTACCTCTAGTGCACCACAAAGGTATAGCAACAGCCAAGTACACGAGGAACCATATTAAGAAGATTCTCCAAAGCCGGCCCATCACTTCTCTCAATGTCTGACGGTGGTTAACATAGTCTTCTATCAAGCATTTCACTGCTATCAACCCAATCCCTTCCTCATAAGAGCAGTTTGTAGCGTCTGTACTTCTGAACGAAAATAGTGTCATGAAGTCGTCCCAAATTCCATATTGCGATATAGATGTTACTGGAAAAGAACATACATTTTTACATTACGTTTGACTGTAAGTTAAGAGTGCCTTGCTGGCCTTTTAGAGTCAGGAATTTGAGAATTGATATTTTAGCTAGAACTCTATTTTTCTATGTGGTAGTCCTACTTTTTGCAGACATTGGAGAAATTGCAATTATGGAAACAACAAAACATTTTATCTTTAACTATAATATTTTTCTTTTCTAATATTGCACTGTGTACTTCTTCGTAGTATTAAATAGTCGTGTACATTGACTGCCTCATTTCCTCATTAATAAGAGAGAGTGTGGAATGTACCTGCTTTACTTATGTGATACGCATTGCTGGACCGAGATTCGTTGATCGCTTCTTCATTATATTCATTCACTAATTCATCGTAGTCGTAATCCTCATCGTTTTCTGGTTCAATTTGCCTTTTACTAGTTTTGGTTATAAGTCGCTGCAATTACAAGTAATACATAAATATGAAAAATTCGGACGTTTTTAAGGAGTTTAGTTATTACGTGGAAAAGAGGTACAGACTCTATTCAAAAATAATTATTATTAAAAAATAAATCAGATACGTGAAAAGCTAGACCAGTTACGATACTTCTTTTTTTAAAAAAGTAGAGGTCAAATCGGGACACTTCTACCTTTTTAGTGCCATAGTGGTTCACTGTACATATACTCAAATAAAGTAACGTTTAAAAAAGTTTGGTTTACTTATTATTTATTTATTTAAGTTCATATTTGCTTTTCGCGGTCATTGATGCCACGGTAACAGCTGATCATACAAAATACAAAACTGTATTATTAATGTATGTTTAACCATGATCAGTGCTGGCATAAAAGGAAGGTTGATTTAAAAAAAACAGTTATAGTATTATGGCTCTCAAAAGAATTCATTATCTGATATCTGGGGGCGTATTACAACCTTTTTAAAATCCAGTTTGTTTCCTGGCAGGTCAGTTTAAGGCCGTAAACTGCGTGGTTCTTTTTCGTATTATGACGTACGTTTTTCTGACTGGATTCATCCTGGATGATTGTCTGTGGTTGGTTTCCACCCTCTAGAAAGATTGCGTTCGAAAACATCTTAAAAGGGTTACTGGTATATTACGGTTTTTGAAAATTGAATGTAATATATTATATAATTTAATTTTCTAACAGAATCGCGATTAAAAATGAGTTCAAAAACGAATTATGTATTATATGCGTAAGTACAATGTCATAAATATGAAAATACAGCACTGTCTCACAACATACATTTTAGACATACGCTACATTTCTGAATGTAAGTAATAGGAGGTAGGATAGGTGATAACAGCTCACCCGGCAAAAATAAAAGATTTTTGTTATAATAAGGGTTTTTAACTAATGAAGTCCATTTATTTTTTTTAAAAAGAAGGAGAACTAAAACTGCTTTTCTTTGTTGAGCAAAGGAATCCGTTTACAGGATCCCTGTTTAAAGTTGTTTATAAATATTGTCTACTCAATATTGGCGTAAGTATTACCTACATTATTTATAATAAAATAAATTCAACATCTTCAATCGCAAAAGGGTCACTAAGATCTCGAAGACGCGTCCTTTGAATTTTTGTTTGGTGGTTATCTTGTGACGCATCACTTTCAAGAAACTCGAAGATTATTATTAACTCATCACACATATTTAATGTTATTATAGTAAACAGTATGTGATAAAAACTTAAAACAATTCAGTAAAAGCTACTCGACACCGGCGTAAACTGACTGGTTTGTTTGACACAAATTTTGACATTTGAGCAAGCTAAGAAATGTCAGTTTGGCGGTCATAATACGGGTTTGCCAGCCAATATACGTGCAGAAATCGGTCAAGTGTCACGTGACTGCTAACTGACTGGCAATAAGACGTCATAATACGGATAAACAAGGCAGTTCATTTTAAGGTGTAAATTGACTGGAATTAAGAGATCGTAATACGCCCACTGGTCGATACAAAGACGGATGTATGTATCGGAAAAAATAGTTTTCTTAATTCAAAACCAAAATCGTTTATTCCAACTAAACCATAAATACGTACTTTTGGTAGGTGCGTCAAAATAGAATACTAGTCTGTCTGTTCGTCAGAGAAGCTTGGAGCTCGTTTCAGTTTGTAAATTCGAATAGAGAAAAACGACCAAGAAACTCCATATAAAAAGACTACTATTCCTCTTAATATTGAACAATATTATTTCAGTGGAATTCGAACAACAGAATAATGATATAGGAGACTGAAGAAGATTTGAGGACGGTAACTCCTTTGTACGACGAGGGTCCATAGGCGGCGCTAATTGTTTTCCATTTGGTAATCCGTCGACCTGATGGTAAGCAATCGACGTCATCCATGGACACTTGCAATACCAGAGGAGGTGGAGGTTACAAGTGGATTGCCGGCCTTTTGAGTTTAAGGGATTTGATATTTAGGGAACATAGGGCAAAGTTCCCTAAGATCGGAAAAGGAGGATCCTACGACCAGGCGAGGTGGAGGTGATCAGCCTGGCGGGTACTGCCTAACAGTTGTACGTTGGGATTTTGTATCTGTGCTTTTTCGCGCGCAAACGTAATATAGAATTTGTGACGTCATATGTTCAATGTTGTCAATCTTCATTACGAGTCTCCACAGAGTATTATGGGATTAGGGGATTGTTGACGTTAACGTTCTTTGCTTTAAAAAAGACACAATGTTCAGCTTACCGGTTCCGGAGACGTGGTCAACTTGGTCTTATTATTATTGCCCTTCACAGAAATTGTGTGAAGATTAGCCTCGTACGGTTGTTTGACGATCTTGGCTCTTAATTTAGATACTTTTAAATTTTCACGTTCCGCCATCCTGCAAGCGTTTAATTTATACTAAAAAGAAGTTGAAGGTAATGAATGTTCTTCACTGGGGGTTTTGTGTAATTTCTATCGATTTCAAGAGAACAGAATAGGGGCTTACAAATACAAACATAAATAAAGTAGCAGTGGTCACTGCTTACTCATAATACTTTTAAACCGACTTCCATAAGAAAGAAGCGGGTTTCTCAATTCGATCGTATCTTCAACCCGCTGTGGAGATTATGGCAAATCTTCTTTTGGAAAAATTAAATAACAATAAACTGTAGTCTTCGCTTTCAATTTTGTAAATTGTATTTCAAAACGCACTCGTAGGCTCTTAAAAAGTTATCCTTGTGATTTCTTGACCCTAAACTCGTTTAGGCCTTATGCTATCTGTCAATTACGTTATCAAATCAACGATCTACATTTCTAATAATATTCGACCCAGTTTGTATGTTGCGACATTTGTAATTAACTAAGTATTCATTTATTTATGCCTCTTTTAGTGAAAAGCAAGTAATAAGCAACTAGCTTCACTAAGAGGACTGACCTGTTTGATGTTCAAAAATGCAATGATATTATAAGTAAAAAGGTGATAGGTCATAAGCGCTCAGCAAGTGATACATTATAATGTGGCTACCTAGCCACACTTTTTCATATTTGTCTCTTTTTCAGTCGCTATTATTTAATCATGCCATCTCACTTTGACGTCTAAACATACGAATTGTTCATGTGTAAATCGAATTCTTTTTAGGTTACTTATCTACACCATTTTAATAACAATAATACCAAATAACAATAACCATGTCTAGCTAAGTCAAGTTCTCAGCAACCATTCTTACAATTTTCAACATCACCCTTTGACCCTTTTGAAAAAAAAATTTCAATAGGGATGTCTCCTGGGTTAAAACAACAAAATTCTAATTAGTCCGACAGTTAGATTATAGAAAAATACTCGATACGTATTTTTTTATTTGTCCATACGAATAATATTGACAAAGATACAGCATATTCAAATTCAGGAGAAGGGGCTCGTGACGTCACTCTCTCGTAAACACTTTATGAAATAATGACGTAGCGCGAACTTTCGCCGCTCTGTAACTTTGTTGTTTGAAGTTTTAGAAGGAAAAGAAAAAATACGTATCTACTATTTTCTGGCGTTCTAAAAGATGGACTAATTATTATTTTTTTGTCATCATCCCTAATATTGTTGTATACTATTGGTAATGTCGTACTTACTTATCCAGTTCCTCAAACTTATATTTTTCTTTGTCTAGTTTATATTCTTTCAAGTGTTTCACGTCGATCATTTCGTAATCATTATCAGTTATTATAAGATCCACTTCATAGTCCTTGTCGTCTTTCAATAAAACATTGTACGTGTCTTGGAGTATGAAAGCTCTTGTACTTATAATGTGACACAGCCATAAAGATATGAACCAATACATATTCTTATTATAAAACTATTATTTAAATATTATGAGTCCGTAACAATAACATCAACGAGTTCTTGACGCATGACGTTTGCTAGATGTCCCTTTGACATTGCCAGTTTCTTTTTAATTTTATTTTATGGCATCTACGTATTCAAGTAAAAAGGTTGATTATATCTGGAATATTCAAGATCAACCTTTTTATGTTCTCATGCAATAACGAAAACAGGTACAATGCTGATGCAATTTCTTCCACTATTTCATGGATGTTAGTAAAGTTTCTCTTCAACCACTTTATCTATTAAAAAAACCGCATCAAAATCCGTTGAATAGTTTTAAAGATTTAAACATACATAGGGATACAGGCAAAATCGACTTTCTTTTATGACATGTAAAGTAAACTTCTTGTAATAACAAACTGTTCTCATTGTTTTGCAGATGTTCGACTTAGCTGACTCCGAAATAGCTACAGAAGTAACATTTACGGAGCAACTACGGAACTTAATAGCAAAGATTAAAAACATAATTTACTATAGAGATGACACTCGTTACGCTACCAAAGAACTATCGGCTTTATCTGTTGTTTCCACTGAAGTTATGGGACTCGTGGAAGGTTTCTTGGCGTCGAACAGAGCCCCGAATTCCTTTGACATTATAGAACTAGGTGCAAGACACCCACACTTACAATTATACAACCACCAAAATGCTCCTTTCATAAATGCTGTAGATATTCTACTGAGTAGCGGACTCAATAGAGAGATCACATACGGACTAATAAACGTTGTAGAAAGAAAATTAGCTGAAGTAAGGAACAGCACGGATATAGCGGCCGTCAAAAAAACAAATTACATACGTTTCGTAGAAGACATTGCTAGCGTCACCTTTGAGATTTTTGGGAATACAGAAAAATCTTTTAACTTTGTCGACAATATCTGTGAGTTGATAACTGATTGTAGAATACCTATCAAACATAAAGACTTCTGTAAATTAAATCAACTGGCCAAAGAGCTCCGACAGTCCTGTGAGGATTTAATTGATGTAGTCACCCCGAATGAGACCGTGGAGATTGACCCGAACTTATTGCAGAAATATCATCAGATCTATATGAATGTGGTGGCAGCATCGGACAAGGATTTGTGCAATATTAGCGAGGTGTCTCGACAAGGAAGCAAGAAGACGCGCATCCCGTACCTACGGATGTGTTACATGTATTGTAAAACTGTGTCTCAATTAGAACAGGAAGACAATCGTTCTGTAGACAGCGGTTCCGAAGTGCCATACTTCGCTGTCCTCGAACGGCAACTCCATGACATTTTCGGTCACATGATCAACAACAAAGAAATCCCAGTCACAAATCTAGAGCCCATCTGCAAGAAACTAAATGTAAATCTGATACCGAAACTCATATTGAACTTTTGTCCCTCAATTACGTTGGCTGGACCGCCAAAGGAAGCATGTGAGGCCAACTTCAACAATCTACTCCATGTTGTGTACGATTTCAAGAATCCTGAAGAGAACTTGTTCTTGGATCCTGTTACAAACTTCGCTCCTTTGCCACGTGCTCCAGATCCACAATGCCTTACTTACGTAGTGCTACATAATTGGGTCCTAGCGCACATTATCAAGAAGATCCATACATCCCCAAACGAGAACAGCTTGCAACAAAGTATGGACGCTCGAACGAAATGCTTGAACAATTATATGGAGCTGGAGAGATTCAATTGCACGAAAGATTTGTATGGTAAAAACAAATACTTGGCGTCCCTCCACACTACCGTTGACTTAGACAAGCTGTTCTTGTTCATGCCACAATTAATTGAAGCCGGAAAGATTCTAAAATGTCTGAACTTAATAGATTCGCTGGCAGAGCGCCAATTAATGTGTAGTGCTAATTTATCAAATTTGAGGGACTTGATTCTGTTCAAACTGGCTACAAATCCGAAAATTCCGAATAACTGGAAGTATTGCCAGTATCTAAAATGTCCTGAATTGAAAGTCAACCTTATTTTGAACAACTTAAGCGTATGGCCCGCGGATGGGGCTCTAGAAGTATTGGACTATCTGCGGTTCCTTCTTAACCAAGACCTTCTAGATGATGGGTTACATGAGCGATGTTCTGACTGGATTATCAAAATACCTTTGTATGATCAGGTATAGTCTTTTTTCTACTATCATGTCAAGCGTTTCCTTATATTCCTGATATTTTAATACTTTTAATATGATGTTATAGATAGCTGCCATAATGGGAACAAGTCACTGGTATTCTATTTACGAGAAATCAATAGAAAACCCGGAGAGCGTTATCGAAGTTCTCATGGATAGTCAACAGGTAAAATATTAATACTTAATTTTTCATTATTATTCATAGCATATTATTTGAATTACAATTACTTTTTTTTCTATTTTCAGTTCAAACTGTGCTTAGAATGGGCAGATGCTCACGAAGTGTCAGAGAACATGAAGAACTTGATCGTTATGAATCTCCTGCGACAAATGTTCGAATATACGAACCAGGCGACGCCAGAGCTTGTTCACCAACTGCTTCTAAGGCTCCCAACATCACAGGCTATGGATCTCATTCAAGACGAAATGTCCAAAGTCCGAAACGTAGAAATACTCCAAGTTTGCGTAGACTTCATATCAGAAAACTCATTCGATTGGAAGTCTTTCGAAAACATTAAAATAGGTCTACAAATCATGCTTGAAATCGATCCGAATTGGCGACATCTGTTCTGGGATCTAATCGAGAGCCCTCTACTAATGATCGAGCAGTTCTTAATGAATGCTAAGTTAGATGTGCTCGCCACCATTATAAACAAGATCTCGCCGAGTCTGAAGAAGGATCCGAGTGGCGACAATCTGTACTACAACATAAAATCGATCGAGAGTTTAGTTATATCGAAGAACGCTGTGGATGCGTTGCTGAGGTTTTATGCGGAAAAGGCCTTAGACATGAAGAATCCGAGGAACGTGTGTCCAGCGCCTCCTAAGCCATCGGATGACTCTTTGTTGCAGTCGATAGATTCTATTAACATTGAGGCTGCAAATATGCCGTTTACGATGCCTGAGCAGGTGCCGAGCAAAGAGCAATGGACCGAGGACTACGCGACGGATCGATGTATGCTTTGCAGGACTTCGATGTTTTCTATGATCATTCGGAGACATCATTGTAGGCGATGCGGGAGACTTGTGTGCCACGCTTGTTCTCGCCACAGAATGCACGTACCAACGTACCCGAGCGGGGTCAAATTCCGAGTTTGCGATGACTGTTACACCCAAACGATGCATAGGAAGGCTAATTCCGAACATGATATGATGTTAAGCAGTAATTCTGACTCGGCGGGTAGTGGAGTAACGTGCATGGATTGGTGCTTGTCCACTAACGCTAACAGGAATGATGCCGTTAGGACGGAGTTCGGTTACGAGTTCACGCCTAACGTCACTTTATGTTTGTCCATCATGAAGATGCATTCTATCAATTTGGATTATCCGAGGTGAGTATGCGGTGTTGTATTTAGGGTAAAGTAGACTGATTAAATTGTACGAGATTGTTTTCCTCATCTGTCTTTGCGACATTATCAATAAGATTGCCAACGAGCAGACAGATCACCTAATGCATTGAGGCTAGAAGGGATACTGTCTCTGTATGTAAAAATTGTTTGCTGAAATGCTAAATTAACGCATTTCAAGTTGGCACTCTAATAGCAACATGGTGGTTTTATAAATTTCATGTGACTCGTTTATTTTCAATGTGTTAACAACCGCTACATTCATTCCAAACCCCTTTACCGCAACTAGCGCCAATCTTGCACGATTTTTCGTTACTGTTATTTAGTGCGTACAACCGTCCAGTTTTTCAAATATCTCTCAATCAGTTTCTTTTTTGTTCTGGTGTTGAGTAATCTCCAACGTCAACAGACAATGGAGACCGAATAATCAAGATGTACTTAATCATCAAGTGCCTTGCCAATCTTCTGCGTCCAACACCCGGTTTCCGAAAGGCTGATCAATGTTAAAACCAATTTAATCCCTTGTCAAGTCATCTGTTGACTGAATTATCAACAACCAATCAGATGACTTGGCAAGAGATTCGTTAATTTTAGCGTTGACAAGCCTTTCAGGAACCGGGTGTAAGCCTGACAATCTGTTCTACAGAAAAGTTAGGTACGTGTGCCAAAGTCAATTGAGAAAGTGATCTTAATCCTTATTTACAGGTTCCTCCTAGATCGTAGCGATGAAGTTGCGCGTGAGTTGTCTCGAGGCGGCGACGCTCGCCTACTGGTGCGCGCGCGACGATCTCTATTACTCGCCGCTGCAGAACTATACTCAAGAACTCCACAAGAGTCTGTGTATGTATACCTTAATATATGACATGTTTACGTACGTAACGTTTTGTACGAAAACTTATGGCTAATAGAAGCGAGCCTTATTCAATAGATGTTGTAGTGGGGGAAACAAGTGCGTATGTGTTAAACGGAACCCCCTGTTTGCTCTTTTTTTGGGGGGAAATAATCCAATACTTTCTTTGGCCCCGTTTGGGGCGAGAGGTAGTGGCAGACTGCTGACTAAAAACCACCTCGTTTCTTCTACTCCTCCGGGTACCTAATTACCTATTAAAGTAGTGAAATGAGGTAGTGCCGTAAAAAGGGGTGGAAAAGGAAATCCTAAAGTCATCTCTAAGAAAAATCGGATTCAAGCGAAATAACAATAAAATAAGTACCTACAAACGTGCTTGCAATATGTCTGAAGTCAATCAATCAATCAATCAAGTACGTATTATCTTGTACCAGTGCTGGGGGCGGTAGGCTGGTTGTAGCTGAGACGGGCGCCCTGCACGCGGCGCGCTGCCTGGCGCATGCGGACGCCATGGCCACCCTCGTGACGCATCAAGCTCAACATCTAGTGCCTCACCATGGAGCTCATCCTAGTCAGTATACTCTAATTATTAATTTACTAGCTACTCTCGCGCGGTTCCACCGACTCGGCTCCATTTGTTCGTAGCATGGTGTTTTATAGCGTAGAATAAAGCATTCAAAAACATTAGAGCTACCTATCAGTGAAAGAATTTTGGAAAATGGACCAGGCAGCGGTTCCAGATGTGGCCCCTACATCCAAACTTACAAGTTATTTACCTCTTTATAATTAGTATTAGTATAGTTTTATCAAGTTCATTATTGTAAATTTTCCGTTATTCATTCATATAGCCATGTCTAGCGAGGTAACTAGGATTAGCCTTCAACAGCCTTTGTATGTAGTCAAAGGTTCAAAATTGAAAAAAACACAACCAAAAAATTTACAATTTTTTTTTTTCATTTATGATTTCAATATTTAATTTGGGACTTTGTTTATCTTGCCTTTTTTCTCTAGTGTAGTGGGTGTATTTACAATTAAAACATATAAATTCATTTTCATGACACCCAGACAATTTGTGGATCACACAAAGAGTTGTTCTGTAGGGGAATCCGGGAAACTGCGACACGTAGGACGGCCATTGGTTATTTTACTTAATCAAACCCAAATTTCCTACAGGTCAAATAGTAAGATCACTATTAGAAGCAGAGAAATGGGAGCTAGCATTAGAAATAGCAACAAAATCAGGTTTACCAAGAAACAGCGTGCTCGCGGCGTGGGGCAAAGCGTGTCTCAAGGCAGGCTGCTTCAAGCAAGCCAGAGAGAAGTTTGCGCATTGCTTCAAAAGTGCATTGAACGTTTGCGCAGAAGTCACAGAAGATTGTGAAATTGGAAAAGAGGCTTCGGAATCTCAGTTTATTAATAGGAGGTTGCATAGTATGAGGTACTCTGAGCGGACTAGTTCCATGTCGAGCGTACAGTCGGACGGACGGCCCCGGGCCAACCCGCCGTTACTCAACGAAATTATATGCATGCTGGAAGATATGAACTATCCCGTCAACCAACAATTGCTGAACAAAGCTGAGACTATTAAGGTGCGTATTTAATTCTCGATTCCAATTTTTAAAGTTGTTATTTAGCTGTGCTAACATATTCTTCTACTATTCTGTGTCAATTACCACAAGACCACTACAGAATGAACATGCACGGTTCTCTCACATTATGTTATTTTACATTGTCTGGACTTGAAAATAGAGTGACCTCTGAGTTTGTTTCGGCATTTCTCAGAGTAGTCTGATGCCGGCTTCATCTAGTTTTTCACATATAATTTGACCTGTAAAAGTGCCGTTTTATGGCCTATTTGCAAAAATAAATTCATTGTTTCATAATTGTGATATAGTTTAATCAATTTTCAACTTTCATTTATTTTAAATGGAGTATAAAATCGATTGTAGTATTTGTACAGTTTGTTGCAACTTACTAAGCCTGGTAGCCTGTACTTTTAGGGTTATTGAAAGAGTTAAGAAAAATTTGCATATTTACCATATCAGATTGAGCTTATTACCTTTATTAATTTACTGCATTACTAATTATACGTATCTAAAACTAAATCAATATAATAACTTTTCCAGTCAACCAATGAAAAACTCACAACGATGAACACAAACAAAAAGAAGATTCAACTAAGCGAACCAGCTCTAAATATTATGCACACACTGGCCAGTGTAAAGAAGATCAAGCAAGGTGACTATAGCGACTTCCAAACTGCGACCGTCCAGCCTAAAAAGAGCTTAGCTCAAGGTCTTCTACGAAGGAACAATAACCACACTGAACCGAAAATAGACCATCAACATAAAAGGTTGGATCCATTCTTTTATAAGGAATGCGTTTACTATTTGACCAATTATGGTTCTCATACTGCAAATATAGCTTTTTATATGAAACATAGTAATTTGAGTGAGGTCATCAAGTACTGCTATGACAATCTGGTCGATAAGGAAACTTTTACCGAATCTGTCTACATGGATTGCTTGAAGAAAGACAAGGTCAATGATCTTTTAAAAGCTATGTCGGATATTGATAGTACGCTGGATATGTGGTCGGTGAGTTGTGTTTTATTTTATTTGAATGCCTTTAAATATTTGTAAAAATAATTCACAAATAATGTCGTTTGTGTTTGAATTGACAAACAATATTTGCATAACATGAAGAATGAGAAAGAAATCTTATCTGAAATACGTAACTAAATTATAATACTGAATCGCTTTTAAACATTGCAACTTGTGGTATGATTTTAGAATCTTATTGGTATACATAAAACATATTTGTAATCACTACAAGATTGTCAAAATCATTATTCTAATCCTTGCGCTAACTTTTGCGCAAAGTTGCGCAAAGTAGCAGTCGCATTCTTAAATATTGCTTCTTTCAACGAAATAATTATTTTTATACAGGAGTACATTATGCACATTTGTCGTACGCTGGAAATGTCGAAGCGGTTGGAAGCTCTATACGGCGTACAATGCGGTAGTGGGCAACATGCGCGTGCGGCGGCTACATGCGCGCTACTATACGCGCGGCCCGCGTCCTCCCCCGCGCGCCTGTACTCCGCCTTACATGCCAGGCAGCATCACCTCTCCGCAGCCCTTAGCCATCTATCCCACTGTGTTCCTGCACCCACCAGTAAGTTCCAACCAGCTTTTTAACTTGTGAATACGGTAGTTTCCAACCAGTCAAATTAAATACTTTTGTTGTCGTGTCAAAAACGATACCTTTCTTATGAACTTGTATGAAATCGCAACGTGTCATGCCCTAATATTTTTATTTTATGTCCAATAACAAGTTATAAATTGTTGAATGAAAGTATGCTTATGTTTTAATAATTTATTGCACTGAAAAGTCAATATACCTAATTTATTTTTGACCTAGGGAACTACCCATATTGGTTGGATAGTTTGTAAAGGTTGATCTTAATTTTTTCTATAATATTATATTACCCGGTACTTCTTAATGTAAACCGTAACAATCTGTTTGGTCAGTAAGAGTATGGCAATCCCTAGAGAAAAGTCATTTGATGATTTTCCTCTCACAAAAAAAAGACAATACTACACCAACAATACTGTCAAAATGCTCGCAATCAATGCGCCTTAAAAACCTTCCTATCAGCAACAGCAACTACATATTTATATCTTAACCATTCACTTCCAGAAACGAGCGACTCAAGATCATTTCACTTCAACTTGGACAAAGCAACGATAGATAATTTAATGACAACAATAACACGGCAGATGGAGCTAGCAAAATATTTGGCGTCGTGCGAAGCAAGCGGTAGACTCACTGAAAAAGTACTAAACGAAGCCATACCTATACAGAATGCTAGAAAGGAGAATGAGACTAGTGATGTGCGACCTCTAACGCTTTTCGGCTCAACTACTGATAAAATAAGACTTGTAGCTGTTGTACTTGCTAGCGGACCCACTATCGAAGTTGGCTTCGAGTTGGCTATTAAGTAAGTAGCACATACAATTTAAAAATATGTGTATTCTACTCAGTCACATATAAACAATATCTATGTATATCATTTACTATTTATTAATGTAAATTACTGAGGCTTCGTCACAAGATGGCTCTAGAATAGTTTAAAGTCCTATCAGTGTCGTCGTGCGCCTTCCGCGTTTCTGGTTTACAAAGTACTTTATATATTATTCCAGATTATAATCTTTCTCAAACTATTTTTTTACGTAACAGAATGACATGCATCGATCTATGCGTATTTCGCGTTAACTATATTAGCAGGATGTTACAATGTTGTCTGCCAAATGGTCTGACATTGTTTCAAATGCTTATCGAGACTCGAAAGCAACTTATGGTTGTAACTTATTTTGTTAAATAGGGAAACAATACATATTTCTCCTTTATAATTTCTACACAACTTTTAATTCATACCTATCTATGAGACACAAAACATCTTTGCCTAAATAATCGTAAAAGAAGATTTTCAACAAACTTCCCAAAAAATACTTCTTAATAAGAGTAGTTGATAATAATAGTATTTTTATGTCCTTTCATTTTTATTATTTGTTTGTTTGTATTCAGTTTATTTTGAACGCAGTTTTATTTTTTTCCAGGATTATAACAGAGCATAAATTGGACTCGATGAACATCTACATCCACGTGGCGAAGTTCTTGGTGCATTCTGACAGGTTTATGGAAGTTAAGACGCTAGCTAAATGTGTACGGGCGTCTAAAGAAACTGCAGCTAGGTAACAAAACACAATTAATAGTTTATGTCTACGAATATGAATCACGTATCGAACTCGTCATGTCTCATATAAAATTAGGTTTGTTTGATTGCTTCTTGCACAAAAAATTGGCTCATCTCTGCATTACCTGAGGCTCGACTGGTAGGAAATGCCTTAGTCATTAAGTCCGCCTATGTACATTGTGCATGAAGTTTAAATAAACTATTTCTAATTTTGAATAGTAAACTTATTGAAAATAATGACTTATGTAAATTTTCCGAAAAAAGCTCTACTAATTTCAACTGACAACGGGACTCTTATTCACGAGTGCGTCGCTGCGACGTCGCGCAGGCGACTGTGCGACGTTGGTTAGTTTATTCACGAGAATAAGTCGTTATCTAATAATATAGATACACAATGTAAAAAATCCACCAGTTGTGATAAGGATGGGTCCCATTTGATACAGATAAATAATATTATAAATGTGAAAGTAACTCTGTCTGTCTGTCTTTTCTTCACGCCTAAACTACTGAACCGATTTCTGTGAAATTTGGAACAGACATACTTTAGAACTCGAGACATACTTTAGAACTCGACATTATATGATAGTTCTTATACCAAAAATCTGCAGGAAGTCACTACTCCACGCGTACGAAGTTACGGGCAAAAGCTAGTAATATTATAGCCTATGTTTACTTGGTGCTAGTGTAGTTTCACAGTACTGAAAAAAATATTGATATAGGTCAACTAGAACCTATTCATTAGAAACAATCAAATTGTACGTGATAATAATATTAGTATAGATTACCTAGATGCACATTACCTCTCTATTACCTATTAACACTTTTTTTTAAAAGCCATACTGTATCTGTGTTTTTTTTTCAGTCTTATGAGTGATCAGGTTTTGGAGTCGGGTGTGGGTGCTGTGGTGACGCGTTGCGAGTCGCGGGGGCAGCTTTATGATGAACAGGCAGAGATTCTCATTGCAGACATACACAGCGTTACTATAAAGGTCAGTCCTTACTTCCTACTATCCTGTAATTGTTTAAGTTTGTGAGAAATTATGGTTGTTATTCTATGACGCAAAAATGGCTGGTTCGATGTGACTGAAATTTGGTATGTAGATAGGCGATTCATGTGATTATCTACATACCAAATTATAATGGACTAGCGGCCCACCCTCGCTTCGCACAGGACCAGCTATCTCGCTATAAAAGTGTACTTTTTCCTAATCTTCTACTCTACTTTTCTAATATTTTCTTTGATAAAAACCTTCTCCTGACAATAACAAAAACAGAATTAGTCCAGGCGTTGTTGAGTTATGCGCTTACCAACACATTTTGCGATCCATTTTTATATATGTATAAAGATTAACACATCGGCTTTTAATCAACATACCACGCGAGCGAAGCCTTGGGCGGAACCTAGTATATTATTGTAAATGTGTAAGTGGAGATGTTTATTTATAGTATAAGGTTCAGAATAGCATGAAGTTATGTTGTACATAGCTATTTTAAAAACCATTGTGTACAGCATTTTTTTGGATATCTTACCAATTTCTAACAAAACTATGCGTGCAGTACGGCCGACGAATCTGAAGTTAGCCGTTTGTCTGCGCAATGGATCTTTTAGGAACAAAATTGTCTACTGCGCAGCTAATCGGCTAACTTCAGACTCGCCAAGATACGTTGGCGGTATTGTAGGTAAGACGATCTTGATTTTTCATTTGTTTATATTAATTTTATTTCTAGATATCCTGTTACTTGGTATGTCGCAATGTCAGTAGCGCTTACATTCTCGCCGCACGCAACGATCGCACGAACGATCTACGCAGAGTGTTACAGGAAGCAGAGAGGCTTGGCAATGACCAAGTCAGAAATGCATGTCTCAAAAGACTTACTTCTAAGAATGTAGTATGAATTACACATTTTCCTTGACCATTGGTTATGTCTTAAATATTTTGACGGCTCTGAAAATATTGAACAGAGCAATTAGGCTTTTTGTTAACTTTTGAACTGTGTATGACAAAAAAAGTTTGTAGCTTTTTTAGCGCTATTGCAAATGATGTATAGTGCATGTGCTTTGGAACAATCTGATCCTCTTTTGACAAGAAAATCGCTAAAAAACACATTTCTAACACAAAATGACGTATTTCGAAAATGACCTTTTTTTGACTATGAACATGATTTATTTTAACTAAGTTGTTTGGAAATAGAATTTCTAAAGTGTGTTTAAAATAAAATTGATTACTAAATTCTCAATTTAATGTGTAAATTACTACATAGTAGGGTATAAAATCAGGTGCTTATATAGGTATTTAAAAAGGAGCCATATAATGTAGCATTTTATGTATGGGAAACAAGTTATCACTAGGCTTTGGATTATAATGGCTTTTTATGTGATACTGGTTGATAAAACATATAATAGATTGTTAGCTTTTGACAGTGATAATAATAATTAAAAAAGGTTCAGTAAAAAAGAAAATATATTTATTGGTTTACTCATATAACTTAGTGCAATACCTGTCCAATCTGATGTGTTCAAATGTGATACTGTTTTGACAATGTATGTATATTAATTTCTAAAGTAATCAATTTCATTATAAATAATTTATTTTTATGGCATCCAATAATTTCAAAACCAGTATTATTTCCTGATGGTGTTCATTATATTGCATGGATCAATCGCAAAAAAATATATAATTTATTTCTATTTTAATAAATAAAGTGACATGACTATGAGTGAATTGTCATTATGTTAAAAATTCTAATATTTTTATTGTATTACCTATAGAATGTATTGGTCTCATATTGTGATATCATAGTAATTTTTAACTCATAATCTTCAAATCATTTTAATAAAGATTTTTATAAATATTGATAGTGTTTTTTTTATGAATAAAAATGATAAGCATCACTGATAAAACTTTATTGGGAGAATGTAACAAAAAATATTGTTATAAAAATCAGGTGCATTGGACAGATGGTCAATGACTTAACTGTGTCAGCATCTCTAGCTAGAGCAGACAAGACTCCAACTCTTCATATCTCACAGAGAGAAGAGCACACTTCAATGGACCTCGTCCTACAAGCTAGGACATCACGGTGGTATGTAAAATTCACATTTTGTTCATAACACTACATTGCGCACTTCATTATCAGTCTTGACACATTGTCTTCACATAGCAAGGTTACTGTGTAGCCATTGCCTTTTTCTTGGGTTTTTTCAAACGTTTTAACCCATTTACACTTGTCTTCAGTAAATTGGAATATGCAGTACTGAATGTCTCCACATCACGTTGCTCCACAACTGTTGAGATTTTTTTACTTTTTGACTGTGCTCGTACTAAACATTTGTACTCTGGGTTAATCACTACTGGCTTGCCATCACGAGGCTCTGGTTTTGTACGACCGTCATCTAAAACACAGTAAAGAACGTGCCTTAAAAAAACAACTCATAATTTACTTCGAATTCTGAATAAAATTATATCTTAACACTTACATCGTTTCATTGTCATTGTAACTGATCCCGCTGTACGCGCTTTTTGAAATAATTTTGTAAGCTCTGCTAAAAACTGCAAATAAAATTTGTTTCTTTAGAATTAAAGTAAATGTGTTGAAGAAATACAGATACGAAAAACTGGCTTACCTCATCATTACCCAATAAAACCATGTTTATAGCTGTTATAACGTAGATGTAGTAATTATTAAGTGTTTTTAACCTTTTATCTACGGCTCGAATTGCACATTTTACGAATAAATTAATTGAATCAATCCAATATCACTAGTGTAAAACTCAGACTTCAGGACACGTTGACAAGACAGTTTTGACATTTGGCAGAAATGTTACCAGTTAACAGTACTATTATTGCCAGATTCGCGACTCGACTAATCGCAATAATAGTCTCAAACAAGGTAAATACCGATATACTTATGATGATAAAATATTCTAGCTTGACGGATCAGGGTTTGGTGGCTCGAATTTGTTTTAGTCAGGCGGCGATCTATTTATGTACGTTACCTTTTTTTAAGTAAAAGCATCATATGTGTTCTCTCGCCCAAGGTGAGGTGCCGCACTGACTACGTGAAGGGAGGGCGAGGGCAGCGATACTTTATTGCGCTTCTTCCGCCGACCCGGCTAAACATCGGCCCTATTGGTCCTATCTGTGCTGGTCCATAAGCTATTTGAGGCGCGCGAGAAATCATTTGATGATTTTCCCCTCACAAAAAAAAAGACCTACACTTAGGTATGGTTGCCGGAGTTTATCGCTCGATTCCCAACGCCCAGAGTCAAAGTCAAAATAAAAATCATTTATTTCAATTAGACCCTTGCAGGCACTTTTGAACATCAAAAAAACCTTAAAGATAAAAAGTGTAAGTCTCCCGATTTCTCTTAGTGAAGCTATTTGCTTGTTCCAAAGTTTGTATTCCGATGGAAAAGAACGAGCAAGAAACACCATGGTTACTCTTTTGCAATCAGCTTCACAAGGAGTGTAGCCTACTGCCAGTAGCCCCCAGTTCCTCTCGCTGCTCACCACAGACTTGGCCGCCCATGATCGCGGTGTTCAGTCCAAGCAGGGTACACCACCACGGTATGCTCTACCGTGACCTCTGGGTGGCCCTCGCAGTGACCACCTGAAGCGTTTACTTCCACTGGATCTGAAACAGGCACCTCCCGAAACTTCCATGCCCTGTAATCACCGAAGTCAGGCAGAAGACGAAGACGTGTTTTCTCTCTAGCCTCTACTTAAAGAGGGCCTTACAGCTAACGGTTAAGACGCGATGTCTTTTTACGATACGGCAATCTTGCGCTGTTTCTACAACCTCAGTTTCTCAATTACATACAAGAGTTTTGGCAAGACCCAGAAATTAATTAATCGAACCTTTGTACGTCTAGACGTTCAATGGTTAGAACGAATAACTGGTTATTCGTTGGTCTTTCTTAATATTTTTGAGCTTTTTCACTGCCTGTATGGTACGATTAACTACGCAACGTCTTCGAATTCATTTCTTCTTTGCAGCCTCCAGCGTATTTGATAATCGAGCCTACCTACATATGTGTTAAAACCACAATATTTTGGACACCCAGTTGGTTGTTTTTGGCTCTATCCACAGTCATAATTTTGGTCATATCCAGATTAACTGTACCTAAGATTGCATCTATAAATTCTAGTCGCCGAAAAGTGTTTCAATTTCTTCTCTGTTTGGTGTTAGGAAGGAAATATCATCTGCGTAAGTGATGGTTTCCGGCCTCCTACTAATATTTCCTCATCCCAATATAGAATTCATTATGTGTATATACGGTAAGGAGCAGAAGAGAACATAATGTAGTCCTGTATAACGCCAGTCTTCGTCTTCAGTATTTAGAGTTATATAGTTCACCCGAACAGCGGCAGTGCCCGTCTTACAGACTTGTTGCAAAATGTTGTGGTACACCCAATTCTATCGTAATCACAGAATCAAAGAGTCACAGCCTGACGGCGAATAACGCTTTCCTAGGTTATGACGCCAATTAGCCTGTAGTAACTATACTTTTTTTGTTGAACCTTTTTTATATAGTGATGTGATTATAGAGGGTTCGCACTTTATTTTAACATACTAGGTATTTTATTTTTAAGTCATTAGTGGTGCAAACACTTAACATTTTTTCCTTTAACTTGATCGACAAGGCAGAGTGCAGTCATGGGCACCTAAAACGTCATGATTAAATTGTTGCCTATAGTTAGAGCAAGGATAGATATTTAGGGATATTTTATTATTTGTATTTAAAAAATTTCCACATCTCATATTACTTTACAAAGCTCAATAAGTACTTACCTACTTTGAGCAATGCGAAACCTTCACTATGTTTCAGCTAGACCCTCTAGATTTTTGACTTTGTAGATAGATACTCTTAGTACCTAGGCATATATTCTTTTATTTGCTAACATTACAATATCTGAACCGGCCTGTGCTCATGAAGGTAATAGTGTTGGTTACGTACCTACCTATATAATTTTTAAGTTAGATTCCTATTCTAGCACTTTAGCATCCAGCCAACAGCCGTCTAAATAGAGTAGGTACTTATCAAAATTATTTGTAGGTACTACATTTACCAAAAAAATAAACTTATAATTCTACATATTCACCTACATGCAATAAACTCATACCTAATCGTATTTTCGTTAACAATATCAGCGACGAACTCAGGCGACGCATTTGAGCTTCATACCACACACAAACAAGCTAATAACCTAGTAATATTCCAACGCGCGACCTCGGCAGTCGGCGCGACGGTTCTCAATCCTGTTTCACTCGACGCGACAACGAGAATATCATTTCAATATTGTTAAAAAAAATTTTCTTCGTAAACATGTCCAGTAATGGTAAGAATTAACGTTATTAGTATTTATTTTTTGTTGTATCTATTATTCCTACGATCAACTAATCCTACATTTACATTTTTATGTTTCATTCAGTGCATATTTCCTACAAAATTCGAAATTCAATTACAAACATCGCTCATAAGTGTTATGTCACGTGACAATCGACGCGGTTTATGAGCCGAACTGGGCGAATGTATACTTTTTTTATTCAATATCGTGGCAAAAATGTATACCGACGTAAATAAAATGCTACCTATAACAATTACTACTAATTTAAATAAATTACACATACATCACTAAAGCATGTATGTTGGAGGAATATTAATATTATGCAAAGCATGTATGTATTGTGTAAATTGAGTTGCAAATTAAAAATTAGTAGTCCAAATAAGGTAACCCAATAGTTTATAGTAATACAGCTATACGTACTAGACTCCTAAGTTTATAAAAAATATTTCACATTTCTAAAAATAGAACCTTATCTTATACACACACTTAGAACATTGTTGACTTTTTTGTATTTGCGTTCTTAACACTTTTGAATGCTTATTATTGCTGCATAATAGGTACTACGTACCAAAAATAAAGTACCTAGGTATTTAAAGTTATTTTAAAACAATATCCTATGTACTTAGGGTAAAATAATTTGCCAGGCTAAATAAATTTTTATAGTCAGGGTTATCATATTAGATTGAGCGCATTATTTTTTATAATGAGGACCCCCAAATCTTGTTAAAACCTCCATGTTAAGATTGATATAAAATAAATTAAATTAAATGTATGTTTAATAAAACTAAGTTGCAGACATTGGGTGGGTTAGCCACAGAGATAATGCATGATAGTTACGCAACTACTTATAACTTCAAAAACAAATAGATGTCTCTACGATTGCGTAGGTCAGTTTACGAACATGTGAGTACCTAAATATCAAATTGGTATAGGTAGGTACTTTCGTGCCTTATGTAACGACTAAGTTACATCTTGTCATTCTTTAATTGTTCCATGAAATCAGCCCTGTTTACAATACGCAATATCTGAAGCTTAATTGCCAATGTAGGCACCAGCTCATCCGCCTACTAAGGCAACGCACGACACGTTGACAAAAGCAATAAATAATGTTGGCAATAAGTATTCGTTAGTATAGCTTCGTGCCTTTTTCATCATACCTAATTATAATTTTGGTGGGCATTGTTAGTTTGGCCTTTATTTTGTGCTCTCTAGAGGGCAAAGCCAAAGTAAGGAACAGGAAAAGTTATTTTTCCACTTTCTAGCTATTTAACCATAGGGCTTGAGACTTTCTGGCCAAGTACGACATCATCTGCACCTAAATATATTTATTTGCAAAATATCACGTCATATTTCATATCTACAAGAAATCCGTTTGGACTCTTCCACCCTAGCTGAAAATGTAACCCCAATTATGTTTTTCAGTTCCATATTATGTAACGGCCACTGTTACTGCGGCTGGTGTTCTCGGCAGCGTCTACTGTGCTTACCGTCTGTACCGTCAAGAAAAGCCAGTGAAACTTCCAGAAAAATGGGAGCAAGTTGGAGTTCTGACGGAAATCAACGTGTACCCAATAAAGTCTTGTGGTCGCATTATGTTGGAAACAGTTGAATGTACTAACATGGGATTAAGAGATGGGTGGCTTCGTGACAGGTTTGTTTAATTGAACTTAGGTACCTACTTACTGCAGATTGATAGAAAAATCGGAAACCTTTTGTTTCACTTTAATACTTCTTCATTATCTACAATTTTATTCTTGCAGAGTCCTGATGGTTGTCGACGATAAAGACAATTTCATAACAGCGAGAGGTTTCCCTGAACTTTTGGCTGTGCAGCCCACTATTAGAAATTCTGTTCTTACTTTGGAACATCCGAACATGGAAAAACTCAACGTCAATTTAGCTGAGGTGGGTTATAGAAAACAGCATATCGTGTCTATAGATAGATAGACACGATATGCTACATGAGTTGTCGACGTCATTCAAAATGACCCTTGACGCTAACAAAAGAAATCTATGAAGATTTTTTAAAATGATACCCCACTGCATTCATGGAGTATTTTTATCTAGGTATTTAGTGTAAGTACTGATTTAACGAACGATTGTAGCTAAGTAGGTACAACAATGATAAACGACTGTATTATCAATATTATTGGATATCAGGCCTCGTATTTTTTCCCGATATACCTATAGATAGATAATGCCCTAGCGTGTTTGTAAGAGCTAAATATAGAACTCGGAACTTTTGAATGTAGGTATTAAGTATTACGTATTACTTACCTACCTAAAATCTTGACCGCTAATAGGAACGTAACTGAAATGGATTTAGGTGATATAAAGGTGTACACCACACACTTTCGTGGGGCTCTTAGAAATTTCACGGTATGCGATTGTATTGAATTTTGCAACTACCTATTTTCCTAATGCAATATAAATAGGTACCAATAAGTATTTAGGTACAGTTGCCTACTAAATGACCTTAAGGACAGCTTAGAGAAAGTATAACCGTGGGCAGCCAGCAAGTGCTAACTATTAATACTTAGCGCCAATAGCACGCACGTGATGTGCCACATCAATCACGTATTTAAGTAATTTTACAAGCTGTTTTACTAATAATTTATTTTGTGTTTTAGGTTGTGGCTCTACAGAAACCGAAGAAGGCAATTGTTTGGGGCGATCCTGTACCCGTGTATGACTGCGGCTGGGAGGTGAGCGAGTGGTTCTCAAGGTGAAATTCAGTGTTTTAATGTGTAAAATCTCTAATCACAATACGTTGTAGAAGACAGCGGGAACAACCATTTTTTTTTTCATCTGTATTCAATGTTTTCGTCCCCAAAATAAGATCTCCATCGACGCTCATTGTATTGTATTCCAACATATTATAAGGAAACATGAATCTTTTCCATTTAATTTAGGAATGCATGTGTAGGTTATTATTGTTCATTCAAGTGTTAACTCTCATTGTTATTCGATGCTGAAACAGTTCAAAGTTCGTTGGAACATTTGGCTGTGAGGGACCAATGTATACATATTACACTATCTGCTTGATCATTTCAGTACATTTCATAACTACAACGCGTTATCTGTCCCGTTGCTCTCGTCATGTCTTTAAATAAATAGAAGGCGAAGATAAAGTTTATCAATACCTATTTTTCCATTTCATAAACGTACCATCTTTGAATACATAATTTAATTTTGAATTTGATCAAAGCTGTGCTCAAATCATTTAGTTGATAGTAGATCGTAGCTCTAATGCATCCAAATATATGTATCATGAATTACTATATAGATAATTATACAAAACCGTACAATTTTGGAGGGAGGCGAGCTATCATTGAATGAATTCTTTCGCCCCACAGAGGGGAGAGGAAGTGTTAGTCTCTTACTGACTAAAAATAACGCTTTTTCTGGCCGCGGTACCTTAATACTTTTGCACCCGCAGCCCTAGAAATGTTGGCCACTGCAGTAACGTAGCTCTTTATTTCTATTGCAGATTGATTGACCGGTCACCCCTGAACTTCCGTCTTGTATACTATGCATCCGAAAACTGCCGTAAACTTCGCGGCACTACAAACAAGGCCTACAAATTCGGAAAAGAAGATACGGTAAATCACTCATAGTTATTTGGAACATTATTGTCACCTAGGTCATACACATATGAACCTATTTCTTGAAATGAAGAAAACAAGCCTACCTGGTACAGTAAACGGAGTGAATAGATGAAAGGGGTGAATAATGTTGGCGAATTTTCCTTGTATCTATTCACTCTTCAAATTCTATTCACCCCGTTTAACCCTACCCAAATGATAACAATGCAGTAAAATGGCAACCATTGGAAAAGTCATAAGTAGTAAGAACATAATAGATAAATAATCTCATCATATTTTCGAAAGATATGCATGCTGAATAATGGCAAATAGGTGTGCAGGAGCGAGGGCACTTATTTGCTTTATGCAATGCTAACTGATGATTTAAATTTTCAGGGCGCCCTCCCTGATGAGACCTCATTCAATCTCGTTAACGAGGCGTCAGTAGACGACTTGAATACCCGGCTATCCGACTGTAAGGTCTCAACGAAAAACTTCAGACCTAACTTCGTGCTCAAAGGCGCTAAACCTTATGATGAAGACAACTGGAAGTTCGTGAAAATTGGCGAAAATGTGTTTGAAATAATCAAACCGTGTCTAAGGTACGAACTAATAATTATTTTTAATTAAAAAATTAAAACTAAGTTATGTGCTAGATAAGTACCTACCTAATTATTAATTTTGTACTTTCAGATGCATCTTGACTACCATCGATCCGGAGACGGGTATTCGCAATGCCAACACGGAACCATTGCAGGAGTTGAAGAAGTAATTATTATTCTATTCATCACAGCTTATGTCATATTTTTTGCGTTTATATTTATGCTATAAAGTGGAATATATTTTTTCAATGTTCTGTTTTTCTTTTCCAGGTACCGTCAACTCACAGATCCCGAAGAACGTAAATCTGGTGGTAGCTCTCCAAAAATGGGATTACAGATGGCACTGCGTAGTGGCCCTGGCGGAAAGATTTCACTCAACGACCCTATTTACGTAGCATAAGCGGTTTTTCGGGTAATTTGTTCCAACTATTTATCTAGTTGGTTTTATTGGGACAACCCCAATTTATGCATTTTTTACTATACCTATTTTATTTTGTTTTGTATTCAATTATGATTTTTATTATGAAATAAAAGAATGAAATGTTTTTAACTTTTTTATTATAATTTCAAACAGTTAAATGCGTACAATTTGAGCTGCGATTTTTTTATCATCTTTCAAGTTTTGTATAAGTAAGCGGGCAAAGGTACCGCCTCCCGTTCCCTTAGTTAAATGCTCTGGATTTACTACGACACAGCCATTTACTTCCTATAAAAAATAAGATTTATTTTGAAATTGACTTTAAATAAAATAAGGTGTTGCATAAGTTCGCCTAACTAAAACTATAACAAACCTTGACAAAGTATCTGAAGTTAGAGGGCAGCACTAGGACGTGTGGTATACATGATAGTTGCGCATGCGCAGCCCATAGTGCAGCATCGACTGAGAGGCTCTGTGCTGGTGGCCAGAGTGGGTAGTATGTCTGCTGCATTAGGATGTGTCCAGCTAATCTCGATAATTTGTCTCCACCCATACCTCTGTAAATTGTTTTTCGTCAGTATAATATATAGAAGCCTGTCGTTACTGTTAAAGAGATTTTAAATGATATTTACACAGATATTTCTTCCTGGCTAATGTGCATGAGGATATCTGTACTTGTAACACCAACAATTATGCCACTGATGTTGAGTGTGCAAGGATCTGGCATAAAGTGAATATTTGTATGTTTCCGCCTGCTACAATATGCTGGAGTTGGGTAAATGTTCACATGGAATGCATCTTTATTACTGGAAACTATGTAAATCTTGGTATATGGGCTGAAAATTAAAAAGAAAATAATGAACGACATAATAACAGGAATTAAGAACTGAGAGTATATGTTCGTTACTTTTATCCTTACCTTGTATTACTTAATTCTCCTAGACTATCAATTAATTTGTCAAAGAATGATTTGAATGTTTCTGCCATAGTATTATCTTTGACTTTGGTGTGATCACTGTCTAAGAATGGTCCAGTCATAATAACTACATGTGGTTGGTGTGTTGAGATGTATGTTACCAAGTCCTTTAGAGGCTCATATGTCATGTTATCAGATGTTGTATATGGTCCTGATGCTACTACCATTGACATTTTGCCTAGAACAAATTGAGTTATCTTGTTGAATAGTAATGTGAGTCAACCATTTAATTTACTAAGTTATTTGATAAGTATTCAATCTTAGATTGCTAAATAACGTCATGTTTATACCATACCCTGTAAGGTATTCGTCAGATCTGCCTTATGATCTGTAACTGCAGGTGATGCATCACAGAAGACCTCATGTGCTACGAACTTTTCACCACGCGTGTTTACGCCTTTCATTACTACCGTCTGGCCAGGAAATAAAGAATACTGCTTCACACTGTCACAGAAATAACAAGCCTATATAAAATTTAATATATGCAAGAACTAGTGTAATGATATTACAGTAAGTTTGTATAGCCTTTTCATCACTGTATAGACATGAATGAAATCACCACATAATTTTTGTGATTTGAATGCAAATGAAGTTAATGCATCTATTATAACATTTTGAATTTTTCATTATGTATACAAACTTGTCCAAATCCACTGGTACTGTTTGACTAAGTGATTGCTCCCAAGTTCCCTGGAGAACAACACTTTTGGGATTGAGTCTGGCATCAGCATCACATTCTATGCGACCTGCCACTGCTACTTCAGCCTGTAATTTTATGTACAATTCCCAATTGAAGTTGAACTTGTTTACGTATTTTTGTGAAGCATGTTAAAATTTTGCTATGTAGGTACCTGTGTTTTACACCTTACAGATGTCAGTTCTTTAATCCCAGACTTTTTCATGATACACTGTGAGACATAGCGTATATTTCCATCAAACATACTGGCTTTCTCGTGGAGTAGTTCAAAGCCAAACCTATAATAAAATGATTGCATCACAAATATATTTAAAAAAATATTTCTTTGAACATGTTGTGGCTTTGTAGTTGGGTGCATCCAATACATAGTCGTTAAAATAAATGTATTTGACTATTATGGACAGCTTTGAAAACATTGCATGCAGCTATAACAAATATTTATCTTTTGTAACTAAATCCAGCAAAGATTAAATGGTCATTAGTAATGTAACTCTATCTATACTTACATGGCTTTGTTATATATGTCACCATCATCGTTAGGCACTTGTGTGATTTTCAAATTTAAAACATCATGGCCACATGGCTCTGAAATGTTCTGTAGTAATTTCTCATCTCCATATGAGTGAACTACGGCACCTACATTAGTCCTTGTTGCATATTTATTAGACCCACTGAAATAAAATGCATGCCTTTGGTATAATAAAATTAATTATGAAAATTATAAAAAATCAAACTGTATTTTTTTGTTGTGGGTAAAATGAAAAATTAATTTGAAAACTGAAGTAGTTTTTAAAGCTGAGATTGAGGTTTAATGTTCTTATTCTGGGATTGCGTAATAGTTGTAAACAATTCAACACTTTCAAGGCCTTAAAAAACTGAGTAGAAATTAGTTCTAGCAATTTTTTATCTTTTTTTACTTTGGAAACTTACACTGATGGAGAGTAAGAGGCTGGACACAAATCATTAGTCTGGTTTGATACAGATTCAATTTCAACTTTAACTCTCTGAAAAGCGTTAAAATATTTTAAATAAAGGGCATTGCACTTACTACAGATATTTTAATATTAATGGAATTTACATAAATGTTTAGTGTGAAGACGCTGATTAAGTTGATGGCTGCAGACGAGTATGGATCTAGTCATGATATGTAATGAACATGCACCAGAAGCAAACTCGCCCACAAATATCATCAAGTTAAATTGCACAGCCACTTAAATCTTCGAGTAAGTAATGGTTACAAAATACACTAAAAAGGAGGTAATATGTAAAAAAATTTTTCAATGACATTATACCTGTTCCTCGAAAACGTTCCAGTGTTTTCACCGATGCTCAGCCTAAATGCTCTCAATGAGTGTAGATCTAGTCACAGAAATAATACACTGTGGCACTAGACATATACCCATTAGCAGCAAATAGGTGTATCAACAGTCTTCATTTGCTTGAGATAAAACAATTATTTTTTAAATAAAAATAAAATTAGTTACAATTAAAGAAACAATCTTAACAGTCATTGGTAGCTGTTGTTGTTTGTTGTGTTAGCTTAAGACTAAATTTATTGTCAACTGAGCTAAGGTTATATACATACGTAAGTGTACCTACAAATAAAAAAATATAAAAGCTATTAAATTGAAATACCTTCGGTGTTGTAGCCATATAATCGGATAGAACTTCATTGTCTGATCTGCATCAACGCTAAGGAATGAAACTGTTGATAAAATGAAACTCATTACAACCAATGTTACATTAGAAAACAAACAATCGACAATAAACCGTTAACACAGCGGCGGCAGCTATCACAAGTTGCAAACTACAAGTAATAAAACTTCGGTAAATAATGAACACGTGGAGCATGCGCTTTAAAAGGATACTGAACTGAAGCGGGTGCCCCGTAAACCGTCAAACTTGAGCCGGTACCCACTTGTCCGTTTTCTTTAGAGGTTGCGTTGGAACGATTCGCCGCCCGCTTGGAAAATTCCTTTCTCACAAATGTATCCAAGTTATCCAAATTCGGTGATGAACCATTTAAATGATTTAAACTGAAGGCCATCCATTGTTCAATGAAAGATTCGGCGTCGATGTTGTATTCGTCGCATAAACTTACGCCTTAGAAAAAGAAGTGAATAATGGAACAACCTTGAACATTCATTTTGATTGAAGCGGCATAAAGTTATATCCAAAACTTTTGATAAAGTTGACAAACAGTAAGATGCATTACAGTATAGCTTATCGCGAATTATCTGGATACTCACATTTATTTATTACTTCGTTGGGCACATCTATACCGAAAAATTGAAATTGCTCAGTCACCAATTCTTCGGAAGCCATTTTCTGTAAATTGAAAGAGCGAATGAAAGGAAAGGAAGCAAAAGAGCGCCAACGCCAATCAAAAAGTTTGCGTGTGTTTCGTCAAAGTTTTAACCACAGACTACAAAGACATAATTTTCTTTTAAATGGCAATACTTTTTTCAAATTTATGTACAATTTATTTAATGTTTCAATTAATTTTTTCACAAAAAACATTCGTTCATATTTATTAAAAAAAAAAATAACACATACAAAAACATAATAAACTAATAGTGATAATTAAATAATAGAAACATAATATTTACTACAAAAAAAACTACATAATCTATGCGGCAGCGTTTGCGCAAAAATCAAACTAATTAAAAATTTAAAATGTTTTATAATTGCAATGTTATCCTTATTTTATTGTTGCTAGTAATTTTGTAATAAATGTATGATTTAATCCCTGGTTATATTTGTATTATTAACATTTGTATTAATTAAAAATAAATATAGTCCTTTAAGTGTAAAAATACTACATTATGCCTAAAATAAAAAAAAAATTTACAAAATAAAAAAACCGCCTTCAAAAAAAGTCAAGCAATAAAAGTTCCTACACTAAAAAGTAAAAAATAACAATTTGAATTACTGTAAAAAAACTTAATTTATAGGTAAACTTATTTGACATTAATATTTTGCAAATATTCAAAATTTATTACTTATTTTTGGAGTCGGTGCCAGCATTTTGATGTTGAAACTTAATGTTAGTTAGGTTTTTAATATCCGGTGCCATTTTTCGTACATAATGCTTAAACATTTTCAATGTACTTAATGTTTTTATAAGTACATATTTTTTATTTAAAAAAATGTGCAAATCGGACATTTTTTGTAGAGAAGTCTAATCTGTATTTATGTCTTAATTAATATACCTATATTTGAGTATGCAAATAGGTATTAAGTAGTTTTATAATTAAGTAAGAGGTAGTTTTTCAAGGGATTGTTGCCCATTTGTATTTCCTTGCATGGGCTGGCACCGACTCCAAAAATAAGTAATAAATTTTGAATATTTGCAAAATATTAATGTCAAATAAGTTTACCTATAAATTAAGTTTTTTTACAGTAATTCAAATTGTTATTTTTTACTTTTTAGTGTAGGAACTTTTATTGCTTGACTTTTTTTGAAGGCGGTTTTTTTATTTTGTAAAATTTTTTTTTATTTGTAGCCGTTTAGTGTTTTTTTTTTTTATTATAATGTGTTATGGCAAAGAAGTCAATATCGTTCCTACATTTCTTTTGAAAAAGTTACCAATGTCATACTTATACGTAGAAATACATATCATAGTACATTGTTACTGTGTAATCGTTTTGATCTCGAGGAGAGATGATATGATGCATGAGATACTTATGACTTATAGTTAAAATAAAATAATAATCTTATCATAAATTCATATTAGTTCTCGCCAAATAACAAAAAACTAGATATTTTCATCAACAGACAGATAAAGTTCAAAGATACCAAATGCAATCTAATTTAGTATCTATGATTAAATACATTCGTACATAGAAAAAAGACCGATGCAATTATTGTTTTGTATCAATTGTAACCCATTAAATGAAGAATACTATTTTGTTATTACTAAGAACATTCATATATAGACAAGTTGGTAAAAATATAAAAGACCATCGCTATTGTAAATATACATTTATGACTCATTCAATGTATGAACCTTTTTTAAGTAAGTATTATCTACATATGTGCACACAAAAGAAACACAATTATTGTTTTGTACGACGCAATTATTGTTTTGTAACCCATTTAAAACGACTGTTTTGTTAAAAATGCCAATTAATTCTCTTAGCCTATTACCAGGAAAACGATAAGAACACAATGACGCATTTCACCACTAATGTGTAAACGCAGTCCACGTGGACTAATGCAAAATAGCCAATACTAGGCCAAACTCCGCCCCCAAAGGTGTGCGGTCCCGCTCTAGAACCTTTCGGCCCCATCGGCCATCTGTTCTACGAGCAATGTGCCGTGCCCACTGTCACTTAAGTTTGGCATTTCTTCGGGCTATGTCGGTGACGCTGGTTCTTCTGCGGATTTCTTCATTTCTGATTCGAACATGCACGGAAACTATGAGCATAGCCCTTTCCATTGCTCTTGACAGCTCTAATAAGCTTACACAATACTAGGCCCCATGCCAACCTTCCAGCTTCATCATCACATCAGTTCAATAGTACCTTACAGCCAAAGTGCATCTTATAACAATTCTAACAAGCCCAAACACGGCTAGGATATATTAATTAGGTACGCAGTTCCAGTGCCTACCTTCCAGCTCCATAATCATCATTAAATCAGTTCGATGATAACATTTCCAACATAATTATTTAAGATCATTGGTTTACAGTGCATTTTCATAGTTGCTGAACTACCTTGATTGTGATATCTATGCGAGTGTCAAGTTTCATCATCCATTTCTGATCTTCTTCACCAGTTCCACCTCATCAAACATTACTTTTTGACTGTAAATGCTTGAGTGCTCTATGAAAATATTAAAATTACTATATAGTTGCCTATAATATTTGAGGAGTTCCCTCGATTTCTCATGGATCCCATCATCAAAACTTGATTTTGAAAAGAATGGGACCAATCTGGAAGCATATCCTTTCAATCATAAAAAAAATTTTGCAAATCCGTCCGTAAACGACGGAGTTCTGAGGTAACAAACATAAAAAAATAAAATAAAAAAAAAAAAAAAAAAAACATACAATCGAATTGAGAACCTCCTCCTTTTTTTGAAGTCGGTTAAAAATACAATGAGAAAATTATGTTAACACTAGCTCTTAGTCTATGTTACCGCCTGTGCCATCTAGCGACATAAGAGTCACACCTCACAAACCCTGTACCCAGACAACACAAGTAAAAAATACAACTTCCCGACCCTTGCCAATATATAGGCACTGAAGTAAAATTCTGCTAAAAGTGACAACCCTAAGACAGTAGGCAATTACATCGCGGATCGGGCTGGAGATAGCCTACTGCCCTTCTCTTTATACTATGGTAACGGTAAAACAGGGTGAACAGAATTCGAGGGGTGAATAGATCAACATCTATTCGCCCCGTTTTACGGTATAAGAAGTTGAGTCAAGGTCTGTGAAGATCTCAACGTTTTCAAGTCTAGACGAATGTGTTTGCTCAAGTCGAATAAACAAAATGCGAAACAGAATGCATATTTATGTGCATATTCACTATAATGCTAATGACAGTTATTTTACCTTAGAATTTTTTTTCGACGTAATTTATTTGGCGTATCCGTGCCTGGTCAGCTAGTCATTGATCACCACAATTACTAAATTAGAACAATCAACAATAAGTTATTTTAACATTATTATTTTCACAACAATGTGTTAGATTTTATGATCTACACTTTTTTAAGATGATGATACTTATAAAACATACAGTATTTGAAAAAATAAATAAAACAAAACAAATATGGAAGATCTTCTGATTTATTAACATTATTTGGACAGGAATAAGGAATTATATTTGTATAGTGTTACAAGAGGTTACTGTTAGAATACCTCTCCTTTACAGGTTTCCATGAAGAACCTTGTCTCTTCTAAGTTATTACTAAAAAATAAATTACTCTAATTAAATAAAACCATCCAAATAAATGTTATATTTATTTTTTATAATATATATAAATATGTCCAACACTTTTACAAGCATTTTAACAATAGATCTAAGTTCTTTGGACATGTATATGAAATTTACAGGAAGGCATAGACTGAACTTCTGCTGTAACCACACTGTTTATACACAAGTTGGCCAAACCACCTCTGATCAATCCACAAGTGTAGGCAACATACTGGAAAACAAATACATACAATATTATTGAAATAATAAGCAACAAAGTTGTGCTTTACTAAAACATATAAATTGCAATAATTAAGCTTTTGCTGTTAGTACAGCAGTTATAAAAATGTGCCATCTACATTTTCTCCTGACCTAATTATTATTGACACTTACCCTCGGTGCAAACTCTAGATATTGGTGTCCATTAGAAAAGTTGGTAAGAAATCGGAATGCATTATCTTGTAGCACATAAACTCCTTGGTGATTTGTTCTTAAATTGTCAATTTGTTTTTTATAAATACATGTCCAGAAATCCGTGCATATGAATTTCATGGTATCCAGTTCATCTTTAAATCTGGGCCACTCTCTGGTCAGTCTTTCCATTATTTTGTAGCCAGCAGCAAATCCAATGTACTCAACGACAGATAGATCCACCTCCTGAAACAAGGCTGTACCATGTCTGATTCCATAAACACCAAACGTATTTTTCAATATATCAATTCTATTTATTATTTATTAAAAATAAAAAAAAAACCTTTTTATCATTGTTATTATCCTTTGACTGATCCAAAGCGTAATTTATTATTTCGGAATGCAATAACTCAAATACAATATCATCGGCCATTGCAATTGTGTTGGTTTACTTTTTCGAAGATATTTTATTTTGACTTGTTTTCTTGAAGTAAACTACAGAAAAAATAGGTAGGTAATGATATGAAATAAATCGAGTTTCAGTGTTTTGTATTGACTTACTAGTTGACAAGTTGACGTTCACACTTTTTGTCTATAGATTTATGTCACTTCTTTTTTTTTTTTTTTTGAGTTTATGGCCTGGATACGAGTCCTTTAAGCCAATTATGTCACTTCTTGTCAATGTTGGCCACAGAGAATGAGAAATTACTTCAAACTTAAAAGAAAATAATATTTTGATCAATATTCACAAGATAATTTTAACCCCTCTAAGGTATATATGTTCTGTGATTTTAACGGCCGAAATTAATAACCGACTTCGATCCAAAATCTGTTAATTATTTGGGAAGTAGTTATATTTTTTTTTTCAAGAGATCAATCTAGACTTTCGAATTGAGATCGGTTCTAAACAGTGAAAAAGTGAGTCTTTATTCAAATAAAGTCCCATTATAAAAAGATTTTTTAAATTTGATCTTAAGATCATTGAAACTATAATAAATTACTGTTGGGTCAAAACTAACTGTTAAACTCAATATATTTCCTCATTTCCTTTTTTGTGAGGGAAAAAACGATCAATTCTTTGACTTCTCTCGCCCAGAGTGAGGTGAGTGAGAGGGAGTGTCGGAATCTTACTGACTATAAACCTCCCGATCTACTCCGCGGTATCTCATTGCGCTTGCCCGCAAACACTGGTTTCCTTACTAAATTACTATCTATTGATATGATTTGTAAAAAGACGGCAGGTGGGTGATTCTCCAAAAAACCTTAATTTTTATTTAACAAGTCATTATCCTCCCAGATTTTTAAGCATTTTAGTAATTTATTTTATACAATATTTTTAATCGGTTGCTTGTAAGCAGTAGTGAGATTTAATTTAATAAAATAATTATCTGTGTTTTAATCAGCAGACTCGTTAATTTTCGGTTGAGGATAATGACATTATTAAATTTTTTTTAATTGATGTGAAGAATCACCCAGGTACAATTACGTTGTTTTGTTATATGTAGTTGTAATAACATCTATATTTACAGTCGGGGTTGCGGTACTAAGCGCAGTAATACAAACCTACAAACACTACAACTTAATTCGCTTTATCCAACTACCTACTCATATAATATAACTTATTAACTAAATTACGCTCTAGTTTCTGAAACACTGAACCTTAGAAATAATATTTGGAAACATTAAAATTCGTAAAAGTTCCCCACAGCGGGACTTGAAGCTTTATATTATACAACATTATTTAAGGTGGCAGAACTAGCCATTGTAAAAATGTGTACCATCATGATTGTATGAATGGTTTAACAATATTTTATTAGTCATATTAAAATGACATAAGATTAGGCAACCCTAACTGCGTCACCTAGCTAGTGGTAGGTATTTTAATGTAACAATGAATGAATAAATAAATAAAGATGGCGGATTGCGTCCTCAGTGCAGTGCTCCGTGGAACAATGTACTTTTATCAGGATTTCATATAGCCATAGTTGTGTAAAAGTTGTAATATCAGTGCGATTGTTAATTTTTGATATATAAAGTAAGTTTTATTTCCAAATAACTGTGCTGTTTTATCTCAAATGGACGGAAATAATATTATCGCTGTAAAAGATGGCGATCCGACGCGGCCAGGTGAAGTAGATGCGCCATCTGCTGTGGATGTACCGAAACAACTTGAAGGACTTACTAAGAAAAAAAGGCGGCGCGGGAAATCCAAACGTAAAATTATGAAACCTTTTTCGAAAATTCCGTGGCAAGATCGTCGTAAAAATGAAAAATCTAAAAGAAATAACAGATTCAGAAAGATTGTGATGGCAAAAACGCACGCTCCTTTTAATAACAACCAATTCTTAATGGAAATACATAAACCAGAACCAGAAAATTCCTTTCATCTTTTACGAACACCGTCAGCAAGGACTCGCGATTCAAGTTTTAGTGTTGACTCGGAAGATAATTACTTTTTTTCTTTACCCGAAGATGAAGAGGAATATTTGACAAAAGAATTCTCAAGTGTTTATGAAGATGCTCAAAGTGAACGATTATCGAATATGTCAAAGGATGATCTCGTCCAAGAATATCTTCTATTGGAAGCGAAATATGATAATCTTGTGAAAAGAACTGAGCGTTCTAGAGCAAAGTTCCTGGAAGAGGACAAAGATATGACAGTGAACGATAGAGATACTTCAGTGACAGATAGGGACAGTATGTTAACCGACAGGGACACTTCAGGGACTTCTGTTGGGTCCAGTGTGGTGGATGATCAATCATTTAGTGACCTAATGCTGCGTATGAAGGAACAAGAAGAGCAAATACGTTCCCTACAAATAGACAATGAGAAGTTGAGACTTGAAGTTGAACATTTAAGACAACATTCTCAAGATACATCAAGTGCAGACTCTGAAAGTGATAGTTCATCCTCATCAGATAGTGACAGCAGCTCCAGTGGGAGAGCAAGCCCAATAGCTGATCCAGTTGGTGAACAAAATTTAGTTGAAGACAATTTGAATGGAAATTGTGTTCATGTTAATGGCCAAAATGAAGAGACTGAAGGTTCAGGGGCCTCATACCCAATGGTTAATGGTTGTCATGATTCAAATGATTAAATCAGTTGTATTAAGTTTAAGTGATCTGTAGGTAGTTTGTTAAGAGCTGTAAACATTGTTGGACAGTATTTAAATATCTTTATTCCTGCTTTTATTTCGATTTGACAGTGGACAATTTTTCTTCTCGCTGATAAATGTGTGATTTTAAATACATGCATTTAGTGACATGCTTATTTTACTATTATGTTATATTTAGCACCCTACTGTACAAAAGTCCTCAAGCATTCTTTCCTGTAACACACTGTGGGAATGTAAATGTGAGATCTCAATTTACCTAGATTTAGTGAAATAATTCTGTGATATCCTTGTGGATATTTTATCAGTAGTAATATATTGTAATAAATTGTTTTTATTTCCAATAAGATCTCACTTTTATGTTTTATACAGTGGGATATAATAATAAGTTAGGTGTAAGAAAAAATGTTGTAGTAAGTAATCATTTATTTTGTATAATTATATATTCTTATTATTAAGTATATTTTATGGACATTGTTGGATTTGTTATGTATGGGTGTCTTTGTGTTTTAAACCAAATTTGAATGTGTCAAGTACTTTGTAGCAATAGATTTATATATAATTTATGAAACCTATACTTATAGTTTTAACAGGGATTGTGTCTGCGCCATTAATTACAGTTATTATGTCAGAAGTATAATGTGTGCTATTATTTACCTGTCTCATTTTTTATGGAAATTATAAAACATATTGCACATTATGTTATAAAAAATAATTATAATTTTTTAATCAACAGACATCCTAACCTACTGTATGCCTGGCTACAAAATGCCAACAGTACTATCTCCTATTATTATCTACTTTATGATAAGCACTTAGCATTTTACACTTTTATCTTTTTTCACTTTAGATTCTGGAGCATTGGGATTAGCTCCCTTATAAAACTGTTTTAGTAAAGCCATGGCCTCATTTGCCATTAGGTTTCCAACCAAATTATAATTATATTCATAAAAATTACTAATATCTAATACAGTTTTACCACCAAACCTGTCATTGGCACAACCATATACAACTTCCTTTACCCTTAAATTACTAAGTGCAGCTGCACACATAATACATGGTTCTACGGTTACATAAACACTTACATTTTGAAAATATGACATGTAGTCTATGTCATTAGTTTTGCAATGTTCTATGACAGAATCAATGCAATTGATTTCTGCATGCCTTGTTGGATTGTGTGTAGCATTAACAATATTCCTAGACTCTGCAATAATTTCAGAATTAATTACAAAAACACAGCCAACTGGTACTTCTTGAGCTGATAAAGCTTCTGATGCTAACTCAAGAGCTCTCTTCATAAAATCAGCCATATTGAAGGAGCCCAGCTCTGACAATATAAATCTGAGTCTTATTGTTGCTGGAAATACTTCAGCAAATCATTGTCAGTTAAAAACTCTGTGGTTTTCTCCACCCAGTTATTATTATTTACCACTCTGGGACTGGGGTGTTGTAAGTATAAAATCTGAAATATAAAAATACACACTTTTATTACCATGTACAAATATGAAATTATCTTGGGGCAACTACAATTATTTGAACAGAATACCTTAACAGGTCTTGTGAGAGAGTATTTCTTTATGGTTTCTTTAGCTCTGGTTTCACAGAATTTTCCAATGGCAACAATTATCTCAACTTCATACAGTTCTAGGACTTTGTGGAAAACAGGATCACAAATTCTGTATAGTACTTCGACCTCTGCTTTCTGAAAGTAGAAGTAAATTAGCTTCTTACTTTTATTGCTAAAATTGCTGATCCATGTCTTTTGTACTTTACATCGGATTATGTTATGTAACTGGTTTTAAGAGATGGTATGTGGCATGGTGTATGGAAACCCTTTTTTTATGTAATAGGTCAGCAAAAGAGCAGACAGATGCCGCCCCGCTCCCATGGACACCCACAGTTGAGGAGTTATGAGTGTGTTGCCGTGGTATCACTACGGTCAAGCTGTACCATTCGTGCTGAAGCTTGGCTCTCCTACTATTACCATAATTATTGCATACACACTAAGTTTTAAGTGGGAAATCAGTGTTTTTTTAAGTTTTGTTCAATTAAACCACACATTACCATAATGTACCATGGTCTATAAAAACCATTTTCAATTTTAGAAACATTATAATTATCAATATCTTACTTTACATTCACCAGGAGTTAAATTGCTTCCCGAGCGTGTCATCCACTGCTGGGGCAAATAGTTGTAAACAAAACTGGATCGAAAGAAATTTTCAGGTGTTATACATAAATTTTTAAAAAGGCCCCAAAATTTTTTACCGCTTGCCTGAAATTTTGTAACAACATTGTTAGTATCTCTTGGTAAAGATATATTGATTGAACCATCAAGTGTTACCAATAGTTATTTATCTTTTTGCCACTCACTTCAGTTTTCTTGCATTGGAAACCCAAAACTTCTCGACCTCTTATTTCTACTGGTGGTTTCCCCACTTGTCCAGTTATGCCAAGCCAATCTCGAACTGACTCTATTTCACCAAATGGTACCTGAAAATTTTATTTTTTCTATGAAGTATGTTTAATGTGTGGGATTAGTTTACTGATATGAAAAATGAATTACTTAATGTATTACATGCAATTATTCAGCTACATACAACTACTAACTACAGACATGTATTTCAAGAGGTCCTTACTCCAGTCTGGGACATTCCAAATGGTCCAGGATTCATACCAAAGAATAAAATAGGTTTCGGCGTGTTACAATATTTACGCACATACATTTCAAAAGGCTCCCTTGCATAAATGGTGGGATTATAAACAACTTCTACTTTTTTGGGCAATTGGAACTGTTCGAGAGATAGATTTAGTTCATCTGCTAAATCTAAAAACCTTTCACTAATGTTTTGATATGATTTTGTAAAAAATGATGAGACTACTTCGGTTTCCATTGTTAGTACGATTACAACTCGCTCATGTGCTAATAATGATTAAGTATTCTGTTGCACACCGCATATTTATCACTTACAAATTTATCGCTGGTCGATATCCTTAGATAGCATTATATGTTGCATTGATACCGAAGTGGAAGTTTATCATTGTATATAGGTATAAAATAGTGTAGTAAATACCTTCCCAAAGCAAAAGTGCAGAAGCACAACAAAACAACACCACCTAGATCTGACAGCAAAATAAAATCATGTCATCTGTCATCAAAACGTCAGTCTTCTACAATTTTTTATAGGTACAAAACAATACTTCAAATAGTGTTATAGGTAATACAGGCATAAAAACACTAAAAATCTTATCAAAATTGGTCTGATGTCGCTGATAATATGAATGAAATGATAAATGTATTTTTTATTAGAGTTAACTTTAAACCGTTATCCATTTTTGAACGAAAGCTAATAAGGCTATCAGCTGATACAACCTGACACTGACACGTCTGACATTCATTCCAATATACAAAGCCCAAGTGGTTCATTGGTTCATGAGTTGAATTTTATTGTTTCAGTTATTCAGTTTCTTGACAGCTATCATCTAAGCACGGTGTTGGTAGCTGCTAAATGATAAACGATAAACCACTAAATTTGAATGATTTTATTTATTAATTCTATATAAACACGTACTTTAAACAAATGTCTGTGCTTAGTGAAGACATTGTTCGCAATCTTGTAGCGAATTCCAGTGTGCCATTGGTGTTCCGGGGCTATGTGCGAAATTGGCAAATATGCCAATGGGATGTAGAAAAATGGTGTTCAGTCTTTGGAGAAAAGGAGATACCATTCAGATGCTTAAAAAAAGATTTTTTATCAGATGAACCTTGTTGGGAAAGACGATGCTCTGTTAAAAGGATGTCGTTCAAAAATTTCGTTGATATGTCTGCGTCAAGCGACGAGTGGATGTATTTCGATTATAAATACCTTTATCAGTGGTTTAATGGAGACGATGAGTTGTATAAGGTAAATATGGCTCAGACTCGTTTGATACACATTTCATATAAAAAGCAATGCAGTCAAAATAAATGGTTTTACATTGTAGGGTGTTTCATGGCAACAGTTTGGGTATTCTGATAAAGGTGCTTCGGATGCGACACTGTGGGTAGGCAGTAGTGGTGCACACACACCAGCACATCAAGACACATACGGAGTCAATATTGTCACTCAGTTGTATGGAAAGTAAGTGTCACTATTGTGGACAGGTCAAGTACTAAATACACAATTTATATTAAAAAATATTTACAATATTATTTTTCATAGAAAACGCTGGATTCTCTTCCCACCTGAAACTGGAGGTTTGAAGCCTACAAGAGTACCCTATGAAGAGTCAAGTGTTTATAGCGAGCTTAACTTTTACTGTCCAAATAATTTGGAGGTTTTTAATGGTGAGTTTGTCAAAAATAGTTTTGTTATGCAATGCTCATTAAAAAGAAATTGATGGCCAATTTTTTTAATTATAAATGTGTCTGCTGTGACTGGGGCTGGCCTTCACTGTCATATTATCCCAGATTTAACTCAGGTTATCCTGGATAAATTTGTAATTTTATTTATGGTTTTAGGTCTGACTGGAGCTCGCTCTGTGGAACTTTCAGCTGGTGATGCTCTCCTGGTACCTAGAGGATGGTGGCACTATGTACAGAATTTAGATCCACTGAACATAGCTCTTAATATGTGGCTGCCACATGTATGTATCATATTATTTTAATGGCTGTCTTTATTGAATGGGCTCCTTTTACAATGTTTCTGTTGTATTATTTAGGAAAAAGATGGTTCAACAAGAGTATCTGAAGCCCTCATCAAAATATTTGTAGCCCAAATATGTAAGGATCTTCCACAAGAAACTGCAAAGCTGATTGTTAATCCAAATGAGGTAAGTTTTTAAGATGAAAAAAAACTATGTAAACTATGTGAACGTAATATTTTGAAAAGAAACTACTAATATAACAAAATGGAACACAATTCCTTAATGAAAACAAAATGGCGTAAAATTATTATGAACAATAATACTCCAAGGCAATGAGAGTGTTAAACATAAACAGTTTACAACACAATTTTTGGATGTTTGCCAAATTATTCATTTGAAATAATAAGTGGTACTTATAATTATATTGTGACTTTGACCTTTATTCAAGTATAAATGTATGTATCATCTCCCCAAAACAGTTTACACAGTTCAAGAAGCAAATTTAAAAAAAATTCCATTCTGGTTTGCTTTTCATTGCTATTTAATTCGAGAGCACCCAAATATGTAATCTCGAGTGCAATTCCCAGTAATAGCGCAGGATTAAATAAGATCACCCTCACCCTTACATGAGGCGATGACATAAACTGGCAAAAAGTGGATGTACATGCACAAAATGATGTGCGAGTCTGCCGACATCTATAAAAATTTATAGGCATATTACAAGGGGCTCCAGATTTCCGCGCGCTCCTCAAAGAGCCAATATTCAACCAGGGTTGCGGGATAAGCGCAATGAGTCGCCGCGGCGTCGGCCCGTCGGCCAAAAAAGGGGCTAAAGTTTTCTAAGATCAGTCGAGGGTTTTCCGACCCACGACTAGGTGCGGTGTTCACGGCTGACGACTACTGCCCAATAGTTAAATTTTTTTTTTGACGGCGGTCATGTCTTTATACCTCTTCTCGCGCCCTTGGAGGGGCGACGAAGAGTCACAACTTTTAGTGACTAAAAGCCAAACTGTTCTTTCTTCTGCTCCAAGCAAATCCTTTTGTGATTTTTATCTGACTCTAATACTTGTGACGTCATCTGTGACATGTTTATCGTCGGATCTTCTATGTATCTCTCAGCCTGTGTAAACTGTTCATTCGTTATTCGCGTTTTTGTTTTTGAGGTAGTGAATGTTATGGTACCATTTCGAAAAGTTTCAAAGTAGATTACGCTCGCGAAATAGTAGTAGTATGAAGGATTTCTTAAATACCTATACCGCCATAGGCCATCTCCACATTTCCTGGCAATTAATTCTCTACCACCTAGCTTAAGATCGGCTTTTCATTCGATGGAATTCGTTAGTCAATCGTGGGTTTTTACTTCGGCACGAATGGGTCGGCACGATCGGTGTGATACCACGGCCTCACAGAATAATACGGCGTTAAACAACCACGTTGTGTTTTACCTTGTGAGAGAAGTTACTGAAGACCCAATCCTTCCCCAAATCCTAAATCCCCTCATCCCCAACGCACTCGTAACTATTCCGTTGTTGCGGGTGTCTATGGGCGCCGCTAATTGCTTACCATGCTCGTTTGCCGTCGAATTACATAAAAAAAAATAGAACAAGAGTGTGCATTACTTTGCGGAGATAAGGGCTAATTTGCATTTCGGAGTGACATTGGGATATTGCAATTTGCATTGTTATGTATAAATTGACCTTAGGGAAAACCTTTCTTAGCTCGTCCTTCTACGAGCACTGTAATATTTTAGCTTGCTAGCACTAAAGTAGCAAGCAAGCAAGTTTCAGCAGTGCGTTGTCTCATAGTCATCATCATCATCATCATCATCATCATCATCAGCCTATATTTGGCCACTGCTAAGCAAAGTCCTCTTCTCACACGAAGGTTTGAGCATTAATCAACTCGCTTGCTCAAGGCGGATTGTCGATTTCAAACTTACAATTATAAATTATCAAGTCCAGGTTTCCTCGCGATGTTTTCCTTCGCCGTTTGTCAGTGGTATCTGTCTTAGAAGGTACATATAGTACCTTATGTACCTTCTAAGGTACTATATGTACCTTCTAAGATAGATACTCGGATAAAGTCACATTGGTACTTGCCAGGTTTCGAACCCTCATGTATGAGAAGCGGGCGCCATTACCTCCGGGCTGGCACGACAAACGTGCATTGTCTGTTCTTCATTCAACCTTTAGTAACACATTCGCGTTACGTTTTATTTATTTATATTGATTTAGTAACAATTTACTCATCCCATGTGAGTCAGTTTCTGATGTCATGCCCTCTACGATTTGCTAGAGGTAGTTAACTAATGGATTCTTATAATAATTGGAGGATATCCTAAGACCTTGACATTGCTTTAACAGTCTGCTATAACTACTGTAACACCGTAAGATTAATTGGCACAGTACATCACTGAGTCAATTGCATTGCTATTAGTTAATAGTTGTGGAACCAACGTGAACCATTAATCTCGATGTGTTTAATGCCCTTGATATTTAACGCTCAACGTTTTAAAGTGCACAATAACAGTTTAATAATAAGTGTTACAGTTAGTTTATCCGTATGTATCAATATTGGTCAGGGGCAGGGGCCATAGTATTTCCATAGTTTTCATTCACTAGTCCATAGCAACCCATACCCATAACCTTATAAATTTTTACCACATTTTGCAATAGTCCTCCATCAACCGGGGATTATCCTTGGGTGCACTTTCATAGTGCATAAAGGGATAACTGCCGGCTGATGTCCCATTTCACTTATATTAAAGTTGTTCAAAGGGCCTCTGCGAGTTGGCTTCGGCCCCTCGTACGCCTTCCAAAAGTCCGGGACCCTGTGGTCCCGTGAGTGGAAAGAAAGAAGTGTTACAGTTAAACAAACTGTAATTAAAATTTATAAATAGTTTAATTCTGTAATTTATAATTAGAACTAAACGTGAAGGTTCGTTCGAGTGTTTTTTTGGCTCAATTAATTTTACTTAATTTTTTTGTAAGAGGAAAATGCGTGAAATGCTTTCTCTCACCCACGCCACGGTGAGACTAGAGGGAGTGTCAGACTCTTAATGACTAAAACCCCCCGTTCCTTCTCCTGCTTCAGGCCGGGGCCGCGTTATCTTATTGTACCTACTTACTTGCCACGTAACACTGCACGGTTGTTGCGGTGGCTGGGTAACTGGCTGCCGTTCAACGTGTCCCGGGTTTAATTCTCGCACGGAAAGCACTTTGTGTGATCCACAAATTGTTGTTTCGGGTCTGGGTGTCATGTGTATGTGAAATTGAATGTTTGTAAACGCACCCACAATACAGAAAAAAATCCTAGTGGCAAAGTTTTATTAAAAAAGAAAAAAAAAATAATACTTGAAAAAATTACTTCACTCAATTCAATGTCTCATTTTTGCGATCAGAGAGATAATCAAAGAGACATCAGATCACTTAATTACGAGAACCGAGAACCTAGATTTATTTTTCTTTCCCCGAAATTCTTTACATAGGTACTTACCAAGTTTCATCGATAGCGTTTCGCGTTTTTTTTTGCTCGTTGAAATGTATAAGATATTTTTAAGACCGTTATAACGACCATTGCTTTGCCTGTATCTGTGTCATAAGATACTTAGCTAGTTCAAATGATTGCTAATGAAGAACGTATGTTGTTGGTTGTTGTTGATGAGACATGTTATTATTGTGTATTCAAATAATTTACATTCACGACTTTGAGTTAACGTCGTAACATCAGCCAAAAGTCGTGATCTGCTAAGAATAGGAACTTGGGTCCCAAACGACTTCCAGATCTGCCGGTAGGAAGCCTTTAGGCTTATCCAGCGGCTGCTATTAGACCATCACAAGTGGGGCCTATGCTGGTAGTTCACCAGGCGGGGTTGCAGATGCTAGTGCAATAATGTAACTAGGCCTGGCTTGGAGAAGGAGAAGGAGGGGTGGTTAGTCAGTAGTTCCACCCAAGGTGGGAGTACCTATAGTCATTTGATGATTTTTCCCACCATAATAAAGGGAGAGAATTCGGCTCCTTAGAGTAGACAAACTTCATAAGGTACCCTATGCAATCAATGACGAAAGTGAAATCTTGTGCATTCGTGCATTTAAGATATATTATGATAACAAGGCCGATTTGTACATGACCGTTATGTATATTTCTTGAAGTTCATGAATGAAAGACTGTGATCTCTTTGTGCAGCGGTAGCAAACGTGTTGACAATGAGATAAGGGGTCATTGGTAGGTTTACTGAGATGATCTAAATTACTATTTCGACTTTGGTCTTAGAAAATAGACGAAGTAGTTGTGCAAGGATTTAAATTTAAATGATCTAAAGTTATTACTTTAGATCATTTAAATTTAAATCCTTATACACATTTAACTATTCCGAGGTATTCCTCGGAATAGTTAAATGTGTGAAAAGAGCACTTAAATATACAATAGATTAGGTATATTTATAGATTAGGTAAAAGAATATAGATTAGGTATATTTAAGTGCTTTTGAATTTGTGTTTTTAGTCTATGTTCACCAGGGATAGTGTAGTTCAAAGTGAAAGATTTTTCAAATCGATAAATTTGTTTCGGTGATATTCAATTAAAACTACTGAATAAACAATCAATAGACGTATTCATTGAATTTTAAGAAATAAATTAGCTGTACGACGCTAATAAAATATGACGTACAAACTCGTAGGACAAAAACTCAAACTGTCAATTTTGACAATTCGAAGAATGACTAATACATAATCAAATCAAATCAAATTAAATCAAATCAAATCAAATCAAATCAAATCAAATCAAATCAAATCAAATCAAATCAAATCAAATCAAATCAAATCAAATCAAATCAAATCAAATCAAATCAAATCAAATCAAATCAAATCAAATCAAATCAAATCAAATCAAATCAAATCAAATCAAATCAAATCAAATCAAATCAAATCAAATCAAATCAAATCAAATCAAATCAAATCAAATCAAATCAAATCAAATCAAATCAAATCAAATCAAATCAAAATCATTTATTCCAACTAAACCATAAATAGGTACTTTTGAAACGTCAAAATAGAATAGTAGTCTGTCAGCCTGTTCGTCAGTGAAGCTAGGTGCTCGTTCCAAATTGTAGTTTCGAATGGAGAAGAACGAGCAAGAAACTCCATCGTTACTCTTTTTTAAAAAAAAATTTGTTTTACAATTCACCAATAATACATTTTTTATACATTACTGTACCCCTATGTGAGAACAATGCAGAGACAAGTTGTTAATAAAAAGGAACAAATGATGGTCTATCTAATCTATCATTAAAATTTTAATCCTTTGTTGTCTCGTACATGGCGCTCACATATGCGTACTCACAATCCAAAACAATGCTTCTATATAAACTTCTATATATTCAAGGTTTTATTAATTTTGACAATTTTAATAACTACTGACTACATATTTAAGAAATGTCCAGTGGAGCCGAACCAACATGCTGCCAGGCATTCTTATCCTCAATATAATCTGAAAGTTTGTAGTATGCCTGTCTACATAATTCGCGTTTAATATAAGTTTTAAATTTTCGTTCATTAAGATTTAATACACTTCTTGGAATTTTATTGTAACAATTTACACAGAACCCCATAAAGGATTTCTGTACTTTGGACAGACGGAATCGTGGCACAGCCAGCCTATCTTTGCCTCTAGTATTAAAATTATGTCTATCGCTTCTTTTTTCAAATAATTGCAAATTTTTCCTTACGTATATAATATTTTCATATATAAACTGACAAGGTACCGTTAGGATATTTATCCTTTTAAATAGTTCTCTCAGAGATTCACGAGGGGGCAAGTTATATATCGCTCGGATAGCCCGCTTTTGCAAAATAAATATTGAATCTACTTCCGCAGCTCGACCCCACAGCAAAATTCCGTACGACATAATGCTGTGAAAATAGCTAGAATAAACAAGCCTTGCTGTGTTCACGTCTGTGAGCTGTCTAATCTGTCTAACTGCAAAAACAGCTGAGCTCAGTCTTCCCGAAAGCGTCTTTATGTGGGAACCCCATTGAAGTTTATTTACTAGCGTAATACCTAGGAACATAGTCTCGTTAACAAATTATAACTTTTGCCCATTTAAAATTATGTCACAGTCATTACTGTGTACGTTGGGCAAGCTAAATTTAATACATTTTGTTTTTTTCTCGTTAAGTGCTAAATTTGACTGTAAACCAATTATGAACTCGATGAATGGATCTGTTTACTTCGTCCAAATTATTAACACGTCGACCTATTCTAAAAATTAATGATGTATCATCTGGAAACAGCACCATTCTTGGCTCGGTTTTAAATAGAAATGGCAAGTCATTAACATACACTAAGAAGAGAAACGGACCCAAAATTGAACCTTGCGGTACGCCAATTTTTATCTCAGAGCCCCGTGAGTAAGAAACATCTACATGAACTCTCAGCTGCCTATCCTCTAAATATGACTTTAGTAGACGAAGTGCAGTATGTCTAATCCCGCAATGATCTAATTTCAGCAAGAGTGTTTCATGATCAACGCAATCGAACGCCTTTGAGAGGTCGCAAAAGACACCAACAGCATCCTGTGCTTCCTCCCAAGCACCGAATACCTCCTTTATCAAAGTGACACCGGCGTCAGTTGTACAACGACCTTTAGTGAGACCGTATTGTTGGTGATGGAAGATGGCATGTTTATCAAAGTGATGAAGCATCCGAGATAGCATTAACTTTTCAAACACTTTGCTAAGAACTGGCAGAACAGACACAGGCCTATAGTTGTTTGGTTCCTTAGTGTCACCATTTTTGAATAATGGAATAACTTTACTGTATTTCATTAGGTTGGGGAAGACACCGTCATCTATACTTTTATTGAAAATCAAAGCCAGATACGGCGCTAAAGTTCGGATAAGTGATCCGCAGACTTTCACCGATAGTCCCCAAAGCTCTCATTCTTTAAAAACCTTTATTATCTCTAAAGGATTAGTATAATGAAAACTAAAATCGTCTTTGCATGATTTGACATTTTCTCTAAGCAAAGTTACCGATAGTCTAGCTGATGATTCAAAATGAGCAGCATATTACCTAGTATTAAATTTGACTAATTTTCAAGTACCTAGGTACCGAATTATAGTTATTTTATGTGTTGCTGTATGAAGCGTAACGACTTAAATGTTTATTATGATTTCATTAGCTACGAACGTGGCCCTGCCAGCTAATTACATTTCGATCCGGTTGACTACCCCATCTGCGTGTTTATGATCCATTCGATTGCCTCGACAGTTTCATGTTTCCCCGTGCTCCGTTGCTAAGAGCCTTGTATACCTACTTATTATTGTATGAAGTATGAATTATTTACTTTTTCAACTGAAAAGTTGATTTATAAAAGGCCCTGGCAGTGAATTTTAATAAATCTGTAAAACTAGTACCTTGTCATAATAATAATTGCAGCCCAGCGTATTCAGTATGCTAAATAGGTTAGGTCCACAATAGTTTCCTTACTCAATCTGACTCTACGCACCAAAGAGCCAATAGACCATCATAGATGGGGCCCAAGAGGGCAAGCGCAATCAGGTACCGCGACCTCGGTCAGGAGCAGAAGAAGAAGTCTGAAACTCCCTCCCGCCTCACTCTGGGCGTGAAAAGTTATGATAATTTTCCAAACAATTTATTAAAAAACCTCACTACAATGTTTATTTTGTTAAAAACAACTTGCTTCGTTACTTCTACTTTCTAATATGATAACTGATTTGAAAACGATATATGTGTGGGAGAGCCATGCTTCGGTACGAATGGGCGGCTCGACCGGAGTGATACCACGGCCTCACAGAAAACTGGCGTAAAACAACCACAGCGTTGTGTTTCGCCGTGTGAGTGAGGTTACTGGTGGCCCAATCCTTCCCCTCCTCCAATCCCTAAATCTCCAAATCCCTAATCTTTAAAAGGTCGGCAATGCACTCATAACTGCTCCGTTGCGGGTGTCCATGGGCGGCGCTGATTGCTTACCATCAGGTAATCCGTCTGCTCGTTTGCCGATCTATTATCTACATAAATAAAAAACATATTAACTAAAATCTAAATATAATTTTATTTTCAGGACGACATAGCAGATACGCCATTATCTGTGCTATTTCTTCAATTAGAGACAGTTGCAAATGCGTATCTTGACAATCGACGCAAGCTTCGGCGCGCCAAGCGACAGAGGACATGCGAAGACGAGCCGACGCCCGCTGCCATCGAAGAATACGACTTTAAAACTTTACTAGAGAATAAATCGAATAACTTAGAAATACCTTCGAGTATAAATAGCGAGGAATTAATAAAGATAATTAAACAGAATCTCTTAGAGTACGCGAATAGAGACAGGCCGTTGTGCGATGACGAGATAGATGGGTCCACTACAGCTTTGTGCCTTACCAAAGCGGTAATTGACGCGTACAGTCAAGCCAATGTTATCGATCTCGTCAAACAGAATTTATTTGCTCGACTCAGCTAGATACAGAGTGTTTCAGAGACTGTCTGACTGACTTTAGGTATATATTATAGAGATATGTCTAGTCTTAAGTAAAAGTAAAACTTATATTGTATTTGTAAAATCAATATAGGTCATATTTTTATAGAGGTATCTTTGTTTACGTGCGTGAGCGCATGAAGTATTTCCCGGTGTTGGAAACTTGGAAGTGACTTAAAAAATATTACGAAGGAAAATTTGTTTATGAAACTGCGAGTATTTTGTTGGACTGTGATATCAAATGATAGACTTGAAAGTTTTGGACGAATGACCCTTAAAGCCCGATCAATGTTAAAATCAACTAACTAGGTGTCAAATCTCTTGTCAAGTCATCTGATTGGTTGTTGATGATTCAGTCAACCAATCAGATGACTAGACAAGAGATTAAATTGATTATAACATTGATCGGCCTTTCGGAAACCAGGTGTAAGTGTTAGTATCTGTGCTATTCATGTTAGGTAGGTCTTTGGTATTCTAAATTAAACGAATTGATCGGTTACAGAGTGATCGACAGACGGTAAAAGCTGAGCTGTGGTGCAATAAATGTGAAATTAAATATTTGATCTTATATTATTCTGTTTCATAAGACGATAATTTGTACGAGTTAGATGTCTGACGTGATTGGATAAACATATATTTATAGAAGTGAGGATAAACTGTATTAATTAATTAATTATTAAACATTTTAATAGCGACTGCACTAAATTTATTAAAAATAACGATGACGACGGCGACATTGCCGCGACGTGCACGCTTCTCATGAATATGAGTTCCGTGGCGACTTGAAATTAGTAGAGGTTTTCTCAGTTAATTCTTGTGAGTCGACTTACGTTATTTGTAATGCTTAACTTCATTTTAGACTTGGCTGAATATTTATTCAGAAATAAAAAAGACATTAAGAAATTAGTGGCGATTTGTGCCATAATTTTATCGGTTATTTTTTTGTTCATCATACAACTGTTAAAGGAGTTGCATTTTAAAACAGAAACAAAACTGTTAAAGGTTTAAAAACAGAACTCGATTATTAAGACTCCACTTGTTTTGTTGTTTGTTTGATCAAGAGATGAAATACAATTTTAACAGTGAATGTTATTCTGCCTCTTTAACAAAAATACGTACCAAAAAATAAAATAAATATTTGAGGGGGCTCCCATATGAAAACCTGATTTAAATTCGTACGTGGAGGCACTTAAAAGTTGCAAAAAATTGTGGTTTTATTAATTTCAAACAAATATTAATAGCTGAATGGTAAACAAAGAATTATGTACTTACTCAATGTAACACGGAAGAATACATAAATGTACTTATTTATAATTGTATGATTAAATGTATAAAATTGTGATATTAGCATTGAAAAAATATTTTAATTATAAATGTAATGTGCTTGTTTTTATCGCACCAACCTACTTAGGTATTTCCTTGATTGTAGCCAGCTAATTACTGAAGATGTGTAGGCATCTAGAATAAAGAATGTAGATCGTTGTAATTTGCAAAGAATGAGGATTGAGTTGTGCAACAACTTTTTGCTACATAACTATGAGATGCGGAAATATGTTGTTTTGCTGTGGGTGTATGTGAATGGAAATGCGTGTGAGCATGGCTACGTCGGGTTAATAATACGTTGTTCATATATATATATATATATATATATATATATATATATATACCGATAATACGATAAGTAATTAAGTGCATACTGGTATTTAGGTAATATTTTTTTAACATAATATTACCTATATGCCTTAGAATTTTGTTTGAGCTTACTGAATTGTGACGTCAATATTTTGCGTTAAATATAAAATACTTATTACCTATTCTTTAAATTCGTTACCTAAATAGTATTTTTTAGATATAGTTATTTTTAGATATTTTTTTATGTGATTGGCAGATTGGCTAGCAACCAAGCTATATTCCTATGGAATACCTGATGGTAAACAATCTCCGCCGCTCATTGACACCCGAAACACGAGGCGAGAAACAAGTGCATTGCCAGCCTTTTGGGGGTTAGGGATGAAGGTTGGGAATTTGGGGTTGGGCTTGGGGAGAAGGGGTAAGATTGGACTCGAAACGGTGAAACAATACTTTGCTTTTTTTGCGCTGGATTTCTCTTAGGACGTGGTATCACTGCGGTCGAGCCAGCTAATTCAGGCCAAAGTCAAAGTCAAAATCATTTATTCCAACTAAACCATAAATAGGTGCTCATTCCAAATTGTAGATTCGAATGGAGAAGAACAAGCAAGAAATTACATCGCTACTCTTATTTTTTTATATTTCGGACCGATCCAAACATTTTATTTTCAACATAATTTCTATTTTGTCGCGGGTCTAATTTATTTTTTTATTTTATACTTTTTATAGGTATTTTATATAATTTTCTCTCGATTAAGTCATCAACATTCCCCTTCAATGCGCTTTCATTTGACACCCCACTCGAGTATATTTGCAGACCTTCGGTTACTCGATTTTCGTCAAAAAACAGCTCAATCGATTTTCGTCAAACATGTCTAAGAACAATCGCACGTAAGTCACCTTTAATATAAAAAAAACTAAATTGAAATCGCTTCACCCGTTCAGGCTCCAGGATGCCACAGACAAACAGACAGACAGACTGACTGACACGTCAAACTTATAACACCCCTCTTTTTGCGTCGGGGGTTAAAAATGGTGCAACATTACTTGGGCATTTTCTATCTCAAGTTGTGGATTGTTTTTGTGCCCTTCCTGATGGCGCGGTCGCACTCTTTGCACTGCCCTCGGTCAAACCCTCGTTTTGAGTTATGTGGCTAGAGAGAGAATAAGACTTCTTATGTACATAATTTACTAAAACACTTTTAACCGTTTGAATGTCGGTATGTGTAAGACACAATACAAAATACTTACATTGTGTCTCGACACACGAAAGGTTAAAAACAAATTCCTACAAATAAGAATCTATTAATATTAAGTGTTATAGTTCTTCGTGGTGGATCCGAAGACGCCCACTTCTTATGCATGGGGTGTGGATTCGAAAGCTGGCAAATACCAATGTGACTTTTTTAAAGGTTCATTATAATTTCTAAGTTTGAAATCGCCAATCCGCCTTGAGCAACCGTGGTGATTTATGCTTAAACCTTATCCGTGTGAGGAGAGGCCTTTGCTTAGCAGTGGGCACTTATAGGCTGATAATGTGAAGTATGGGGACAAGCAATGCTTTCAAAGGGTATAATATACTAAATGTTATATTAGTGAAAAGAAATATAAAAAAATAAGAGTAGCGATGTAATTTCTTGCTTGTTCTTCTCCATTCGAATCTACAATTTGGAATGAGCACCTATTTATGGTTTAGTTGGAATAAATGATTTTGACTTTGACTTTGGCCTGAATTAGCTGGCTCGACCGCAGTGATACCACGTCCTAAGAGAAATCCAGCGCAAAAAAAGCAAAGTATTGTTTCACCGTTTCGAGTCCAATCTTACCCCTTCTCCCCAAGCCCAACCCCAAATTCCCAACCTTCATCCCTAACCCCCAAAAGGCTGGCAATGCACTTGTTTCTCGCCTCGTGTTTCGGGTGTCAATGAGCGGCGGAGATTGTTTACCATCAGGTATTCCATAGGAATATAGCTTGGTTGCTAGCCAATCTGCCAATCACATAAAAAAATATCTAAAAATAACTATATCTAAAAAATACTATTTAGGTAACGAATTTAAAGAATAGGTAATAAGTATTTTATATTTAACGCAAAATATTGACGTCACAATTCAGTAAGCTCAAACAAAATTCTAAGGCATATAGGTAATATTATGTTAAAAAAATATTACCTAAATACCAGTATGCACTTAATTACTTATCGTATTATCGGTATATATATATATATATATATATATATATATACCGATAATACGATAAGTCCCCATACTTCACATTATCAGCCTATAAGTGCCCACTGCTAAGCAAAGGCCTCTCCTCACACGGATAAGGTTTAAGCATAAATCACCACGGTTGCTCAAGGCGGATTGGCGATTTCAAACTTAGAAATTATAATGAACCTTTAAAAAAGTCACATTGGTATTTGCCAGCTTTCGAATCCACACCCCATGCATAAGAAGTGGGCGTCTTCGGATCCACCACGAAGAACTATAACACTTAATATTAATAGATTCTTATTTGTAGGAATTTGTTTTTAACCTTTCGTGTGTCGAGACACAATGTAAGTATTTTGTATTGTGTCTTACACATACCGACATTCAAACGGTTAAAAGTGTTTTAGTAAATTATGTACATAAGAAGTCTTATTCTCTCTCTAGCCACATAACTCAAAACGAGGGTTTGACCGAGGGCAGTGCAAAGAGTGCGACCGCGCCATCAGGAAGGGCACAAAAACAATCCACAACTTGAGATAGAAAATGCCCAAGTAATGTTGCACCATTTTTAACCCCCGACGCAAAAAGAGGGGTGTTATAAGTTTGACGTGTCAGTCAGTCTGTCTGTCTGTTTGTCTGTGGCATCCTGGAGCCTGAACGGGTGAAGCGATTTCAATTTAGTTTTTTTTATATTAAAGGTGACTTACGTGCGAGTGTTCTTAGACATGTTTGACGAAAATCGATTGAGCTGTTTTTTGACGAAAATCGAGTAACCGAAGGTCTGCAAATATACTCGAGTGGGGTGTCAAATGAAAGCGCATTGAAGGGGAATGTTGATGACTTAATCGAGAGAAAATTATATAAAATACCTATAAAAAGTATAAAATAAAAAAATAAATTAGACCCGCGACAAAATAGAAATTATGTTGAAAATAAAATGTTTGGATCGGTCCCCCAACGCCACGTTTTCTTTTAATTATTACTTTTTAAAGGAATACTTATTAGATTTTTCTTGGGGCTTTTTCGTACCAAAGAAATGTTATTAAGAGCGACACAGCCGCAGATACAAATTTAAAAGTCATACTTACACATAGATAAGCACATTTTCTTTGCGACGCGCGACGGAAAGGAAGACTCACTAACTGACACATGCATTTATTCTACTAGGAAGATAATGATTAGGTACTAATATTTTAATGGTTATGGTTGACTATTAGAGAA